CAAGCGCATCACCCTCATTTGAATTTCTGCTCAATTATTTTGTTTGGTCAGCTTTTTGATGAAAAAGACATCTATTGGCGCAAGCAGTCAAGAGTGAACAGAAACTCCTGTTTGATCTTGTCCTACATCGAAACACTATTTTGGGCTACATTAGTTGCATTTCAGCCCACTTTTAAGTCAGTTGAGGTCGTTTAAAAACCCCAAAATTAGCCAATGTCCAATATTTTAATCATATCTGTCGCAACTTAGCAAAACGCGCCCTTCAACTTGTACCGTACCACAAGCTTAAGATCTACAATTTAGCTTTAAACGTATTAAGTAAACGTTTTATTGGAATGCAACAGTTTTTGGACGGGATTCTTCTAAATTACAACCAAATGAAGCAAAGGTAGAATTTTTCGGCCTATAAGCATCCAAATTGTGCTGTCTAAATTGCCACTGATTAGGACGGTTTCTCAATAAAATAGGCGCAAAGGACGGCGGGATTGTAAATGATGAAGGAACGTCTTCCACCGTGGGAAGCTAGTGGACACGGGATAATCGCGGGCGAAATTATTGCAAGCATAGTTGATCTAAAGAAGAACAAGAGAGCCAATCCCGTCCCGTCAAGTCTACTCCCGTACCAGAATGGAAGGCTATAAATGACACCAGTTTTAGTACCCAGCGGTTTTGAGTGAAAACATAGCAGGTACAAGGTGTATGGGGGTGTCTATGAAGGCAACTAAAGCGTTTGAAGGGTACCGTAAATAATCCCCTTCATGTATAAGCCCCTCCAAATATAAGCCCCCTAAACTCGAAAGGTAAAAAACCCTCCGTTAAATCGCCCCTCCAAATATAAGCCCCAGCCCCGTACTTGGAAATAGCCCTCAAATACAAAGTAAAACAAAGCAAGGCTAGCCCAATCGATTTTGAAACGCAAATTTCCTTCCGCAGATAAGCCCCTCCGAATATAAGCCCCTCAAAAAGGGCCTTTGAAGAATATAAGCCCCGGGGCTTATCTTCGGAATTTTACGGTATATATGTGTCGGTAAATGTTCGTCCCCATACAATACCTAACTACTAATAGCCTCGGTGCCGAGTGGTGATGAGTTTTGCGGGCTCATAATCCTCAGATGTTATTACATGTAACCTTTCCTTGCGCCTTTCTTTTTCCTATCATGATTTTTCCTGCTTCGCTTATTAAAAAGAAAACGACTAAAATCAAACCTTTAATTTGCTGTGAATATTATGCTGATAAATAAATGAATAAATAAAGTAAGAAACATTTTTTTTCTTTAATTAAGGCTCGAAACAGCAAATACCCATCGTTCGATAGGTTATCATCAGATTTTCCCAATGGTTACAAGATGGTGCATATGAACAGTTTCAACTTTCAGGAGAATTCGAACCTGTATGTTTAGCCTGCGATCAAGCTCGACTTCATTTCGAGTGCGGCTGTCGAGCAACAAGGCTGGCTGATCCTCACTTGCACATCTCCTTTTGTGTCCCACTCGCGCGCGACTTCTCACATTTAGCTTCCTCGCAGGCTACTGTTACGGTCGCCCAACGACTTTTTTTCTGTAAAACAACCGTTCGAAGGAGCAATATTGTCTAGAAATTTGTTGAGCTCAAGAAAGGCTAAAAATTCTGGACAACTGCCAGTCCTATTCGTATAAGGTATTCGGAGTTTACAACGATTTTCACATTTTTTTTTTTTTTTACCAACATATTGCAATCATTATTAGAAAGGTCCCCTGAGAATTTCCGTATAAAGTACGACTACTCCATGTCCTCTATTTTTCTATCAGTCGACCCATCATGGCAGCTAACAGTTTCAGGTGAGACGAAAAACCCTCCAAAAACTTTCGAGACGAACAAAGTTCCCATAGACACTCCTGACGTATTTGGAACCATTCGGTCGCGTTGTATTCGGTGCCTCTGTACTGTATATCCTCAATCAAATTCACATGACGTTACAATGTTACCTATCAAACCGCACTATTATATAGATTTAGCCAGGGCTAAAAGCGAACCTCTCGTTGATGTCTATAGGTACTCAAACAAAATATAAAATCGTGTAATGCAAAGCGGCGACGGCAACAAAAACAGCCAAAAAAATCAGTAATTAGCAAAGAAACAAATTTGCCCCTGTAGCACACTTTTTATGTACATTTCTTTGCCATTGTTTTGCACGACTATAACGAGAAATTTGTAGAAACTTCCTAATTACACGTTTTATGGGGGAAATGTTGTATGTGCTCCTGTCCACTTTTTTTTTCGCTGCCGCCCATTTTCACCTTGGTATTTCTCATTTTCTCACAACTGCTATAAAGTTTTCATGTTTTTCTTTCAACAAAATTGATCTCTTTTGTTTTTTATCTCTTTCCGTAGATCTTTCTCTGTTTTCCACGTCAATGAAGACATTAGAATTAAGTCGAAAGAAAGAATCGTCTTTGTTGTTGTTGTTGTTGTTGTTGTTGTTGTTTATCTCTAAAAGTCCGGGTGGCTATGCAATTTACTGTCGAAACGCGAGGGTGCTTGAAATGCAAAATTTCACCCCAGCTTACATGAAGGGTACACGTACCTGCGGCCGGACGGACGATTTTCTTAAGCCTGGTTTTCACCAGCGCATAAGCACAAGCACATGTGCAAGCAAGTGAAAACTGGATCGACATAAGCATAAGCATAAGCACAAGAAAAACGGACAAGTTCGTTCTTCTTGTGCTAGTGCTTATGCTTATGTCGTAGCTTTTATTAGTGAAAATGGCGTCGACATAAGCTCAAGCACGAGCACAAGGCCGTGGATTAATCATAGATCACTTTGACCAAGAGAGAATGATCTAAGACAGCGAATCCCCAATACATGACCCTCTTTCCATGAAAATTATTTTCAATCTATTCTTGGTTCTGTGTCATACTGCGTGGTTATTTTAAGGATGCCACCTTATTGGTCGGTTAGAGTAGCGTCATGTGATTTTAAACTTGGCGGGTAATTCATTTCACTGCCGATCACGTACAGCAAGCGATATGACGTGCAAACTTGATATTACTTTCGTCGACGAGTCAAAGGATTTATACGTGGAATAATCTGGCCAGAGTAGCTGACGAAGATCAAAACGGTCCTGGCTTGTGGGAGTTCGCCGAAGAAAGCGGTTCCGATTCGGTGAAAACTGCTTATTGAGGTCTTCGCTACATCACTATATAAACAACCAACATCCTACTGCAAAAAACCACAGCTGTGATACCGTCGTTTCAATCCAACCGTGGACAATAAACGAGAAAATAGGTTAAAAGTGGGTTCAAACATGAACGTTTAGCCGCCAAACATTTGAATTTTGTGAGGACGCTAGACAAATGTGGGCACACCGCTCACTATAGAGAATTGACCGCAACCGGAAACCGCGCATCAAAACTCTCTGGCATCCAGGTTAGCGACTGTTTATTATAAAAACAGCTTGAAGCATCTGACCTGATTTGTGTTTGCACAGCGAAATATTCATCGCAAGTATTAGACGTTAAGAAGAAGTAAAGGCTACCAGCAGTGAAGGCTACCAGTAGTGAAGGCTACCAGCCGTTAGAAAATCTCAATCTTTAATCGCAAAGTGAAATTTTGACTCCAATACTACAATTCCTTTGTAAATGAAATTCATTCCCGAATTATCAGGGGAAAGCGCTGATCAAAGACATGTCAACAACAGGAGCCGATGGGTATTGGCTCCTGGCACTAATAATTACTATAATGGCTGTCAAACTTCAAATGTTTGGCGACGAAGCATGTCACGTTCACGTGGAAGTAGACCGCGCGGCTCACGGAAACAACAGACAAAAAAAACCTTCGCAGCACGCGCGCGAATTTTAAATAGATTTAAAAAAATTATCATGGGGCACAGGGATTCGCTCTCTTAGCTCATTCTCTCTTGCTTTGACCCAGACCCCGTGCGAACATGTTAAAAGCAATATGTCGGACGCTTCCGGTCCGCCATCTTGTTTATCATTGGGTTTAGGAGAGCTGGTATCGAGAATTGAGTCAAATATACCATTCTGCGCTTGCGTATGTCCTTATGCTTATGCTTATGCGCTAGTGAAAACCAGGCTTTAGAACCAAAATTTATTGGATGCATATAGAACTCAATTTTCTTACCCATGGTGCTCCGCTACGCGCGATTCCCGCGCACGAGAGCTCCGCTATTAAGGTTACTTGTTTTCTATTGACTCTTGTAGTGACAAAAGTAAAATATAAAAAGTATTTTCTTTTTCCAGACTAATCGATTTTATTCTATCTTGACCACATATTTCCAACTGAGAAATGTGGTATTGTGAGCCAAAAAAAAAAGATTATTGTTTTATGCGAAAATGTTCTCTGTTCCTATTTTTTTACCTGGCTGGGAATTGCAATATATGTTTATTCAAAATTATGTTTTCGTCATTTTGAACCGACTACATTTTCCGAGATTTAGAAGCACACCATAGTGGAAATTGCTATTAAATGCAACTTGGTTAATACTCATTATATTTTTATAATACTAATAAAACATTAATAATTATTTTCTTTATCCTGGCTAATCAGCTTTATCCTCACCTGGCCGCAGTACCCTAACTGAAAATCGTGGTGTCCCGCTTCAAAAAAGGGCAGTGTTATTGCAAAAGCTGTCTTTCTACCTTATCTTCATATTTGACTTTGATTTTGGTAAATAAGCGTAAAATATTTATTACGAAAAAAAATGATACTTTGTCTGATTTGAGATTTATTTGCTGGGTTCACAAGTGTTAATCTGAATAAATCTAAATGCCATTTCCCTCCCACTTGTTCGAACACTGCTGGTGGCATAACCTCAACCTAATTAATTAATCTTAAATTACCATAATGAATCTTAGCCTACTCTGTATCGAATCTTCGAGTGCTTATGCATTTCAGTTGGCTTTGTATTTTCCAGCCTGGACTGACCACACAGTAGAACAAAACCCGTTCGTTTAAGAAGACTAGTTTACTTCATACTGAAATGTTTTAGCAGCTTTACATTATGCTTTCAAATAGAAGAAGCAAGGTCACAACTAAATCGAGCAGTCATCAGAGAAAATATGGCAGAAAAATAATGAATCCCTCATCAAGAACTGCAGATAAGAGCAATCTTAGAAGAGGAACGTGCAAACAAGGGGGTATTATTGAAGGTGACTTACAGGGCAGTAAAGACAGCGGTTTTGCAGAACAGGAACACATATCCACTGGACATGAACTGACTAGCTACTCCACTTTAATGTCTGTAAATAATAGCAACGATAGAACATCTATCTGTAAAAATGATTTCATTAGAATTGAAGAAAATCAAAGCAAGAACAACTCAGACTATTCGCTCAAAACAATAGAACAGGAGATTACCAATGTCACCAAGTGCGAACAATCAAATATTGCGGATGATATGAATGAATTTGAGGAACAGGACTTTGAAGAGGTTGATATTATGTCTGGTGACAAAGACAATGTTTTCCTAGAGAATGACAACTTAAGCCAAGGAAGCAATGGGTCTGAAAGCTACCCTGAATCTGCACTCGTCTCTTCTGTGGGTTACCATAATGTAGCAGGACATTCTTCCCAAACATACGAGGAGTTTCAACTAGATCTGAGCGAAAATGACGACGAGGCCTTAAAGGAGGAGTTGATGCATATTTTTGAAAGAGAGAGAATGGCTATAGAGATGTATTTCAAGAACAAAATGGAGGAACGTTTGCGCGTATTCAGAAGTAGACAGCTAGAGTACGAGGAAACAACACGAGCGGAAAAGATAGAGCTTGAGCATAATGTTTCAATCGAGAAAATGGAAATGCAGAATACGTTTGCAAAAGAGGTCGCCAAACTGACGCATACATTCAACGAGGAGAGACAACAGTTGGAGGTGTATTACAAAGAAAAGTTGAAAGACCTAAGGGAAAATATTGAAATCGAAAAAAAGAATATGGATGAGAAATCCTCTAAAGAGAAAATTGAGTTTAAGGAAAATCTCGAAGCCGAATATCAGGCGATGGTCAGGAAAGAAGTCGCTCATGAAAAGAAAGAAGCAGTCCAAGAAAGATCAGAATTGGAAGCACGTTTCTACCGTGAAAAATTAGAGCTTGAAAATTGCTACACCCTTAAGTTGACCGAAGCTGAAACAAGTCTGCAAAAACTTAAGGCAGAATTTAAGGCAAATTTAGTAGAAGAAAGAATGCGAATGGAAAAACAAACACAGGATAATATAAGAGAAATTGACGCTAAGCTAAAGGAAGAGAGCCAACTGATACACGATAAGGAAAAAGAGTTGGAGCAACAGAAAGAGATGTATGCCAACGAAGATTCCTTTAACAAGAAAGAAAATGAACGGCTTAGGAATGACATCGATGCTCTTCGACGAGAAGTAGATGACAAAAACCGAGAAAATATGCAACTTAAATCTATGGAAGAAAAGGTGAAGCTAAGAGGACGCGAAGGGATGGAAGGAAAGCTGAGAGATGATTTTGAGAGACTGTTATCAGAGCACAAGTTAGAACTGGACAAGAGTTATGAAAAAGACAAACAGAAGCTTGATGAAACCTTACAATCCGAAAGACGACAAATAAAGGAGGAGAACGATAAAGAGAAAGAGAAAATCAAGGCAGAGCAAGAAGAAATAAGAATTACAAGGGAAAGACTTCAAGCTGATGAAAAGTCCTATCCAGAGAGAGAACAGCAGTACAGGCCTGAGAATGAATCAGTGATGTATTCTCTAGGTGGCTATCAGGCAAGTGGTCATGGACAGCACGATAGAAAGACCAAACCGAGGAGTGTAGGCCAATGGGCAGTACCATCTGGCAGTGTAGAGATTGGTCTCGCGCACAGAACATCATATAGAGAAAACCAGCGTCAAAACCTAGATGTCGGTACACTAGATGAAGAGCCTTTTAGTGAAAATCCACTTGAATCGACAAGTGGAGCAAAAGGTTTTGTTTCATCCTACAAACTGTCTACTGATGTTGGTCATCCATATAAGGGAGCACCGTCCACGCAACAGCAACAGGAACCAGGTCAATACAGTCTTGGTGATTCTTCCTCAGCTGGTTTCCTAAAGGAATATCCCACTGGAAAGTCGCAATTTCACATCACTTTTGACTACCACGAGAAAACAGGGCTCCCAAAAACCCAGCCCTCTGAACAAAAGCCTGAGACTGAAGTTAACTATCAATTCGGGCCGGGAGCCAGTTCACGTCACCGAGTAGTTTCAGAAGAACGTGAACTGATAGCCGAATTGAGAGCATTAAAAAGCGAGCACGAAGGTTTGAAAGCGAAGATTGCAGCTTTGGAAGAGAACATAGAACTGCATAAAAGATATAAGAAGGAGGCAAAGGCAGAAATGGAAAGGCTTCTAAAAGAGAACGAAGAAAAAGATCTCAAAATACAGCATTTAACTCAGGAGATTAAAAACATGACAGAAAAAAAGGCCAGCGAAGTAAAAGCAGATATCCAATATGAAGGGTCAGAGTTAAAATTACACACTAGTAACGACGGGGAAACACTGGCTCACACAGAGACCAGAGAAATGGAGGGGAGACTAAAAGGATTGGAGGTACATGCAGTAAGAGCTGATAAGAGAGCAAAAGAATATGACGTGAGCATTAGAGACACCGAGAAACAGAGCAAGGAGAAAAGAAAGGAAAATGATTTACAAGATGAATGGAATTCATCGAGTCGACAGAAGGTAAAGATAAATATCACTAAACCCTCGGACGTACAAGTGTGTGTGTGTGGGGGGGGGGTTGATGCCACCCCCCCATAAGGTATTTCTGAGTTTTTTTTCCTAGAGGATAAAACATCAGTGCCTGACGTTTTCAGTAGCTGTTCGTTCATCCCTCGCGCACATTTTAAGACACGTTTCGTGATGATCAGTTGCTATGGTTACTTATGACGTGACGTCATAAGTAGCAGGTGGTCAAGCCAATTTTGGGTGAAAATATAAGTTTTTTTTAAACTTCTTTCAACAATCAAAGTAAATCTTGTGGCTAAAATCATGCAAAGTGCTTATTTATGTTATTTGTCATTTAAAACACAAAAAATTACCATTTCTCTCAGGTTTAACCTGATTTCTAATTCTAAGTAAAATCCAAGATGGCCACCATTGTTGGTGACGTCACAGGTCCCCAGCAGCGCCACCACCCCTAAAATATACCTCATCTTTTTAAGAAGATCAAAAGCTTTCCACTAAGGGTAAAATCGTTTCAAAATACTGCAACGTATCAAAAACTCAGGGGAGGGGCTCCATCCACTCCCCCTTGTACCAAGGTGGGGGTATGAATTTGCATGTACGTGCGAGGGTTAAATTTCTAAAAGAAAAGCCCTTTCCCTTTAGAAAATGGAAGGGGAGAGAAGCGTTTCAATGTTATCCGCTGTCAGCGCCATGTAAGAGGGGAGGATGCATAAATGACATTCTGAAGTGTGATTAACCGGAGTCAGGGCCTTTTCTGAGGGGAGAATAGAGGAGCCTTTAAGATAGATGAAATGAAATGCGAGGCTTCATCTGAACACAATTCAAACAATAAATGAAGTATAATAAGAGTTGCACCTAAAAGGTACTTTCCTCAATTTCCGGCATTTTACAGCCGTAATTACCAGAAACGGCATGACTGTGTAAGGCAAATAACTTACACCCTTTCTCATTTTAGGACAAACTACGCTACGATTCTGTGTCTACAAATGGTTCACAAGATTCCTATTATAAGGTGAGTTTTACAAGTGACTATTCCTGGTTTGCACAAGTAGTTACAAAAAGGTAAAAATAATTTTCATGAGAAAGCGTTAGGAATTCTTCATGCCCAGGGAGGCACATTTTTCAGATGGGACAATGAAACAGATCTGTATTCTGTCATCAGATATCGAATTCAATTAAAAGCATCCATATTTTTTTTCTTTTGTCTTTTTCACAGCTTTATTGGGTGCTCCTCTATCTGTATAAATTTATAACACAACACACACACACACACACACAAAAAAAGAAGCAAAAACCCAAAAGGGGTAGGTGCAACGGGACTAACGTCCCATGCGAGGAACCGCCCCTAGATTAAGACCTAGGTTAAAAAAAATAAAATGAGTGCACGAACATTCGTACAAAAAATAAAATAAATTACGAGTGGCATGGGCACGTAGGGACTAGTGTCCACGTGCAGGGGTAATTGATTTCATGTACCCGCGAAAGGTAATTTGCGAACAAAAAGTTGAAAGGCAGTAGGCGAGGAAAAACTGGTTGGGGGTGCTAGCTTACAAACATAGTTCCATAGTTTAACAATACGGTTAAAGTACGAGGCCTGCAAAGACGATGTTTTGGAAAAAGGGGTAAGAAGATTAAAGGAGTTACTTAGTCTTGTACGATCATGAGAAACAAAAGATAATCTGCGTTGAGTGAAAATACTTTGAAAACGCGCCGTGTTAACGCTCCAAAAAAACAAACCATTAAGTCTTTATCTTCACAGGATCTACAGGAGGCCATGGAGCGTTTGACCCCCTTTGTGAAACTGGCAAACATGCTAGAAATTTGATGAACTAAGTTCACGCAAACTGAATCCCAAAATTCACTGTGCTTGAATGACGCAGTTTCGGCCGTCTTATCTTCAAATTTTTACTGGAAAGTTCCCTTTGTTGGAAATTTATTATCAATTATTTTTCTTGTGCGGTACTTGTATTGACCAATAGAGAAGGAGTTTGGACATTTCAGCCAAGTGAATCATCTAAACACGCTCACTTCCCACCAGAAAAGTGCTCATCTGAATGTCGACACGACAAACTACTAAGAACCCTGGACACCCTCCCTTCGTTAAAAAATTCTTTTTTACGCCCCCTCCCCCCTCATTGTTTTTGTTTTTTTGTTTTTTAACCTTTTGTTATATATTTCTTTTTTACTCCAATTTTTCTTATAACCATTTATGTCGCCGGCTAAATACGAAGCTACTTTGCGGGAGAAGGATCAACTTCTTCAAGTCGTCAAAGACTTGAAAGTGAAGATCAATGATCTTCAGGAAAAGCAGGCCTCAGAACTTCGTAACAGTAGGGTAAAAAGCTTCGACTCTCGTTCCTAAAAGTTTTAGATGCATCAGGTTTTTCCTTACAGATATTTGGCGTTATACGTGGCTAATCAGTTTTTCGATCCGCTTTTTTTCCTTTTCAGCCTGTAGAAAGGTCACAAGAGAAGAATGGTGAAACTGAAAGACTCAAACAGTTGGTAACAGAGAATTCATCCCTTAAGGAAAGAACATCAGAGCTTCAAAATCAGCTTACTCGTCTTCTGGAAAAATTAAAATCTGAGAAAGAAAAAGTGAGATTTTTCGTTTTTGCTTCTTTGGTTTGTTTTGTTTTGGTGTGTTTTTACCAATGATATCCCATCTAATGGAAAAAACTTAAATGCTACTAACACTAACATGTTATAGGAGAAACGAAAAAAGACTCCTAAGAATGCTATCAATTCATACGCATCTACAATCAGTGAATAGAAAGAACTGCCATATAAAGGCCCTTCCATTTCAACTTTGTAGTCGCAGAATAGGACATTTTGGAAAGGAGGTGTTTTCAGTCGGTCATTTAGCCAGTTTATGAATTCTATTAGCAACCCGGTAAATGAGTATTTCCCATAGTCGGCCTTTAGCGTAATGTGAAAGCTAACTGTCACAAAATTTATCCACTTTTCAATGATTGCAGGCTGCCTTTCTTGAAACCAAGTTACCTTCCCACGAGCTCAAAACGTTTTACAATATAGAGGAAATGGAGAAAAGACTCAGAAGGACTGGTCGAGAGCTTTCGGGAACTCAAGAAAACCTGGACTCTGCTACGTTGAGGAGGATCGAAAAAGAAATTCTCACCATTGGTGACATTGTGAAAACCCAGTATGGAGACAGAAGTTTTGGTCACGTGTATTATAGATCAACCAATGAGGCCGAAGCACGTGCTACTCAGCTGGAAGTCGAGAAGAAACAATTGGAGATGAAGCTACAAATCGCGCGAGAAGCCATGAGTGAATACGTCAAACGTTTAAATGAAAAGGTAAGTGCATGGCGAGAAATGCAACATTAGATAATCATGGATGGTAAAAAGACTGGGGTTTCTTACCATATATACGCTTTAATGCAAGTGTAACACAGAGTGCAATAAGCATATTGTTTTTTATTATATACATACTGAGAAATACTCACCAAAAAGCTATGTCGTAAATTTTCGTACGCAAATGAGTTCTAGCCAATCAGAGGAGCGAACGATGGTTTTCACACGTGAAAAAAATGATACGTCCAATCAGAATCGCGAACGATGTTTTTTCACGTGTGAGAAAAATGATACGTCCAATCAGAAGCCACAGAGGTGTGTGAGTTTCGCGCCAAAATTCCCGCCTTTTATTGCAGCTTTCAGCGCCGCTTGGCACACATTCAACGAGAAAAGTTTTACTTAAAGAGTTTTTCTCACTAAAAAAGTGAAAAACATTTCGGAAATGGAGTGGAATAGTTTCGTTTGTTTCACTGTCCATAAAGAAAGCGGTAGACAGCCGGCGAAACAACAGCGGAAAGGGAAAAACAGAACGAGACGTAAGCTTTTGTTGTGCTTTTTGTCGGAGCTACTTTGCCTTCATTTAAGCTTAAGCTTATATTGAAACCGGCCATTTTACTTAAATTCACTCATTTTCAATTGTGCATTGAGAACAAACAGTTAAGATTACTTATAGTTCTTGGATTACCCCATAATCTTACCGTCATTTATGTTTTTAACAAACGTTTTTACCAAAAAGCTGATACTTCGTTTTCGTTGTCATTTTGCGGTAAGTGTGTAGCGGCAAATTTTAGCATTTTTGAAAGATTTAAAATAAAAAGGCCGCCAAAATGATGAATGTCTCAATATGTATATAATAAACACAATACCACATGGAAAGTGCTGGCGTACGGTATTTACGCACTCGTTGTTTTTGTATCAGAAATCTTACTCGTTCGCTGCGCTCACTCGTTCGATTTCTGATACGTCAACAACTCGTGCGTAAATACCGTACGCCAGCACTTTCCATGAAGTATTCTCTATATGTTAATCCCCTGATACGAATACATGTACATCCTGCTCACATTGGGGGTGGCTCCTCCTAAAACGTTCTGAAATTGTTGCAAGTTTAAACGAAGCCGATACCAATTGTGGAATTGCAAGCAGTTTAGACATGATTTTTAAAGGGTTACTGTATTTAGAGGGGGGAAGCTCATTCCCAGTCGCGCGTGTCTCGTGTCTGGCGCTCCTCGCTCGCTTCTTACTAGGTTTCGCTCCATTGTTACGTATGCAACCTTTAATACGCTATAAATCTGAACAGTGAGAAGTTATAGAAATCATTATAAATCATACCTTTATCCTCGATTCATTCGTTGATTTATATTGCTGCGGGGTATTCTCATAAGTAATCCTGAAACAAAGAATCCCCGAACAAAATTGTTTCAATCTAGAACACGTTGTCCTTAGTTACTAGCCTTTAACATGAGAAAACAATTTTTACTCGTAAAAGGTTTGTAAAGTTGGAGTTAATTTGTAAACCAGCACCTGAACCAGTTTGTTTTAGTAAAGAAAAGCAGTTTTGTTTTTGGAAACAAAAGCAGAAATTTGGGTGAAGTGATGTTCTGGCTTCCGCTTAATTTCATAAACTAAAAACAAGAGATTTTTCTCTTACTTAACAATAAGTTGCAATTAAAAGGCCCGTGTAAAAGTCCTTTCTTGTCGCTTTGTGAAAATCGACAATTTCTGACAATTAAATTAAGATTCGTCAATGTTGGAAGTCTTTTTTCAATGAATAATAGAGGCTTGGTTTTCCTTTGTTGATAAAGCTGTGTTCCGTACGAGACATACCACATAAAGAACATGTTGAAGACATTAAGATAAACGCTTTTAACGTCCCATCGAGCTACCATAAACGGTACAAAGGAATGCGCAGCTCATAGATTAACGCGTCAACTCTCCTTACTTTTCGCACAGTTTACACTCATGACGTACGCAAAAATGCATGAGCAACCGAGCAGACACGCGAATAAGTCTTCAAGTCACACCCAAATCAAATTTCTCTTGAATTGCTGGAAGTCAGTGAGACAGTTGTATCAAGTGATTTTGGAAACCAAACATCCCAATATATATATATATATATATATATATATATATATATATATATATATATAAATACTTGTATTCTGGGTAGAACGTATTCCGTAGAGCGCTCAATTCATTTAATTGAAGAGCATTGACTATTAATAATCACAGGAGTTCAGGCTTCAGGAGTAATCATTGATCGTTTATTGCGACAGTGCTGTTTCGTATGGTCCGAAATAGATATGAAACAGATATGTACTTCAGAACTCTAGAGTAACGTAACTAAGACACAATCCATCTGTTACCTAGATACTATCTCTTAACGCATCCCTATATTTACTGCCAGCTTTTAATTTTAACGGTCAATCGTTGAAGTTGCCTGATGAGTGTGGTCCTACAATTTCGGACCATACGAAACAGCACTGTCGCAATAAACGATCAATGATTACTCCTGAAGCCTGAACTCCTGTGATTATTAATATATATATATATATATATATATATATATATATATATATATATATATATATATATATATATATATATATATATATATATATATATATATATATATATATATATATATATATATATATATATAGTAATATAATGAATTGAAGATTTCATCAGCTATTAAAGTGCTCAATAGGTAAACTAGAGCGATGTGTAGATTTGCAGAGTTGGATTATTTGGTCGAAGACATTTATTGCTACTCAGAGTTTCATGCTCCTTGCGGAGCAATCATCAGGCAACTGCTAAAAATAACGGATACATATGAAGATATACAAAATTTGAAAATACAGAACAATGCGTAGTGGCATGACATGCAGAAATATGATTGGTTGCTAAGCGAATACGTTCTTCAAGAGGAATTTCTTAGAATGTCTACAATTAGATATCAGTTCGCTTCTGTTGTTCAGGGTTGACATTTCGGGTTTACAGATAATAAAATATTTTTCCCATAAGCAAGAGATGTAACTTGTGTTTATGGGAAAAATATTTTATTATCTGTAAACCCAATAATCCAACTCTGCAAATCTATATATATATATATATATATATATATATATATATATATATATCCTTAAGATGATGCCTTTCATAAAACCCTTATTTTACGGGTGACCCAAACGTGCATTGTTTCTCCGATTGGCCCACGAGCAAACTTTCCATTTGGGGTATATCGGCAAGAGTCACGGGCGAATGTAGCCTCCCACGCAGGCGTTTTTAGGGGAGCTCGTATTTCTTCCCTCCCCACAAACGCCTGCTCAACGGAAAACAACATTCCTTTCCCAAGCTTAGCCAATCACATTGTACTTTCCAAATTCTGGAAAGTTGACCTGGACCGCAAGGTAATCTGATAATTACTTGATCTGCATTAAACACTGGGAAAGCTTTCTGACCTGCAATAAATGTTAGATTCAGAGCGGCAAAAATAAGTTTTAGTCAAAATTCAGAATACTCCGTGCACTGCATATAACCTCGGAAGGAAAGAAAAGAAGGAAAACGGTAACTCTAAGGTCACGTTCAGTCGTGTGTAGCCTGTCAACACTTCATTGCACAATTGTTGATTGGTCACCTACCACGCAAATAAAACAATGAGAAAGGAATGTTGTTTTCCGTTGAGCAGGCGTTTGTGGGGAGGGAAGAAATACGAGCTCCCCTAAAAACGCCTGCGTGGGAGGCTAGGGCGAATGGCACAACAGGAGATGCGGATGAGTTGGGTGGATATCTGGAAAGCTTGCTGAGCAGGCTAGCATTTTGCAAGTCGGAAATCTGGGTTTTGGCCATTGAACCATGGAGTTTGTATCGATAAACGTAGCAGGAATTAACAGAAATAAACACCGCCAAGGTTTGATGACACTTTCAAAATTTACTTGTACTCATAAAGTGATTGGTCGATATTTTTGGATTAAAAAAAGAAAAAAGAAAGAAAAAGAAATAGCGAATCTCGGCTAGGTTTATCAATATATCACTCCTTTGCTTAATTTTTAAAGCTTTTTAGTACCCAGTTTTCTGAAGCGCACGTTGTGCTTCGGTCATTTGCGCTAATACACCAATTTATGAATTAAACAAAATTCAAACTTGGCTCCGAGGGTTTCTCCGATATGAAACCCTGCATCTCAACGCTCTTTCTTTTGTCTTCACTCATCACCCTCGAAGCCAAGTAAGAATTTTGAATTATTTAAAATTTGGTTTTGCTTGCATAGATGCAGGATGTGACGAGTATGACTGGAATCTCCGAAGAAATCGTCCAGGAGTTACACTCCAGGAATAACAGCTTAAAAAAGAGTCTACAGGCCCTCGAGGAAGGGCAGAAAGTGTCTCACCTGCAGAATGAACAACTTCAACATCAGAAATCAGCTCTTCAAGACCTCATAGGCGGCTTGTGCAGAGACGAGAAGATACCTGGTACGTCATATAACTCGTCATCAAGACTCCTGGATACCAAGCATGACGGAAGAAGTCACGTGGCTAGAAGTACTTCACCCAGTTACCAAGACTACAGATATGACAACAAGTATAGCATAGGCTTTGAAAACAGACACCGTGCGAACGATGACAGTGAGAGCGAAAGAAAGCTGTCATATAAAGAATTACAAGAGCCCAAAAATGAAGCATGCAGCCGGTGTTCTAGAGTGGATCAATTTTCCACGGTATTTGAGGAATATCCAAGCAGATATTCCAACTATGAGTATAAAGATTTCGGACGAGTTGGCGGTCTGTATTGAGAACCTTTTAAATCAGTAATATGATACAACAAAAAGAAAAATATGACAACCTTTTCTATAATCATTTTATGACTAGGCTTATGGAGATTGCGCAAGTAAATTCCTTAAATTTGATAAAAAGGTGTTCAAAATAAGAAAAAAATGTGTTAAACGTGCGACGCACATGTAAACGCAAACCGGCACAACGCAAAGAAATACAGTACACGTTTGAACTCACGATAATGCTAAGGCAAATGACGCACGAAATTTAAAAATTTCCATTTCGTTGCACTTGCATTTGCGCTTGCGTTCGGATTTTAAACCGCGAACGAGGGCAAAGGAAACGTAAAGTACGAAAAGACAGGTTTCATCGGTTCCACGCTAACACAGCTCAGTGGTAAAGACCTGGGCTGACGTACCTGCGTATGGCCCGACGTGTGAACCTCGTTTGCATGTGCATTTGCATTTGGTGTGAACAAGGCCTAATAGACCCTTTGCAGCTAGCCATTCACGTGCTGCAAAACCGCCGTGCTGGAGAGCAAAAGTAGCACTGGGACAAGACAAACAAAGGAAATTACCATTTAAAATTATGTAATATGTGTTTTGTTTGTCCAGTCCCAGTGCGACTTTTTCTCTCCAGCTTGGCGGTTTTGTATCACGTGAATGGCTAGCTTCAAAGAGCCTATTAAGTGTTTCAGAGCACAGTATCCACTCCTTTCAATTAGACGTCATTAGAACATGACAGTTCCTCTGTGGTATCAATCCCATATTGTAAATTATAATAAATTACCACGGGCAACTCTATCCGCTAGTGGCCTGAGCAACAAGTGCTTCTGGGGAACTAGGGGAGGAGCGAAGCCTCCTTGTACATAATTTTAAAGTAACTTTTACCTTTTAAATTTCTATCATGTAGTCATAATTTAAAGACTATCGTAAGGCTTTCGATCTTATTGATCACAATCTGTTGGCCAGAAAGATCGAAGCGAAACGGGGAAGAGAGTGAAGGAACGGATACACTAACCACACCCTCACTTTCTCTCCCCCTTTTCTTTTTTTCAAATCTCCCCTCCCCTGACCTTTGAGGAAGGCCTGATACCTGAGTTGTAGCTAAACGCTGCTCAGGACACCCAGAAAATAGTAGATTGCAAAAGCCAAAAAAATATATACAAATATTCCTTGTAGGAAATTGCTTGCAATGGAATGAAATTTTTTTGTCAAGCGGTAATTCGTTTTATATAAATGAAACTTTGTTCCTCGATATGAGGGGTTTTATTACCTAGTAGGGGATACGTACATAAAGGTATATCCAATATCCTGCGGATAATCTCTTGCCACACCAGGAAAGTTCCATCAGGGTATGTTTGAGCTCTTACAAGTTTCGGCTCTATTCTGAATAATGCACCAGCCACTGTGCCAGGTGGTAGACAGGCTATGTATGTAAACAGAAGCATATATGCCTTTGGTTATATACCTCTGATGTAAATGCCTGGTTTAAAAAGGCTGTACATGTGTCACGAAATTTATCAAAATTCAAACAGTGGGAACTGCCACCAAATTGAATAAAACATAAAAAATAACAGGCCCCGGTTGTTCAAAAGCAGGATAGCGCTATCCACCGGATAAGTCACTATCCAGTGGATAAGTATTAGGAGAACCAATTGCGCTATCTAGTGGATAGAGATTTATCCGATAGATAGCACCATCCACCTTTTGAACAATCGGGGCTAGATCAACACGTTAAAAGACAGTATAAATAACAAAGCAATTACAGTAAGAACGTGTACTTGGCAATATTAAGCAAAATGAATTAAACAGCCGTGAAACGGCCCATTTAAACTATTTTAAACTTCAACTGGTTTGGATGTCTCGGATTTTCGCACACTCAAATTTTCTTACAAGCAAGCCTTATTAAGCTGATACCCCACAAGTAATATTTACTGTAATCAAGAGATAAACGTCATTATACTTTGCCTACTGTAAATCCACTTTAAAATATGGGTTTGATAGTCTATGGGACCATAGTTAGTAAAGGAGACTGGTTACGAAAGCCGAAATTAACGCGATGTTTCTCTTCGTCAGTGAGCTCAAAACGATATAGGAATGCTACTGTACGTTGTGCACGGTCACGCCCAAAAAAAGCGAACAAAAACATGTAACAAAGAAGTCTGATCGGCTTTATAACCATTGCTCTGTATTAAGTATAAGAACATGCACTAACCATTCTAAAGAAAAGGTGTCGCGATCTTGGCCTCGTTCGTTCAAATATTGGGTAGTGTATCCATGGAATAAATTACTATCCGTTGCATTAATAAGTGTTAAGGAAACCAATTTCGTTATCAACAGACCTTTCCACGTTTTTTTTTTTAACTTTTGACATGGAATAGTTAGCAAAAAATCGTCCACTCTGCTGGAAAAAGCGCCTTTAAATAACGAACATATAGCTCCTCAAAATCGCGAAATTTTACAGAAGTTTGTATGGTGGGAGGCAAACGTTTGTAAACTTTCGCGACTTTGCAAAGCCATATCGTCGCACGCTTGAGACGTATCACTTTCAAACTTGGCAATTTTACTAATTAAAGGAGCGCTTTTCTGTGGTTTTGACGGATTTTCCCTTACTGGTCCAAGTCTAAACCGTGGAAGGGTCTGTTGGCTAGAGATCTATCCAGTGGATAGTGTTATCCACCTTTTGAACAACTTGGCTCTGATTACACAGCACAATGTAAATGCTTCTAACTTATTAAAATGAAACTTCAACATTCCTAGATTTCAAAGGACAGCGTGTTGTAAATTCAAAGGATTCTTACCTTCTTTTCATAGTCAGAAGCCGCTATCTTGCTGGATTCGAGATTCTTGATCCATTCCACCTCGGTGGAAACTGCCCGATCCACTCCCCGACACTGCAGCTCTCTTGCACATTAAATAATGGAAAATTCGTCGCTTCCGGCGGGGGTTTACATATGGCAACAAAAAGCAATTGGATGTAATTGTATGTCGTTATATCAAGAGACCATAGTAACTTGTTGTTAAAATAAGTCCCAGTTATCGCTGAGGGTGGTCACATGCTACCTTAAAATTTTACAATCTTTTGATGAGAAGTACAGACTAATATGTAACTCTGAAACCTAAACTATTAGATTGGTAATAGTAAAGGGTTACGGAGAGCGGGCGACAACGATCGAAGGTCAAAACGCTTTTGCTCCAACGCTATGCTTCGCGCAAGTCTCACTTGATACATGGTCAAAACACGCATGATCAGATTACAAGTGATAGAAGGTTCAAACGCGAGTAATCAAATTCCGTTCTGTGCATTCCATTCATTCTTAGTGGAAGTCCAAACGAATGCTGGGTACATACATGCGACGCACGCGTTAGGATTGCAGGCTCCTCTTGTCGCTCGCAATTTAATGGTTATATTTGTGAGATATATGGCAACGCCGACTGTGTAGTTAAAAGAAGAGACTTGAACAGTCCATTTGAGTTGAGCCACATGCAACCAGGCGGGAAAAAGAGTTTGTGCAGAAAAAATAAACGTCGAGAATTAAATCGAAAAAAATCAGAATTGGTGTTGTTTCCTAATTTTCACGTTTCTATTTCATCACCATTGAAATCAGACGAAATAGAAACAAAATACTAGAATAGCTGTAAATCAAAGTTAAAATAGGTTGCTACCTACTTCGGACAGCTTCCTTGAATTGTTAGTTCTCCAGGGGCAAACTTAAGGCGACCATCAATTTTCCAACGTCTAACATGATAGAACACAGTCGACTTCGAAAAAGGGCGCAGTTACATTCAAATTAGCCTTTTCATTGCAAAGTTCGTTTAAAATCGCCACTGGCGACTGGGTGACCGCCAAATTGAACCACGCCCGATATTGACCAGGTAAAGCCTAACAAGCTACAGTCTACTAAAAATTCACTATATAACCCTAAAAGAAACACGCCTGGAGATAATATATGGCGGGTTTTATTTACTATGTATGAAAGAAAGGGCATTGGCTAAATATACAAATGGTGTTACTCAGCTTGATTAATATGTACTTATGAATACGTTCATGGTGGTAATCATTGATTTTGAATTCGCTGGACCAAAGTTAGTAGAGGAGACTGGTTACGATAGGCAGCAAACATCAAAGATAAAAACAGTAGTGCTGCAGCGTTATGTTGAAAGCTCCCTGATGGTGCAAAATCCTTTGTTTCCTGTTCACAAATTGACTGAATAAATTAATGCGACATTTTTAGCGGCAGTAAGATCAATGATAGGAATGCTATTGAACGTTGCGTACCGTCGGGTCCATAAAAACATATCAACAAAAGAGTCTGACGGGCTTCATAACCACTCCACTCTATTAACTTTGGTTGGACTAAGTCTGAAACAAAACTTTAATTCCAGAATGAAATTTCAAGAGCTTGAGAACTTGATGGATTGATAGACAAATTCTCCTTAATGGCGTTATAAATGTTAATATACGCTAGCTGTACAAAAGCTGTCACAGCAGTGGCCACAATTTTGTTAAAATTTTATCAGCTTGCATGCTGAAAGTGGTTCGAAAACAGCAATATTCGAAAGGCCAAAAGTAGCTTTCTGCAATTGCTGAAGCGTTTCAGGAAAAGTGACCTTACATGTCGTTCCATTAGACAAAAACTATAAAATATATAAAATTATGTTCTGACAATGTTTTTGCTTTAGCAGTTCTACAGGATTAGTACGAAATACAATTGAAATTCACATTACAAAAATATTTTAAACTATGAATGTTAATTAGGTCTATAGGTTAGTCTTGATAATCAGTTCACTCGATGTCTATTGTGAGTTGCCACGTCCGCCTGGAAAGTTGTAGTATATATCAAAAAGTTGGAAACCTCTTTAGGTCTTTTGTTCGTTTTCTCGCACATACAGTAAATGCTGTATAAATACTTGAAAGATAAGTCCAAATATTTCATTTGGAGCCAGACCACGCATTCGTGTTAGAAGCTTTAAAGAGGTTCGCAAAACATGCACCCAATAAAGGGATAGGAATGCGTTTCAGGAATTGGCTCGGATGACGTCATAACATGCATGAGCGATGTCTTTACGTATGAGTCGTATGAGGTCGTGAAGGATGACGTAATAAGGACCAGAATGGCTGTTGACAGTTCATGCTGTCCATACACGTACACGAAGTTATTTCTCACGATGTAACAAAAAAGACAGCTACTTGTTTTCAGGCAATGGCGTTGGCTCCACATAGTTTAGAGATGACCCTCTGCAAAGCTTTCTTCTGCTCTGTTAGTTGCCTGTTTGCCTTCTCAGCTCTCTTCTCATTGGCCTCCGTTTGTTGCAGGGCTTTGGTCAGTTTGGAATTTTCAATGTAAAGTTCCTGAACGAGATTGCCTGAACGCGTTGCACTGATCTCTGTTTGTTGGAGCTGCCAAGAAAACACAAAAAGGAATCATTCTTATCAATTCACCAATTCACAGAAGTTATAAACACAGCTAGTACAAGTGCTAGACCAACACTAGTGTTCGACAAAACAAGACGTGAACTTTATTTTTATACAGCACACAGAAAAGAAGAGCGAGAAAAAGACAATACTACTTAAGTAAGACATAAAGCCACCTACAAAATACTTAAAACGCTAATCTAGCTAGGAGGCATAATACAGGGGCACCCAACGACTCCTTTCTGTAAAATATCTGTTCGGAATAGCAAATATTGCCTAGAATTTTCTATTACTTGAGGACGGCTAAAAATTTCTAGATGACCGTTCCATTCATGTACAATTTCAAAGCTTATCAAAACGGCTGGAACATTTCAAACGCTTCTCGAGGACGAACTCCCCTAATTACAGTGAACCCTGTATTGTATTAAGCAGGGGACCTTCGCTGGTGACCGCTTCATTGAGGTGTCCTCTCAATACAGGTTCGTTCAACAAGAAATAAGTGAAGAAACGTTTGAAATAAACTGAACCATTCGTTCGCTCAATACAGGGTGTCACGACACTGTACTGCCTAATATTATCACACCAATTCATTATGAATATCAAAAAGGAAAAAAAATGTTCATATCCTGTAACTACTCCTTACGCTCTACAAGGCGCAAAGCAGATAGGTAACAGCTAAAAGGTATAACTGCGATGATTTAGCAGATGTTTAGAGGAAGTTCCAGGCAGATGAAAAGGTTTTGTGAATGAATAATAACGCAATCCGTGTCTACCTGTTTACTGAGTCTCGCCACGTGTTCGTCCAAGGCTTCTCTAGTCTGTTTCACTTGATTTTGCAACTCCATTTTTTCTTTCTCCAGTGACCTGATCCGTCCTTCCCATAGATTACTAGCACTTTCAAGTTCTCGTAATCTTCGAGTCTTTTCTTCGAGCTAAATGATGAAAATACCTATCTTTTAACAACGGGTGCAATAACATTAACATTGTTATGGAAAAATTTACAACAACGAAACAGGAATTTTGAAGCCGAAAATCCAATGGACAGCGTTTTCGGCAGCACTGTTTGAATAATCAATAAGACCTACACCCCCAAAACACCAAAGTTTTTGATAACTTGAACATACTTTTTTTTTTTGGCAGATTTGAGGTCCGTACTGTAAATTTAAAACGAAGGTTTTTCTACAATTTATGGCCCGAAAAGACAAGGATCCGTCGCTAATAAGATAAATATCATACCGCTTTCGTTCCGTAGAACAAGAAATAAATGCCTATCAAAGGATTTTAGACCCAGGCCTTCAAAAGTTGTATTCTCTTTTTGTTGGCGCAAGTAAGCAAAAACATACTAACAGGGTTTACAACGTGCTAAACTATTAACAATTGATCTACTTTTTATATATTTTTTGTCGAAATAGACGCTATTTAGTCAAAGAAAAGATCTTAGTTTCCCTTTTAAATTTCAGTCAATACCGCAGGGGTTATGGAACGAAAATGGACGCAACAACCCAACAAGAAAACATTTAACCAAGTCGATAATGTGCGGGAAAATTACCTTTCCTTTGATTTCTTTTTGTGATTCTACATGTGAAGTATGAAGTGAGTCAGTGACAATAAGAGGTTTTCAGCTTTGAAACACTCGCAAATGGGAGCTCTCAATGCTAAATACCTTGATTGAATTTAATAACAAAACCCACCGTTTGCTCTTCAATCAGCTCAGTCTTCGATTATGGAAACTACAGGCCGGACCAAACGGGCATGATGATTGATGATAGTTTCAATTATTATTAACTATCATTCAATACCTTGGCTTCAAGCCAAACAGATCATGATAGCGCGTGATAGACCATGATAGTCGAAACTAATGTTTACAAAGCATGGACTATAAAGAAAAACGCCAGGAGGCAAAACTCGCCGTTTTATCATCTTTCTCACCACCAGACTAGCCTTATATCCTACATGTAAATACCTAAAGTCATTTTTTCCACTGTGTTTTGCCTTGGGTACAGAGGGTCCGCCATTTTGAAAGGACGAAGAAGGGTGGGAACGTCGATTTAGACGAGAAAAAGCTGACCGAACTTCCATCGACTATCACGAACGTGACCAATGGGGAAACCTTTTATCGACTATCATTACACATTTCAACATGTTCTTCATCTATCGTGACTATTTGGCCCCGCTTTGAAGGAATGAAGCTTCACTCTCACCTTCTTGCTCAGTGCCATAACCTCCGCTTTTGCTTCGTTGAAGACTTTTTCTCTGAGCGCTTGATCCCGATCGCTCGCCAAGTTAGCACGATGAAGCTGTTCTTTCAAATCGCTAACCTCACGCTGATGACGCGATCTCATTGTCATCAGCTCAGTGTTTGCAAGTGCGGCCTACAAGAAAAGAACATCCGAACGAAGAAAATTAATTTGTTCTTCAACAAACACAATGGCAACAACAAAAAAGAATTGCAGAGTAACAAAATGACTTACCAACATGTAAGGACACATCTTACCACACATCATATAACACGTCAAGTTACCTCTGTTACGTCACGCAATGTCACACACTGTCACACAATTAACGTAACGCAAGCTGCAAACCAAACTTTACAACACATACAAACAAACTGCTTCGATGCAAAACACACATTATAACATAATAAACAAAGAGAACATAAAAAGGGAACACAGAACACAAAAGAGTTACGGTGAAAAGAGGGGTTTCATAAATTCTACATTATGTGTAGACGTTAGAAAATCGAAGAAGTAAGAATTTGCGAAACACATTAAGGTAATTTTGCTGCGACCTACAATCTGACTTTCGACTGCTGTAGGTCGTAAGCTACAATTGACCCAGGTTTGCCCTCACCTACTTTAAATGGACACAGTGAACACGTATTGTGCAGGAAGTGGTATTAATGAGAACACAATCCAATCACAAATAACTTCTCAAAAACGAATTTTCGCTGTTCACGAACCCGAATTTTCGGGTCAAAGTATGCAAAGTATCCAAGTGGTCGTAGAGATAGATATTTTTTAACAGAAATTACTTGACAAGGTAGGTGTGAACCAACAAAACGTCGCAGTACAACAATTCAGACTTCTATAAGTTGTTCGAAGACGGGTGGTGACAAACATTTTCTGCTTTGAGTAAATCCTTTCAAACATACCTTCTGCTTTTCAGTTTCCATTTCTCTCTTATATGTTCCCTGTGCGTTGGCCAGTCTTTCTTTTAGCACATAAACCTCTTCTTGAAGAGTATTAGCTTTTGAGTTTTTTTCGTTTAGAACTTTTTCCAACACCTGCTTCTTCCCTTGGATATCTTCCAGCCTCTTCTCCATCGTGATGAGATCATTTCTGGCCTGTTAAAAGTTTGAATGATAACCTTTACGGAGGTGCATTGTTGCGAGCCCCTTATAACGGGCAGGTTTTTAGCAAATAAATCCTTTACCCTTGGTAAATTAAAGATCGTGGAAGCGAAGCTTCCATTGAGATGTGAAATTCCGATAATCTGTTAGGTAAGGAGACCTTTGATTTGTTAATGTACCAGTAGCCTATAGAGCAGCCAATTATCTTCAAACTCGTTCAATTTGTTTTCAGAACGCACTTTCCTGATCCCTACAGACACGTAATGTGTTTTATCCAATAATATCGCAAGATCGCAAGACGTAATGACTTAACTGCAGCCCCAGTGCAGTGGGAAGCCTTTGTCACCAGGTGTCCACAAAACGGGATTTAACAATACCAATTAGGCTAAGTTCATGAGGCACTCGTCAAATTTTCGACAGGGTTAATATTGGTGCGTTTTGGTGTTCAGTTCACACTGAACCACCCTAACCGTACGAAAATTTAAACACTTTGCTGTTCAAAATTCAGTGTGAACAAAGCCAAAATCTTGAACAGTCCCGTGTGAACGAAGTGTTCGGTCAAATATTTCAGCCCGTCGAAAATTCGTTCGGTGGCGTGTGAACAGATACACATTAGGCGACATGTCGCTGCAACACTTCGCGGCGATAAATCACTCCGTGTGTACAGGTTGGGCGATAAGTTGCGCGACAAGTCCCAGTGACAAATCGCTCGGTGCGTACTCCGTCTGGTGAATTCATGTGCAAATCTTTGTCTCAGCAACAGAATTTTGTCGCCTCAACAAGTCGCACAAATTCAGTCTTATTTTTGATTTTTTGCGACTTGTTGCCCTGACAAAAGTCTGTTGCGGAGACGAAGATTTTGACAAAAATTCTCTAGTATACAAAGAGCGATTTGTCGCAGCGACGTGTCGCCGCAACGTGTTGCAGGAACTTGTCGCTTGGTGTGTTCCGACCTTAACGACAATTAATGAAAAATAACCTGAGAAAGATAGTATTAAATAAGTTCTACACATTAAAAGCGTACATTAAAGCTGAAGGTGACAAACAAGCATCAACACTTAGTTCACATAACATCAGATACGGCAGAAATAGAAGGATACAAGGAACAAAAGCTCCACATCACTATTATCAATAAAAACACTGTACACACGAACACAAGTATTAACCGTGAGCATACAAGCCTGTGGGCAGCAGGAAGGAGCCTGAACGCTTCAAGCCATTAAATTAGAGCAAAATTGAACATATCAAAGCTACGACATCGAACTTAAACCACTACCTATGAAAGCACCTTTTTAACTTGGCCACAAAAAGACACCAAGCACTGTTATGTTATAAGCCGAATTTACAAGTCACGTTTTTGTTTGTTGTGATTATTTTTTGTGCTACTTTTTGTACGGGTAAGAATGAAAACGGCGTGTTTCAATTATTTTTTTTTTACTTTACGATTGAAAAGTTGTTCATTGGAATATATCTTCTTGGGAAAAACAAAGTTTAATATTAGGGTTAAGTCGGGTTTTTCGGTCATTACCTTTTATCAAATTAATGGATACAACAAAGCATTTTTACATTCATGTAGATTACTGATTTTCCACTAAAGACAATGTTGAGTTAAACCTGATTTGCTAAATTTTTAACAACAGTTTGCTTTAATAAAAAACAGGTTTTTAAATTACGCGCGTTTCTGCACCCTTGGTTTATATATGGTACACCCTTATTCGTATGTAAAAAGAAAAAAAAATCAAATTACCGTGACATAAATAATTAATCATCCTTAATCATTTTCATTTCTAAAATAGTTCGTTTAATCTGGAGTTTAAATCTGTTCGTCAAGCTTTAATACAGTTTTACTTGTTTTAATTGTCGAAACAGCATTAACATTGTCTTTAAAGTCATCGACAAGGTCAGGCATTATGTCGTCGTTGACTATATTTATTATACTATTTAGAATAAACGACGGAGTGTTATGGTTCGTGTCGGTAACTACTGTTTATGTGTTCAGAGCGAAGGGACGCATGTCACGTCAATTCCCGGGGTCATCACGTCCCGGATGTACTCCAGTCTTATGTCTGCTGAGAAAGGCTGCTTCTGAAATGCCGATTTAAAAAGTTGTTTGGTAGCGGAATTATGGTTATTATGTTATGTTTTTTTTGTTTTCACACAAATTAGTGGTCATTATTGCAATAAAAAGCGTTATAGAACTGCCACACAATAAGAGTGTTACAAAGATGAATGCAGTTATAGAATAAAGAAAGCCTTCACCAGCTAAGGAGCTGTAAGGGCTCCTCTATACGCGACACATTAGCTGTATTAACTGATAAAAGCCTTTGACAATCAAGGAGCTAGGAGTTCCTCTATAGGCCACACATTATCTGTTTAAGTTGGTTAGGTATTACTTTGCCACACATAAGAACATTAGGAGATAGCTGCTATTGTTACAGTTAAACGCAGTGGATCAAAAGCAATTAACAGCAAAATAGTAATAATAAACACCAATAGTTGACGGGACCTTCTCAATTTCAAACTCCTTCTGTCTCACGTGATCCATATCCGCCAGCTTCTGTGTCAGCTGCGTCACTTGTTTTTCCAACTGCCTTGTTTCATCTCCGCGCTGCTCAAACCTCTGTTCAAGAGCCTTGTAGGCACTTTCCCGCACACCAAGCATGCGCTCAAGTTCCCTTACTCTGACGTCATCTTTGTCAGCAATCCTTTTGGTCAGCAATTTCAGCTTCTGTTCCAGCTCCATGTTGTGCTTGTTACGCTGGTTCAGCCGCTGCTCCAGATCTTTGTTCTCAGTTTCCCAAACGGTCACCCGTGTTTTAAGCTCTTGAAGACGCACGGTCTCCGCGTCCGCGAGCTGATTGGTAAGCTGAGCAGCCTTTTCCTCCAGCTCGGTCCTCTGTTTGTTATACTCGTTAACCTTTTTCTGTAATTCACGGTTTTCAGTTTCTTTGACCGTTAACAACGCATCCAGCTCCCTTGACTTTTCTACAGCATTCTTTAAGTCGGTCTGCAGCTCCGCCATTTCACTCTCTAACTCTGCATTGTTCTCTAGCAATCTTCCATTCAATTCTTGGTTTTCTAGATCACGGGTGCGTAGCATGTCCTCAATCTCTTGGCTTTTGTTCATGATATCTTTAAGTTCAGCTTCGGTTGAAGCCAAACCATTCAGCTGGGAATCTCGTTCCTTCAATTTCTCCTCCAACTGCCCTTTTTCAGAACTGCTCAAATTTAAACTTACTTCCAGCTCGTTAACTCTTAGTTTGGCTTCTTGAAGTTCCGATTCCATGTTTCTACAAGTCTCTTCTAATCTTTCCTTCTCAGAGCTGCTGTTACGAAGTTTCAATCCCAAGTCCTCCGCTTCGGAGGCTCGTAGATTTAAAAGCAAATCCATCTCTTCAGATTTAAGCTGAAGTTCTTTGACCTGTCTTCCCATTCCTTCACTCTTCACCTTTCACAACAAAGTGTCAATAGCTTACTAAAAGACTCTACACCTAACATTGACGAAACTAAAATAAAACGTGCTGGAAAACTCTGAAAAAAATTCTCCAAAAAATTTGGGAGAAAAGTGGACTCATTAAGTAACTTGATATTTACACGCATCCATCTGCAACACTGAGAAATAAAAAAGGGGACAATAGAAACAAACAAACAAATACAAGATCGAAATCGTGGGATAAAATACGAATGGCAGAATTGTACAAAACTGCTTCAATAGCCCAAGGCGACAGAAAGAGGAACCAGACAGGATAATCGCTCAAACGTGTGGTAAGAACGTGGTTGTAATCAACCTTCATTTTCCCCCAGCCTGCCCTAACATCTTTTGACTGCTCTCTTGTTTAAGTCATGATCCGGGTAAGACGGGAAGCAATTTCTTTTGTTATGGCGCAATACGCTTTCCTCACATAGGAATGTTTTCATTTTCAAACAGAGAAGGCATAATCCCAGGCAGTTTACGAAATAAAATGCATTTTAACTTCATTAAAAGATTTCGATAAATCATAAGAGTTGAAAACAATAGCCAAGAAAATTTTACAACTTTAAATGTTCCTCACATAGGATTTCTGTGTTACTTAGACTCACGAGATTTTGTTATAAGGAAGTTGGTTGAAAACAAGGGACTAATGTACATGGTGCTTTGCGAAGATTTCGTAAAATTTGATGTTTAAACCAATCAGAAGTGTAGTAGAGACAATAGTAAAGTTAACATCTTTTCGCATTCAGACGTGTTCACTGCGTTTGGTTCTTTCCTTCTTGTCGGAATCATTACTTAATAGCTAGCCACCTAAAATGGTACACGTTGAACAGGAGACTTGTTTCACAGAGTATGAGTTACATGAGCGAACCATGCTTCGTAACCCAACCGCATAAAAATCTGCAACAATTTACACAACGTATCCTCGGCTAAGTACAAACGCAGTAAATTCCTGACGGCAAAGGAATTTAAAACCTGAAAATTCGATCACTCGAAACCAAGCACCCCACACAACCCACTATCGAATCGCTAGAGTCGAAAAGACACCTGTTTAATCTCTTTAACCCAAGAGTGACCAACAGAAATTTTCTCTTAAGGACTCAAGGTGTCACGAGAACTAACAAAATGATCACCAAAGCCAAAATGCCTTGATCGTTTATCAAATTCCCTCAACTTATTCTTTAGGAAAATGTATGGACATCAGTCGGGAGAATTTGTGTGTGGATAATGGGGCTTAAAGTTAAAGGGTTAATAAAGTGGAAAATTTAATTTATCGACACAGTTGATAAGACTGAATGTTTGTACCAAATTCTTGTAATATACTCTACCAGCGGGCACAACAATGTGGGTGCTCTGATTGAAACGAAACTGTTTTAGTACAAAACAAACACGTAAAAACAAGCCAGTTCAGGGAACAAAACTTGCTAGTATGATCTGCCTGTTAACCGAAGACTTCTATCGACATCCTGTCACACAAAATACAGATACCAAATATAACTTGACTGAGGTCAAGTTAAACTTAAAACAGTCAGTGCAAATTATTACAAAGGCACCTACCTTCTCCGCTTCTAAAAGTTGCCTTTCTTTTTCTAGAGTTTCCCTTTCCAAAGCCACCTTCTCTCTTTGTAGCTCGTCCAAATAAACTTTCTGCTCCGTAATTTCTTTTACGCTGTTTTCCAGAATAAGTCCTTTTTCTTTCTCCAAAGCATCCACTTTGCTCTCCAGCTGAACAACCTTTTCACGAGTTAGTTTCAACTCTACGGCTTCCTTATCACTGCGAGTTAAAGTTTTTAACTCCAGCGTTTGGACTTTCGCCTCGAGCTCTCGCTTTTGCTCCTTAAGAAAATTAATTTCATCTTGTAGATGTTTTACTGTCTGTTCAAGAAGTTCAGTTTCGGTTTTGAGTTTAGTGGCGTATTCCTTTTCAAGTTGAGATCGAAGTTCTATCTTCTCCTGAACGTACTCTTCTTCTAGCTCTTGTTTCTCCCGAGTGAAATTTCTCTGAAGATCCTTGATCTTCCTCTGGTAACTCTCCTCAAGTTCGTTTCTTTCACGAGAGTAAGTTTCCCGGATTTCCTGCAAACCTACAGTACCACTTTTCTCAAATTCGGCCTTTTCGCGCGAGTAACTTTCTTCCAACTGTACTTTTTGCTTTGAAAAGCTTTCCTCTAACTCAGCCTTATGTTTTTCCACCAAACGCAAGAAGTCGTTTTTCAACTGTCCCTTCAGTCCGGCCTCTCCTTCAGTAAACGCTTGCTGCAGCTCCGTTATTTGATGCTTGTAGCGCTGTTCCAACTCAGCTTTCTCGCGAGAAGCGTTCTGTAAAAGCTTGGCTTTTTCTTCAGTGTAATGTTCTTCCAGTTCTGCTTTCCATTTCTGAAAAGCCAATTCGCTGTGAGTGGAATTTTCATGAAAACCTTCCTCGATTTTTGCTCGTTCCTCGTCGAACTGTTTCTCTAAAGCCGACTTCTCCTTCAAGAAACCGTTTTTCAGCTCAGCCTCTCGCAAAGCAAGGGTGTGATTGTGCTCGTTTTCAAGGTTTTCTGTGAGTTCTACTTTTTCTCTAGCAAACCTCTGGTCGATTTCGTTCCTCTCGCGAGTGAACGATTCACGCAGTTCGGCTTTTTCTCTGGTAAACCTCTGCTCCATTTCGGCCTTTTGCTCCACAAAACTCTGCTTGAGGCTTGCAACCTCCTTGGCGTGAGATTGCTTAAGTTCCCAAGTCTGGTTTCCGTATTCCTCCTCCATTTTAGATTTTTCTTTCCTTAACTTGTTCTCTAGTACGCTGACCTGTTCTTTATGTGCGGTCTCGAGCTCCGACCTCAGGTTCGTCCACTCGTGTTTGTCCTTCTCCATAGCGGCTACCTTAGTTGTGTTCTGCAGTTCCCATTCGGCTTTATCGATCCTGAACTGTTGTTCCAGCTCCGCTTTCTCGTTTAACAGCTTCAACTCCACTTCTGTCTTGTCATTTTCCACCGCTTGTAGCTTCTCCATCAAGCGGCTCTGCTCCATTTCCATCTTTTCTTTTTCTTTGTCCAGCTCGCCCTTGAATAATTTCTCCAACATCTCTTTTTCGCCCCTGTGTTCCTCCTCCATTTCGGATTTCTCGCTCTCGTACTCGGAGATCAACAATTCCCTCTCCTGTCTAAATCCATCCTCCAGCTCATTCCTGAGGTTCTCCCGTTCGCTCTTCAGCGAACTCTCCAAGTCTTTCATCTTTGCTTGATACTCCTTCTCCAACTGTTCCTTTTCTACGTTAAAGCTCTTCTGAAGACCCTCCATTTCGCCTGTAAACTGTGCAGTGAGATTCGCTAACTCGGTGTCGAATCTCTTCCGTGTTTCTTGGTTATCGGACGCAAGAGAACCTGTAAGTGACCCGATCTCGTCCTTGAGCTCGTGGATAGTTGCCTCTCGCTCCTTCAGTTGTCCTTCTTGCTGTCTGATCGTGTCACCCAGTTGCTGCACCTTTTCTTGGAATTCTGTTAAGGACTGTTTCTGCTCAGACAATAGTTTTTCTTGTTCGCTGATCGATGATTCTTGTTCTTCAACTTTGGCTCTGTGAGTCTTAATCTGCTCCTCTTTTTCCTTCAATTCACTCTCCAGCTTCTCAATGACTTCTGAATTAAAAGAAAAGAGAAGCGAAAGGGTTTAATAAGCTAGAAAAGTAGTTATCAAAGTATGGATTGAGTTATATGCTCCGTGATAGAGGTGAATCAATATCTTCTTTAGGATCTATCAATTCACCGTGAGTTTTTGTATCTACGATCATTCAGTTTATATTTTTAGATTGCAAATTCATTTCTGTCACAGGTAAACTTGAGGTCATACTGATTTTTCTCCTACTAAGCCATTTCCGAGTTTGCCCGGGCCTCTGTATCAAAACGAGGTTAAGTCCTCAGCCTTTGATATGGAAATTATTTTCATTCTCATGCAAATAAAACTCATTTTCACAAGAAAGGTTGTGCACTTGGCCTCATTTGAAAGTGAGGGTTTTTGGAACTCGGAAGTGGCCTATTGGCAATCTCAGTGCAAGGTGCTATGTCCATCCACAGGAGGTGAGAAGAAAACTGAGGCCCGAATAGAAGTAAAGTAAGTAAGTAATCAGTTTAATAACAGGGTTTCCACATTACGGCTCTTCAACTGTTACTTATAAAGAAAATAATAGAACAAATAACGATTAAAAGAGAAAGTATTTACAATGCTCGTATGAATAAAACTTAAAGTACAATTAAGATAAGCTGGCCTGTGCCTGGTTCTTTAACTAAAATACATTAAAATAGCCAAACTTCTTAAGATTATAAGGAAGGTTATTAAAAAGGGTAGCCGCAGTGTGCTGGAAGGTTTTTTTTTTTCAGAGGAACTTGTAATCTTACAGAGCCCGAAGAGCGCACACTTCTACATATAGAGACTCTCTGTAAGTTTAAATATGAAGGCCACTGCTTAGCGTGCCCTTCTCTATTCCACTGGGAGCCAGTTCAGCTTTAAAATGTCTCCAATATCATTTACGTATCTGCCATAAACAAACCTTGCGGCAGCAAGTTCAATTTTTTGATGATTTTTGCAGACATATCATTGTGATTAAAAAACTGGTTTCCTTTTACACTACTACACACTTACTGTCCGTGGACAGCAAATGACGTGACAAATCCCCTTTAATAAACTATACCAAAAACTTGTCACAATTCGTCTTTTGTTCGAACGAATGACTTTTCGTGATGCACTTTATTCTTAATTTGTTTTAGGGTTGAATTAATTTTTAGCTTCTGAGGGAGAACGCGTACGAGAGTATGAGAGTGTTAAAGTGTAGGGTTAACGAGGTGTAAAAGCCGGGACCGCCGAGCGTTCTCACGTAATCCGGGGATTACTCACATAGAGCGGTTTTCACTTGACTGTCGAAAGGGATTGGTTTTGGTTTTGGTTTTGGTTTTACTACGCCCTTTGGTTGGCTAGTGTATTTACTTTGGTTTTGGTTTTACGACAGTCAAGTGAAAACCGCTGTATAAGCTATATAGGTACGTGCGGTACAAAAGGGTATGGTTTATAATCCCTCTTGGTCTGACATCAGGTATAGATTATAACCGTTAGAAGTGATGTAAAGATTTATATCAAGAAACTTACTCTTTTGTTCTGCCAATTCATGCGAGTCATCTGCAAAATACACAAGAATACAACCATTGCAGGACGTTAAAAATTACATTCGATCTAATTTTGCTAATAGAGACCGCCTACGTTTCTTACGTTTCAGAGGCGATTGTAAACTCGAGGGAAGCATGGAGCTTAGATCAAGCGCAAAAGGAGAGAAGATAATGAAGACAAAGTCGGTTCTATGGGTTATTGAAACCCGGCATGCTTATTATCAGGCACAACTCATGCCAATGCACTATTCTGCCGCTCAGAGCCTTTACTGAACTTTATTAGATCAAAGTTTCAGACATGATTTTAGAGCAAATGCGCATTTTTAAAATAAGATCTTAAGATGTCCTTCAAGTTGGCAAATCAAGTGAGCAAAGGAAAGAACAGGACAGACCAGAAACATTCCAGAGGATATTTAATCAAAACAGCGCCTGATGAAGGAACAAGAGTATACCAGAGCTAGCGTATCTACTCATCGCGTGAAACGAGTGTTAGCACACAATACTTGACAAAGAGAGGAAATCATAGGTGGGGCGGAAATCAATAAAGAAGTGAGAAGAAAACCTTCCGTTTTTATGAACAAGATTTGTTCATCACATTCCACGGACCACGGGAGAGGAGGAGCGTCATCATCTGTAAATTGACCTGTCGATTTGTAAAGATAAGAAAGGAAGATAAAGGCGCACACAGTAAAAACAATGAGAAAGAAGTTTAGATGTTGATTTAGAGCAATTTAACCACACTGGCATGACAAGGATAATAAAACAGCGCTAGGTTCCGATTTAAGTGTTGCCTCGAGAGAGATTCTAGGGGAGGTCACTACCAGAAGATAGTAGCTCCCTAGTGGCTGTTTTACGTCCCACAAGAATTAGATCAGAGAGGTACCGCGAGAGGCAACCCCTCCGCAGTAATTACATGACCCCGAGTTGAGTATTATTTCGGCCGGGAATAGAACCCGGGCCTTCCGCTCCCTTAGGATATCCAGTCCATGGCCGTCAAGAATTCAAGGTAAACTAGGACTCCTAATTCACATTGGAAATGTGGAAAACAAAAAATGCGTCAAGAGAAAGAAAAAATGTTTTGAGAGAAAGATCCATGTTTTGAAATTTTAAGGCGTGTGGAAAGTGCTCTTCGTTGAAGGCAAACTAGAAGGCATTTAAGAACACAATGGGAACTACAGCTTGTAAGCAAGGAAAAAAAAGAAAGAGGACAATCATTTTATAGAGATACATTTTACTTCGTTAGCATAGGGCAAGGGCTGAGTTACGTATGTGAACACACAAAACCTCTCAGTGACTCCTACAAAAGCCACGTGGTCGGTGATGCTGCTCATCAGTTCTCTCGCGGTCAGGTGCGCTTAGTTGTTATAAAATACTACCATTAGCGAGTCACAACTAAAACTTACACAGATTAACAATAATTAGCCATGTTAAAAGTAAACGTGAGTTGCTAATTAACAATGTGCGGTTGGCAGGTCAAACAATTCAGCACTAATGGTCAGCGGCAAAGAAGAAAGTGAAAGCGGTTTCAGTGTGTTACCAATGAGGTATATTTCGGTGGGTTACAGAACACGGTGTTTAATAACCTACGATCAGGCGTTTCTTCTTCCCTCAGCTCTTTGTCAAAAAGAACGCCTGATCGCAAGTTAGGTGTTCACATACACTGGCAATGGACAATTCCGGTATTCTTTGAAGGTCTCAGATTCAAACTCAGAAGCATTCGAAGTACTTAGAGAATAAATTGAGTTCAAATAATTGAGGTAATCTTTGAGGACTACAGTCGAAACCCTCTTCTGGTAAAGGAATCCTTTCCTGAGAAAGGGAAGGAATATACAGAGGAAGAGTTTGTTTTCCTGATATTTTCTACAAAGAGGTAGCAACTATTACCGGACGGAAATTCAACGCGGCCCGGCAACTACGAAATATGGCAAGTGCGCTTAATTGTAACTCACCTTACCTCAAGGCTAGCAAGGAAAGAGACTAACGAAGCAGGGTGCTCTGTAGAATCTAATCGATGGACACACTTTATAATGATTGAAGTCACACATCACTTGAAACAACAGTTCACACCGAAATATAGAGCAGAGTATGAGATTAAAACTTTGCGCGTGCATGAATTGCGCAGCTTACCCGCGTCCTCATTTGACCCGCCATCACCGCTGACTCGCACAGAAGGAACACGCGTACCGTCTGGATGGTCAGCGGTATCGGACTCATCCGATGACGTCACACCTTCCTTATTCCGCTTAATCACAACAGGCTTCGTGTAGTCGGAAAGAACCGAACCATGCCGATGGACCTTCTGACTGTCCTGTCGTTTGCGATGGCTTGGTCGTCGCTTGACCGAGTTGTTGACTTGCTGCGTCAGGGCCTCGCACTGGAGACGTAGTTCGTCATTTTCGTCTCGAAGTTCCTGATAGACAAAACGGGTAAAAAAGGTAACGCGTCAAAACAAGGGCACATTCGAATATTATTTGCATCACACCTCTCAACGTGAACGCGGCGCTTTCTAGAAGCTCTTAATAAGACCTCCTTGTGTTGAATTATGCAATGCAAAAAAGGAATCTAAGAGCGAGTTTAAGTTTAATAATGAAAGTTCTTTATTAGCATTGCTTAAAAGTTTCAAGTCCTAAGTTTAGCCTGCGAGCCAGCTCAGACCTTTTTCAGGCAGTCACTCAAGGTGTTCAAATCGCTAAATGAGCGGCAGAGTCCTTCTAAGACTGGCGCAGTAGGTCCGAATCACGCCTACTGCTGGACAATTTGCAATCTGCAGACCAACTGCAAGGCATTTAGACACCAGTTTTAAGTGTTCGTCGTTAAATTCCCCGCTCTAGTATCGCCCTTTGACTTGAGTCACTAGAGGAAGACATTGAGCTTAAAGCAACGTAGTGGAAGACACACGACTATTGTAAAACTCACCCGATTTACTCTCTCCAGTTCGCGGATGCTTTTGCTGTTTTTCTGGTTCTGTTGCTGTTTTAGTATTTGCTGTTTTTCAACTTCAGCCAGCTGCAGAAGGGACAGGCAATAGATCAGCTAAAACCTCATTTTCTCAACCGATAAGAACACATTTCTGTTGCACTGGTACTAACAAAGCTCTGTTTTATTAAGGGTTCTCCTTTATATGGGTTAAAAAGGTAAGTACCGCCCCAACAGGGTACGGTCTTTGAGGGTCTCGATCCTTGTATTGTGCATTGTTTTTGCCCTTTTTAACATTGCGTTCCTAATGCGATCCTTAGATAGGGTACCTAAATTGAATCAGTTGAGAGTCAAGTAGATAAATGCCTAGCTTGCTTGCTTTCTAATTGCTCAGACAAAATAAACGTATTTCAAGTTAACATTTTATAAGAGAACGTACTTCATTCGTAATCCGAATAAACAAGTTTCACTTGTCTCTTGTGTAATAGTAGCATCATATAACACTAATGAAATCCAACAGTTCATTGGGGATACCACGTGACTTATAACCTACTTACCCTATGTGACAGGTCTGACATGGATTCCAATTCCTTTTCAAGTCTCTCCCGGGTGTTTTCAGCATCTGTGAGTTTCTCTTGGGAATCAGAGAGCGCCTTCTCAAGCCGCAAGATCTCCTATTAACCAAAGAAAGTGCGAGAGACCAGAGAATTATGTCATCAATCCCATGATTTTTCGACGACTTCATACCAAAGTAAAAATTCATTCTAACAAATTTTCCCAAAACTAGAAACGATGATAAAGACCACATGCCAACATAATCTGTGTACGTTGCTGTGAATTAACAAGGATGTCCCTCGGAAAGTCCTTAGCCTTGCCCCCTGCACCCCGCCCCGCAACGAAAAATTAATCTGACTTTGTACAAGTGTGTGACAAACCGGTCTATTTTCCGAACAGCGTCATTTACCTATCACCAGGGGCTCTCACTACAAGCTTTCAAGTTGGTGGGTGTGAAGTAGTACCCGGGGAATTGAACATCTAGGAAGATTTTTTGCTTCTTTTATCCTTTTGTCTCCATGCTGGCAAGTAGGATGGGATCATCCTCATAGTAACTGGGGGAAATCCCCGGTCCCCGTCCATAGGTGGGGAAGTGAACATCTAGGAAGACGTTTATCTTCTAATGCCCTTTTGTTTCCCATGCTAGTAGGTGGGGATCATCCTCATTGCAGATGAGGGAGATCCCCGGTCCCCAGTGCCCGTCCCTTAGTGACAGCTATGGCCTATTATGACATTTCCGCTCCACCCTGCACTGGGAACTACAAACGTAGCCTTCTGTAGATTTGACTACGAGTGCCAAACCGAGAACGCGTACGAGCTTATTGTTGAGTAACAGGAAATAGTTCTGGTTTGTTGGTACCAGCACATAAATAAACGTAACGGATAAGATAAGTGTGATAAAAAACAATCATGAAGAACTTGGTTTGTACTCGTAGCCCAGTCTAAAGGTCCCTAATACCTTTAACACTGCTAAATTGAGGTCTTGTCACAAAAGCCAACAACCTTATTTACACGAGGAAAAAAAACTGATGAACTCTGACACTTGAAGCCAAAAAAGTCGCAAATATTAAAATACTAAACCAACAACCAGAAAAGAGATAAAATGCCCACCTCTTCGGCCTCAGCTAGCTTGGTTCTGAGCCGCTGCTCCTCTGTTTTAGTGCTGTGGAGTGATTCTTCCAACACGGATCTCTGTTGGTTGGCGTTGTGTAAAACTTTGTCCCGCTCCTCGGTCAGTGTTTGATGCAAGTTCTGCATTTTTTCCGTGTACATCGATTCCTGATCCCTGTGGAAACAAAGACAAACCATTCAAGTTGCGTCTATAATAGTTGGAACCCTGTTGGTTTGCTGATGAAGCTATGTACGATATCACGTTTTCAATTTCGGCAAGTGACCTGGTAATACAATGTGACTGCGGTCTGACTGTAGTTCGCCCACAGTTTAAAATGTCAGAAACTGTATCACCCAGCCTACCCTAATCTGAGTGGAATGGGTCAGTTAAAACGTTCGCCTGCCACAGGGCATGCAAGCAGGATCTGTTAACGCGAATCGCCTAGACGTATCACTACTTCTTTCAGCGTGAGGGAAGACAGCGTGATGGTTAGGTTACAAATACGAAACCGTCTGACTACTAGGGGTGGGGTTGGGGAAACTCGCGATGGACAAGTATCCCACCCAGTAATGTACGAAAGTTAGCGTAAATGTCTGACAACTTCCGACCAATCACAAAAGAACCTAAATCCATAAAATCGGGATTCGGTTTGCACAATTCAATGATTCTGTTTTTGCCGCATGGAAATTCTGTCAACTTTTTTTGTCACCTATGCGAATCTTAAGATAAAACAAAAACTGATCCATCTGCAACAATCGGACCCGACATTTCTTCCAAAGTTTGGGGAAACGGACGAAGGGTTCCAGCCACTGTTTCATCTCTTTGCAGTTCTAACTTATTATCAAAGGCAGTTCGTGGAAATAGGTCATTGACTTCATTCTACGTTACCTAACTGAAGTAACTACAATTTAAGTAACAATAATTTTATTCCCTGATCGTTCTGTTATTTGAGACGATGCTTTATATAGGCGTTATTGACCAAGCATATAAGGTCAAGATGGTTGGATATTGGCAAAGTTCGTCGAGATCGATAAAACCCCCCAAAAAGAACTAGGCCAATATCAAGCCCTCTTGACCCGAACAAGTTTAGCCAGTAAACTATTTATTACATTGCCAAGAGAACTGTATTCTTGCGCGACCCAAAGCGGGATATCCCGCGGGGGCAAGGTATCTAACCCTCACCTTGCCCACGTGGGCAGCCGATCAGAACATAGGATTCGCTAATATCTTGCCCACTCGCAGAATCAGCCAATAGTAAAACAACTTTCAACCAGATATATCTGTAGCTTGCTAGTGAGCTAAGGACTGATTACTAGCAAATTCAGTTTTTTGTGTCCAAGTAAACAGAGAAGATTCTTCTTTTGTTTAAAACTAGAGAACGTTAATCCTCCCTATATTTGCCGCGGACGTTACCGAAGACAATACAAGTGTTGATCTACTAACAGGTACTACCAGAAAGTTTGTGATGACAAGTAAACAACCTGAACTGACAAACAAGCAGGTCATTGTCTCAATCGAGAGCCACTGAACCATTAAGCTGTTCTTTGAAAGTTGTTCCCGAATAAAAACAGTTTAACTACTTCAGATATATATATAAACGGTAGAAACAACAATTATCAAAATTTCGGTAAACCGGACAGAAAAATTTATATTCTAGCGTTTTTCACTTCTTACCGCAGTGAATTTGCACAATAAAGAGGGTGGAATAGATCAAACGTTTGTCAAGAGAGTATTTCAAGTCTCCTCATATGTACAAAAAACGTAATGTTGAAAAAGAAAAACCAAAACCAGTAGCATAATGCAAGAACGTAGGGCAAGGAAACGAAAGGCAGTTTGCTCTCAGTCATACCTCAGTTTTGTCTCGTGTTGTTTTTCTAATTTCTGTGCCGTATCCTCGCTTTCTACTATAAGCATTTGTTTTTCTTCTGTTAATTTAACCATATTTTCCTTGAGGGCATCCCGCTCTGCGGAAACTGTTTCCACTTGCGACCTGGAAGAGAAACGCAACAGTTAGGGTGCAAGCTTCTAAAGAAAAGAACATTCAGTCGCCATCATACAGAAATACATTACTTTGAAATGTATTTAAATGATGATTATTAATTTGGTTTCTCAACTTGACTTGGACAGGTGTGAGAAGTGGTCTTTTTTTTTTAACAACCTACAAAGCACAAGCAATTCACCATTAAAATGAAACCATTTAGTGGTTAACTACTGCCATCGTAAATGGGTATACACGGAATTCTTCCTTTTAGCTGCTGCAAGAAATCCTAGAGTGGCCATTCAGGTGAAATTTATTGCACCATTAATTCCACTGGTTCCGTTTATTGGCTGCGTTTGAGAAAGGGTTACATGTGTGTATATTTGGCTTTACAAATTTTGGCTGAAATCGTCATTTTATGGCAATTCAAACGAAAGCTTATTTAGCAGCATTTACTTGTGGTATTGTTCTCAGTTTGTAAAAGGTGGTTCTAACTGCTGGGTGTGTGGATAAAAAGAGAAGGGATAACCCTCATTTTGCAATTAAATCCTACACATGAAAAGCCATTTTTTATTCTTCTATTTGTAAAAATCTAAATAAATTGAAAGCACACTGACAGAGTGCAACTTTCGAGGAGTAAACAATACCCCGTGGTGTCTGTTAATATTTAACGAGTATAACAAAGAAAACAGAAAAAGCTACTCAGGAATGAATTTCATTGCATTAGACGAAGCAACTGATTCTGAAGCAAGATAAATTGATTCTTTGGAAAATCAGTGGTGTGTTTAGAAGTACATAAGCGACTTGTCAAGAAATACGGAATTTAGTAAACTAGAACTCAATATAGCTACCTTGAACGGCGTGTCATGAAATCGGACAGAAGTTTGTTCGCGTCTTTTTCCCCAACAAACGATTCCGAATCGCAGTCATACCTTAGTACCGATTCTTTACCTTCGATTTGTCTTGGCGACGTAGCCATTTGGATGAGCGAATTTATCTACACCTACGGACCACACATCGCCAATGGACGCTATAACGACGAATGTGTACCTCGTGGCGGAGGAAACTAAACTGAAATAATGCGCACAATCTTAACGCTCATAGTCACAATGCAAAGGGGTGGACAGTGTTCCATGTTGAGATCACTTAATTCCTTAACACTCTGCCCTTGAAAACCCCGCCAAAAAAGAGGCGTCAACGTGAACTTCAACCAATCAACGTGTTGGAAATTGACAGGGTGTCCCGCCCGTATGGGTGCCACATGTAAACAACAGAAGTACGTGCGAAAATAAAAATGACACAACGCTACGCCCCGAAATAAAATGCCAACACATTTTCGTCTTAAAGCAGCTGCTAATGGCCTGCAAAACCATAGAAAGGGCAAAAAGAATGTAGAAAGAAGAAGCGGTAGAAAAAGCACGAAAAATGAACCCCGAGGATATTTTTCTTCTTTCTTTCATGTCATAGGGAGAGTTGTAAGTTAAGGTAGTTGCAGCCTTCATCCGAGAATGAGGGATAAGTAAAGAAGAGGTATGTACTGTTGTTTGAGTTACATCACGAGCTGATATCACAAAGAATGATAGCTGACTGTGAAGCTGCCCTAAAGTGAACTGCTGTTTGCAACATTTTCAAGCGAACTTTAATTTTATCTTTTGAGCGCGACTGTATTCAAAACATTCCAAGTTTATTTGCTAGGCGCAGCACCTGTTTTGAGTCATACGTTTATTTCAAAGTTTATTACAATACAATTTGCGCGAGTTTTGCACTTTGTCCTAAAAAAAGGGAAATACGCAAGGACATCACTTTCGCCTTCCACCCCAGAGAGCGCGGTTTGAAAAGACTGTTAGCAGTGGTTCTGCTTAAATCCCGCTACACATTTGAGTCAGTAAAGCATTAGTGTGACCATTCAAATGACGCCTATAACGCAGTAAACGAACCGAAAAATATTCATTAGCACAAAGAAACGAAACAAAACGAAGCACCAGATAAGGTTTAACGAAACATTAAAGTAATTTCGTGTTTTTGTGACTACTTGATAAGCTCAATTGGAAGAGAGTTGATCCGCCGAAAAGGAGGTTTAGGGTTTGCCGGATCCTTGGCCTCGTTAGCCTGTGAATACAGCTGTCTCTACTCACACCTCGCCGACTGCCAAACGTCCCAAGCGGGGGGGAGCGAGGATGAGTAAGCTGAAATCGCAGGATACGACCGCATTAGACTATTAGCAGTTTCCCATTTATACTTGAGATCGTCGAGATCGAGCGCTTACTGTAAGCGGCCATCTTGATTTCAAAAAGCACCGAGTGCAACTTGGCAAAGAATATCAAATCTACCCTGGGGCAGGACGGGGGCGGGCGCGGGCTATAAAACCCGACGCCTGCCCTCTTCGTGCATTGAACCAAGATGGCACCGGAATGAGGTACTTGAAACAGCCCGGTCATTTAGTTCCGTACTTCGCACTAAATACACTGACATTTAACATGCTTTTGTAAGCGCTTATACAGCCTAGGAAGTCTTTAGTAGCCTTAAGTACACTTACCTTAAATGCACGACCTCATGCTTGTAAATGTTTACAACAGCTTTTGGCAGGCCGCTATTCTGCTCTTCAATGACAGACTCCAATAAGTTGGTAAGCTGATGAAGACTTAATTTACCTTCCACGTCTACTTCCAGATGCTGCGAATAAAACAAGAAAAATATATTACTTAAGTTGAAATCATATAATTTGGTTAGCAGTCACTTTGCTATTTCCGTTTTCAACAATGTAGGGAGAATTCGCTTGGATCTGTTAAGTAAAGGGAAATAAGCCAATTGATTATCACTGCTTCTTTCTAGCCACTTTAACATCTCCTCTTCACTAATATACTCGTTTAATATACGTAATTATGTGCTTATCGGGTAAGTGGAGAATTAAAAAAATGCCAAAATTATCATCACTAGTGTAGAGCGTTTTCAGATGACGTCACGGCGCCCATACCTGTGTTCCAGAACAATGTGCCACTTCCACATTTCCCGTAATGCACCTTATTTACCCCCCCCCCCCAAAAAAAAAAAAAACATTTTGGCAAAACCTGTGTTTTTCATTTCTCCCGGGTATTATAAAAACAATACGTATGCCAAATTTTGGGGGGTAAATAAGGTGCACTATGGGAAATGTGGAAGTGGCGTATGAAAGGGCGGCCATGTTGGTGTACCAAGAAAATCCTCTGGGAGTTGATCTCTTTTCTTATGTAAAGACTATTTTTTGTTCCAATAAATTAGCATAGATGCTGGCCACATGAGTGAAAACACTCTATTTATTGTGATGATTTGGCTGAGGTTCCTCTGTTAATAGTATAAGGAAGATGGAGAAAAGTTAAATGTTCAGAATACACGTGGGTCTCTCTCAAAATAATTAAGCAGATGTATATTATACTGTCGTAAATACCAAACAAATGATAACTTGCCTCTAGAAGTGGAATAGCTTCGTTTAATCCCTGGGCCAGCCAGAAATCTTTGATGTCTTCCTTTTTAGCGAACCTTACCGAGAAAAGAAGAAAAAGATGAGACTAGTATATATGTACTAGACAGTCGAAATAATAATTCATTAATTCTTCAAGAATTGGTAGTTTTCGGCCCAAAACCTGAATCATCGTTTATCAAGGCCGTTTGAGTAGGGCTTCAGGTTTGCACTCACCCGGTATTTTCGGTATCTAATAGAGTCATAAGATCTGCAAAAAATAAAGTAAAGTCATGTTAGAATAAGGTAATGTTGGTGATAATAGAGAGATTTAGAGTCATGCTAAAGGCAAACGCCAGACGCCAGACGCCAGAATCAAGTTCAGAATTTCTCAAAATAGAAAATAAGTAGATAAAAACTGCACCAAACAATTATTATAGTCAACAAAGAAGACTTAGTCACGTGGTACAAATTCACGGTGTCGTTTGCCGTAGACGTCACTCCAAATCCCTTTAGTAACAAATTAGTCCCGTGGACCGACTCGTGGATCACAGATGACATTTAAGAAAAATGATGTAGATTGAAAGTTTCCCATTACGCAAGGTTGACTCTAGAACACGGCATTGCGGCATTCTGCGATTTGAAAAATAATGCCGCGTAAATGCAGCAAATCAAGAGTGAAGTGTGGTCGCCTTTTCCAACTTGTGAAAACGGTTGTTACGACAATGAAAAAAGCAAGTAGGCCAAGAAAGAAAATTAATTTCAAACCAAATGGTACAATAATGTCCAGATACTCTACTGACAAGTTTACAAATTGGCCAATTCCTAGAATAAATCCTGATTACCTTTCAAAGCTATAATTTTCACTTAAGAACAGTATAGTTAAGCATGTTTATTATAAATGTGACAAGGATAGCAAGCGCACTCTGATTGGCTGCTGAGCGAGTGGTATTTTCTTGTAATGACCCGTAAAAAGTAATACTTTGCAACAGTGATCTTGTCAAACATTCTACGTTATTTTCAACCTGGAAGACGAAAGCAGTCAAAACAGTGTTTTACTGAGACCAGGACTTTAAAATAGCCCACTAAACTTGTAAACAAACTTCATGGTAAAGCCACACTCTATACGTTAGAATTCATTTAAATCATAGTTAATAGAGTGGAATGGTTACGAGGTTCGTCAGACTCTTTTGTTATACGTTTTTGGGTCTTTACTATGCACAAAGTTTAATAGCATTCCTATCATTTCAGGGTGCAAAGAAGTCAGTTTTACAGCTTCCCATTCGGCAAGCTGTAGCTAGCATTATAGTAGCCGAAAAGTCATTCCAACTAGCCCGCAAAAAGATTTTGGTGTACAGTTCTTCCAAGAACTTTACTTGCCCATCGGGAAAGTTAAGAACAGAATTCGACAGCCCAATAGCAAAATCCACTACCCCGGAATATCAGACACCAGTTTCTTTGCACGCTGTCATTTTGATCTTATTAAGTAATAAAAACGTCACGGTAGTGAACAAAAAACAAAGGATTGAGTCTGTCAGGTAGCTTCCAAGATAATCCCCAGCACCGTTTTCTTGATCTTTGCTTTCATAACCAGTCACCTCTACTAACTAAGTTTAAGTAACCTGCCCTAAATGTATGCAGTTAAGCCACTTGCGAAAGAATAAGTTTGTTACTCTAAATGATTTGTCTTACCAAACGCTGAACTACTACCAGCGGTTCTTGTTGACACAAAAAATGAAGAATCGTCATGGACGACTGATCTTCTCTGACCCTGTGACGAAAGAGTTCGAAAATTACTTTCAATAAATAGTGCCTAATAAATGTATCCTCTGCTCTGCTCGCCTTGATTGGCTCGGTTATTTGCGAACAGAGAATATCTAGCATTTGTAATTATGTATACGGACCACTCAACATGTATAAATAAATAAATACCGGTAAAGCTATAACCAAATACATTTGTAGTGCTTTCACTTAAAAGTTCTCCCATAACTGAAAGTGCATTGATCAAGCCTCTTACTTTCGAAGTGTAGTTTGGTGAAGTGGGTGGAGGGGCGTGGTTATAGGGGGTTGAATGATGCTGTTCCCACTCTGGTTCCACATCAGACTGCTGAATATCTTTGGCCACAAATAAGCCATGAAGGAACTCCTCGAAGCTCACTTTACCATCACCATCTTCATCTAGCTCCTCAAACAGGAGAGCCAGCTCCTAAAAACAACATCATAATGAATAAATGATTGCAACCGAGATTAAAATAAGCTATTAACCTCACTATGGAAACTGTCAATCATCATTATTCTAAACCAAAGTGTAAAGGGAGGGTGAATACATGTCACAGGTTACCCACACTTCAACATCTGGTACAAAAAATACTCAGAATAGAAGCAGGCATTTGATACTGATCACAAGTAGTTGTTCGCATTAATTTATCTAACCAAATAATTATGGAAAATTTCCTACTACTTAAAGTATGTTTAATGCTGGCTTGGTATTGTTATTTAATCCCTAGCTCATTAGTTCATAACAAATCTAAAAAAAAAAAAAAAATTTTACCATTATCTGATACTGTCTTTCCACATTTCTCTCTCTCTTAATTTCTAAATATTTTATTTCTTTAGTTTAATTAAATTTAAATATTTATTTGAGATTTTATCTTCTTTACTTTTTAATTTTTTTCTCTATGCTATTCAAATGTCTGACTATATCTTGCTCATGTCTGACAACGTCTTACCTATCAGACAAGATGACTGGGTTGATCAAATACCAAAAGCAAAAAATTTGGAGCTGAAAAATTTGCCTAGTACTGAATAAAAAATTTTAAATGTCACCATGTTGTATGATTGACAATTGTTCTGGTTTATCTAGCTAAAATGGTGGGAAATATGTCCTTTCTAAAAGGAAAACTAATTTGCAGACCTACAGTACTCAATATACATGTAATAATAGGGAGCTTAAGGAAAAGGTGTTTTTGAGTGACGCCAACAATTGGCAGTGAGGTCTTTAGCCTTTTGACACGCCTTGATGCTACCAAATTTGTACTGCTTAGTATCTTAACTCTTACAGAAAGGATTTGCAAGACAATTTTGCCATTTTGCCATAACATGTAACCACTGCAAAAAAATGCAAAAATCAGTTCATCACACAAAAATGTCTTCCCGTATTTATATAAGCTCCCTAATTTTAATGAGAAAAAAATCAGTGTCTGTCAAACCTGTTCATTCATGGAGTCCATGCCGATGTGATCACACACAACTGACAGTTCGTGTCTGTCCAGGAAACCTGTTGCACCAACATTGACTTCATTCCAGATTGCTCTCAGTTGTTCCTCTTCAGTGGGAGATTCATACCCTGGCAGAATATTAGACATACATGTACACCAATATGTAAAACATTCAAGGACTTGTTTAAACCTTTCAGTAAGTCCCACGAGTAACAAGCATCAACTTTCCCCTAACAATATCAATACATAATTAGAAAATGAGAGAGCGAGGATGAGGTAAGAGAATTAAAGTAATGATCGCTAACAGGAAAATTCTCTGATTTTTTCACAAATCTCTCTTGACTGATCCTCAAATAGAAATGTACGTAATTCAGTCTGCAGGGGCGGATTCGGGATTTTTCTTAGGAGGGGGTGCACCACTACCGGATGGCGTAACTGACGTAAACAAATTTTAAAAGCGAATATGAAGAAGAAGGCTTTTGACTAGGCAATAACATAATGTGAAATGCTGATAAATATCAAGCGATACAGTAGATTTTGTATAACTGTAAAGTGACTGCACAGCGTTAATGAGAAAGCCACGAGTCATCTCAGGGAGGGGGGTGGGCACCCCCCTGCACCCTCCCTCTCCACCCGCCCCTGGTCTGGTGAATTTGTATGTGCACATGGGGCTCAAGGGTTATTTGATATACCAGTTGCTGATTTGGCCTAGCTTGAGAACCATACAGTTACAATGGCTCCTTATAACTGCATGGAGAACATTGCAAATCTCAAATACCTGAGTTGCCATCATTTGGGTGTGGAGAAACACTTAAATAACCACCACTATCCACTGCATCGGAGTCATTCACAATGACAGAATCTTCACGTGACTTCCTCTGCTTGGAGTTGTGACGACGTATGCTGTTTCTCAGGCTACTCTTCCTGCTAGACAGTCTTCTTTTCAACTTTGTTTTTTCCTTAAGGGAAAGAAAATGAGTGAGTAATAATATTACATGTATACACAAGAACACCATACACTCACAGTCCCAGCTACCTGTAACCCATTAATTCCACCTCTCTAATAATTCAGAAAAACCCTGTATTAACGTCTGTGTAGCTTAATGAAGGTTGAGTGCCTGGAATGTCCAGGAATGTCCACTTTTGGCACAGCTAGCTCCTAGATAGAGTTCTCTAAGGCTGATGAAATCACAAGCTGTAGAAGGGGCATGGCTACACACAGGCAATCACCAGCAGTTCAAGGGTGAATGGTTAAACTAACTCAAGTCCCCTCTGACATTAGAAACTACTGGTTTCCCAGCGAAATTACATCTGAGAAACGAGCACAGAAATTCCACGCTGATGACACATCAGAACCCAAATCTGGGTAGTGTTTCTGATTGGTTGAAACAAACTTTCCACCAATCAGAAGCACTACCCAGATCTGGGCACTGATGCGTCATCAGTATCGAATGTCTGATGACCTCGTTTCTCAGACGTCACTCTGAGGGAAAACTAGTGGTGGTGTCGCAAAATGTTGGCTGTTTTGTCACGCTATACTAACTCTGACATGGCCCAGGGGTGGAGGCAAAATGAATGTACATGCAAGTCTGTGGAGTGGATTTTGCTATCAGGCTAGTGAAATCTGTTCTTAACTTGCCCAACAGGCAACTGAAGTTTGTTGGGGAATTCAAATTACGGAAGAACTGTGAAATCAATTCTGCTCATCAAAATTTTTTGGGGCTTGTTGAAATGACGTTTGGGCTAGTATATACTAGCCTCAGCTTGCCCGAATCGTAAGCTGTAAAAATGACTTTCTTTGCACTCTGCTTTGTGTACTCAGGTCTGAGCTAATATGCTGTTAAGATGTGACATAAAGACAGTAAGTTATAATGTTGTCCTCTCATCCACAACAACTTCATACAATAATTTTTCATTACATACCTCTCTGACAGGGCTCTCAACACGATCAGCCTCCATTGTGAAGTGTGAGTCACTCAAGCGACTCTCTGGCCGACTGTCAATCAGACTCTCATCATCAGCAGAGTACAGGTCTTCTGAGTATGAAGTCTCTGGTCGTGACCTTCTTCCATACCTCTTCTCATTTACCACAGCCTTTGGTGGTTCTGAAAGTGATCAATGTTGATAAACATTGTTACACTTACATAAATAATTAATTAATGTACACAACGACACTGCAGTATTTACCATTATAGTAGGTATACACTGTAAATACATGCACCCGATAAAGCCCCTTCATTAAACAGAAGGTGTTCAGCATTTATTTGTTTAGGTCAGCCTGTGGCTAGGGCTGTCACTAAGACTTCAAGTTAGCTGGTAATTATAAATACAACAAGTAGGCAGGGAATCAAAGAGCTAGGGATTCTGACCTTTGATTCGATTTTTCTTCTACTCCTATAAAAGTAAACGGGGGTCGACTTCATAGTAGCTGGGGAAAATCCCCAGCCCCACCCCTTAATGACAGCCCTGGTTAAAGTGCCGGTTGCATTTAAAAAGAGTTTCAAATGTATAATGTAATAATTATTTCCAGTAAATGAAAGTTACTGCAAACCACTGTCTCCGACTCTTTAAGCCAGTTTTCATTATTAGAAAGATCAAAAGGCAAACAGCAAATACTACTCTACCTGACTACACTTGAGTTCCTTAAACACTACTTTTAGTAAGAACAAAGTGTGGGATGGTCTGACAACATGTTCCAGCCACATTGCTTAGAGAAGAGAGTTACTTCTTTTCTTATAAACACTTAGGACCGGTTGGGCAAATTCACAAACACTCAAGGTGTTGCCTCAAATTCTTGCAAAGAAATTTTTCCGATAATAATCGATGATTGATCTGTTTGGTCAATCCAATTATTTCCCATGAGTGATTAAGAAAATATTCTCGACTGATTCCCAAGACTAGTCTAAGAGCTTACTAATTTACCTGCAGTACTATCAGAGGGTTGATCTTCATCCTCACTGGAGGACAACTGTTCAATTGCTTGAGAAAGCACAGCTACAAATCCTTCTTTGAAGTCATCAAATGTCACCTGAAAGCGGTTAACAGACAAGACTACATATACTGTAAAATACAACAGAGAGAAGTGTGACGTCACGTTACCATAGTAGTACTATTTCTGGATGACAAAAAACCCGACGACCGCAAAGAGAACGGCAAAAAATACATGTATATGTAACTTATATTAAACAAACAACAACTTTGCACGTGCATCACCCTATTTTGTACATTTCTTTGCCGTCGTTGCATCACTACGACAAGAAACTGCCTAATTTAACGAGCCCGCTTTATGGGGTAGTTAAACAAAACACAAAAATTGTCGCTGTCTTTCTAAAATTAGATAACGATAGATACAGTCCCAAAGAAAATTTCACCAAGATTTGCCAAATTAAATAAAATATTGAATAAGATCGGTGAAATTTGAAATAGTGCGAATAGACTTTTAAGTGACTTCACTGGTTTGTTGTCATCCAAAAATTTTGCTACCATGGTAATGTGACGTAACGACTTCTCCTCTCTATTAAAATACATTTTCTACTGACTTTACACAATTAGCGTGCAAAGAAAGTAGTGTCCGATAGCCCGGGGCTAGTGGATTTTCCTATCGGGCTAGTGAAATCTGTTTTTAACTTGCCCGCTAGGCAAGTGATGTTCTTTGAGGCATTCGAATAACAGAAGAAGTGTGAAATCAATTCTGCTCAACAAAAAGCTTTTGGGGCTAGTTGAAATGACGTCTGGGCTAGTAAATGCTGGCTTCAGCTTGCGTGAATGGCAAGCTGTAAAAATGATTTTCTTTGCACCCTGATAATAATTTTCTTTTTGAAATTTATTAATGCTGGATTCTGAATTCCAAACCTACATAGTTTCCTTGGATTGTGCAAAATCTCTAATGAGCTTCCTGGACTAACTTTGATAGCTGTCTTATTTTTCTTGATCTTAAAAAAATTATGGTGATATGTAATTTCCCTTTTACCCACTTTTTAAAATCCTTGTACATAATTTTAAAGTAACTTTTACCTTTTAAATTTCTATCATGTAGTCATAATTTAAGCAGGACCCCTTTTTGATACCAACCAATGGCTGATATGGCTACCCTGCTTGACTTGACTTGGGCCATACAAAACTTAATGTACTTTTTTTCAGTCATTATGACATGGGGGGAGAAGAGCTATTTGAAACAGGAGCAGTAACCCTAATCAATTCATTTAATTCAATGTTGCCACTAAAGGCTGCGGATTTCGCCCAGCTACAGTATCTCTCAAAACTAAGTTGACAGGCACTTACGCCTTGATCCTCAGGACTTCATTCTCAATTCTCCAAACTTTCAAGAACCGAGTCTTGAGTGACTGTCCACTTTATATTTTTAAGTGGTACCAACTGTAGCTAGTAGAAATCCACAGCTCCTGGCCCTTAGCCTGATTTAAATCAATTGCCAGGGGTTGCGGCTCCAGTAATAAAATACCATACCCCCTCCCCCTTCACAGTGGTAACAAAATTTATTGAAAAGAACCACAACATACTGAAGCCTCGTTATAGTGAACATATTTCACCAGTTCCTTAGCCCTTCATTCTATTGAGGTTCCTTTGTACAGTGTACACTTAGAACTGAAGAACTTCAAATAATTTGGATTGTTAAGGGCAGAGGGCTACAGTTATCAACAACTTCTAATTGGCATTGATACAAAACTCAGATTAACAAACTAAAGCAACCACAGTGTATAAAACTGATTACAAGGTTGTGCTCTAAGGAAAATTGAGCAGAGCCAGTAACCTAGATTTTACAGTTTTAGGATTCCTAAAACTGTAAAATCTACGGTGCCCAGCATCTAACTTGTATGAAAAAAACTAAGATTTTCTGGTCGTGCGAGAGCAAAAGGTAGGCACCAGGGGCCACTAGGCTCTGTCAGAGCAAAGCACTGGATAATATTCGCAATAAGGACAAAGCAGTAACGTAGCTGCTGAACATATTATTTTATGACTCAAAAGGTTTAAGTGGAGAAAACCGTCATGATTATTAATTATTTCCAGAGGAAAAAAGAATGAAATTAGTTCCATGTATGTTGTGGTTGAACAAAGACAACTTTCCATCCACTTGAACAATTTTCAAACTTACATTTAGTTTCCTTCCATTGACTGTCACTTCCTTTGAGAGATAATCACATACAAATTCTTTCATGGTGATAACTAAATTTTTAACACTGTCAGTTAGAAACTATTGCAAAGAAAAATAACCAGAGATGAACAGCCAAGACTTATTTCACACAGGGAATCGGTTTATCAGTCTTTCCTCCTAAAACAAGACAACAGAGCTGGGCACACAATGATGTCAGAAAGCAGGTTCTACTCAGAGTTCATTTAAAATTCATCAATACAGTGTAATTTAACCCAGGTTTGAAACTATGTTTGGTCAGGCAGCAAGAAATTTGATGACTTAACCTTAAAATATTCTTCATATTTTTCCATAAAATGTTTGAAGCATCCAGTAAACCCGACTTTTTTCACGCAGCTAAAATAAAGTACCAGTTTTAAAAAAGGGCCAAAATCCTGCCTCTATAATCCCACAAGCTGTAGACACAAGCATATAGCACACTGTACACTATGACCACCTGTTGCACTCGCAAAAGTCTTTCTCTTACATGTAAAACAGAGCTTTATGCCTTTTTCTCCACAAATAGTAATAACATTAATGAAAAGTCCAGGTCTCAACATTCAGCCTGGGGCCAGGGGTGAGCATCCTAGCTGTCTTCATACAGTATTTGGTTGCTAGAGCAAGCACATATTTTTTACAAGTCACAAAACATTTTTGGCCCTTTGACAGGCCTTCAGGTCTTGACAAATAATAACTGTTGTTTTTTAAAACTCTTCTTGAGGTTCTCTGGCGTGATGAGACAAGATACATGTAAATCGTTTCCACAAGATACACAACAGAAGTTATAAAGCAACAAATCATATGTTACTTGACTTTTGTTAGTTCAAGTTGTGAAGCAATTCCTTCTTAACTGGTGATGCTACATGTACAGCTGTAAAAGAGGTACCACTAGAAGCGTGTAAAGAAATTAGCGTCTGATAGCCAGGGGCTAGTGGATTTTGTTATCGGACTAGTGAATTCTGTTTTTAACTTGCCCGACGGGCAAGTGATGTTATTTGAGGAATTCGAACAACAGAAGAACTGTGAAATTAATTCTGGTCGTCAAAAAACTTTTGGGGCTAGTTGAAATGACAAATGGGCTAGTAAATGCTAGCTTCAGGTTGCCCAAAAGGCAAGCTGTACAAATGATTTTCTTTGCACCCTGCACTAGGTATCAGCTTGTTGTGTTAATTAATGTAGCTTCTATCTACATGTGTATATGTTAACATAGAGAACTCATGAATTGCTAAAAATAATATACTACCTAGAATTTTCATCTACAAGCTAGAAAAGCCTTGCTGTTACGCATAAGAAAGCTTTGTGAGTTACACGAACGTTTCAACCCCTTAACAGATTCTGCTGAAATTAAATGACAGCAGCATAGTCAATTTATGGTTCTTAGAATTCTGTAAGACCTCTAGTAAAATTGTTTTTTAAAAGATTAGGGGTTTTCCAGTCAAGGGCGGCCTATGGACCGAGTCCATTTTACTGATCCATGTAAATACAGTGTAGGTCAACAGGCATTAGTCTGTGGACTGGGGTTCCAATATTATTTGACAGTTTATATTCTTTACATGTAAGTGTATCTGGACTGTACACACAGTGTATGCGGCAGGTATTTCCTTTAAGGTATCATCCAGGGTAAAAAATCATCATTTTTCTAAATTTGGATTTTTTACATGATTAAATAGAGCTCATCAAGAGCTTTCTTTTAAAAAAAATTCCAGAAAAAAATGTTTTTTCTGTGCAGACTTACGGAGTGCAAAAGTTTTTTCTATGCTAATTACTTTAATTGATCGTTGACAAGTCCTGTCATACTTGACACGCGTGCCGCTGTTGAACCAAGCCAATCACGCAATTTGACAGAAATCGTGGTTTACGAGTATAGTGCTCACTGCTTTTCCCTGGAGTTTGAAAGTGAATGCCTCCAAAGAAGAAAAAAGAGCTTGTCCGTTTTCGTCCTGGACTCCAAGACGAAAGAAGACGACAAAATCGTTTTGCCACCAGAGAGAGGGTTTTGAAATTAGCGGAGAGCGACAAGGGCTCCAACTACAATCAAGAAAAATGGCTAAAAGATGACAAAGCTCCTGAAAAACCCATTGAAACTACAGCGGAATCAAGTTTCACGAGTGTGTTAGCGAGTGGAGCAAGCTTTTTAGGCCGCGAAGCGGCTAAGTGAGAGACGAAGTCATGAGAGATCCCGCGTTATGTAAACATTGGACGAAGTACTGTTTTGAAAGTCTATTGTAGCAGGAAAGAAGCTTCAAGAAAAACTCCAGGAAGCGGTTTGTTTTTTATTTGTACAGGGAAGTGTCGAACATTTAAAAAATGTATCGAGTAAAAGTGAGCTTGGCTCAACTTGGCTTGTCCGGTGCGAAAATGAAAACTGCCCGTTGCAAATAACTAATGACGCTTTCTTGACAACAGAAAGGATCGAACAGAGCAGAGCCTTTGAAATAAATTGTTCATCTGTTGTCGAGTTTCGTTTTCAACTTTTCCTGCTGTGTCACTATTGTTGTCCCTTCTCTGGTATGGATCAACATTGACAGCTTTGGTGTTATAACCTGCTATAATCTTGTCTTGTCCGCCAAAAATCGTTTTCCTCTTTTTTCTCAAAATGAAAATCAGAGCAAGTTGAGGGTACGTTTTAAACTCCAAGTCGGCAACCCGTGAACCAATTTGGCTGAAATTTAGCCAACTTACGGTCAGATAGTTTTTCTAAAAAACCGTGTCTGCAAATTTTGATTTCTTTTTTCGTTTCCGAGTTAAAGTATTTTTTTCACAGGTAGTGCTAATAATTTGCTATCCCTAACTTCACCTGCTTATAACAACAGAACAAACGCACTTGACAAAAATCTGAGACACGGTTTTTTAGTCAAACATGTTAAGAAGCAAATGCGTTCTTAATTGGCTTCTTCCGTTTATTTTTGGCTGGACTGGACTTAAATTTACGTTGACACCCACTTTCACAAAAAGCCTCTCATTTCTAAATCGCATTAATATTTTGATTTTTTAAAAGAAATAAGCAATAATCTGGAACTATTACGCTTTCAGAAAATGTATGGTTTATGGGGGTATTTGTTAAAAGCAAAAGCGCTAGCGCCGATCAACGCGAGGAGGGTGCTTGAGGGTGGATGATACCTTAAGGGGTTGGAGAGTTGTTGATGAGAGAGTGCCAGGGATTAAATTATGCGATTAAATGCAATATATTAAAGCAAAGCTGAACATGAGACAGTGCTGGCCAATGGTCTCTTTCACTTATCGTATGTGGAAGGTCTCAGGGCTTTTGCAGGGCATTCATGATTTTACAGTGTCATTGTTGGGTTCAAATCATCTTGCTAACATTGCCTGTCCTGTGCTAGACTGCGAGCAGTCTCTCTTTTTCTTCAGATTTAGTGAGGGGAGTGCACGCGAGCGTCGAGTGGCAAAGCCGCAAGGAACGAGGGCGGCAGCCCAAGAAGAAAAAACAGAGACTGCTCACACAGCTAGAGCAAATGAAATACACATTGGCCTCAAAATGCAAATACAATTGGCTGATGCGTGAATCATTGACAACAAAATTGTCAATAATCAAAACCATTAACAAGTTGATGATGGCTGAAGCACTGCAGAATCTTTGTCACGGATTCCAAAAATAAAAAGATTAGATACAGAGCAAAGAGAAGCAATGCTCAAAGCCTCTCTTCATTGCCGAGCAATGCTTTACTTCCAAAACTGCATTCATGCTCTAGAACTTATAACAGAAAGTTGCATAGACTGGAAGACTATTTTAAACAGCTAAAACAAAAGTAATTACCAACGGATGCAATACAGGACAACCCACTATAGAACGAAGATTCGGTTACATTGAATCTGAGGAAAAAAAAAACAAATCCGCACCCAAAGAATGATCTTGACTGACTTGCAGTGCAATTCTCTATAGCTGGCCTAGCTTTAGTTAAGCTACAATTAGGTTATGAAGAACATTATCCCCTGAGAACTCCCCACAAACAAGAAAAGACTAAAAGAGCCTGGCCTCGGGTGATCTCATTCAAAACATAAACCACAGGAATGAGTTTATTAATATGCGAGAAATAGACCAGCGTCATGACCTCTAAATGTGAGACTTGCAGCCAAAATTAAGATTTGCTCAGTCAATTAGTTTAGAATTGCCCCTATGCACTGCATACGCTATGTGTCAAAAAGAAAAGAAGGAAAACCTCTGTTGTTCAAGCAAACTCTAAGGTCACGTTTCCCGTGTTTGGCCTGTCAACACTTCAGTTTTTATGCCAAAAAATCACTAGACTATGAAAGACCATTCTCTCTGGCTTTGCGGGTAGTCTCTCTTTTTTCGTGCCTCTCCCGTCTCGCACCTTAAGTAACCCACGAGGTCATTTGCGTGTCTCGAGCGTTTTGCTTGATGGACCAAGAAAAAAGAGAGACTGATCGTAGTCTAGTCCTGTGCCGTCAATCAACCGTTTTACTCCCAGCATCACCCCCTTCACTAGTGTCTTGGTAAGTTCCCAGTAAACCCCTCACAAAGGTTCGAAGTGTGATGGTACCAGGTGATTGCCCCTTGAAGGGTTGCAATGGTCACCTTCCGTGCTCGCTTGTGGGTCCCTCTGTTTGTAAAGACATCTTCCCCATACCCATCTGTTGACGATAGGTTTAATTTTATGGGTTTGACAAGTGCCTTCATGTTTCATACGAGCGAATGACTATAGCCAAAGTTAATTTTCTGCCCCAGAGAGATGATGAATGAGTGTATTAAATGAGAGGGTTTGTAAAGTGGTAAGCTTTTTGTTAATCCGTCTAAGTGTTGACATGATCAGTAAACAAAGAGTTTAGGGTTATGTGTTAATTAAAAGCTGGAAAAAGAGCTTAACGTGCCTAAAGTTAATCTCTAAGAGTTCTAAGACATTTTTTCTTCAACACTGAGAAGTTTCCTCATATATCTAACAGATGTGGCAACTTTCTGGTGTACAAAACAAAATCCACACGACTTAGTTAAACTTAAATGCCTGGGGCAAGATCATAAAATACTAATAAAGAGTGAACCCTCATTAAACTAATTGACAATTTGATGAATTCATAATATCAAACAAACAGCATGCAAATGAATTTAAAATCTACAACAAATTACTCGGAATAATTACAAAATGAGCTAATGAAATTATCTCCCGCATGAAGCTCATCAGCTTGCTGTTGGAAGAAAGTCCATGGTTTTGAGATATTGTTAAAAGAAATGCAAATAAAGTGTAGTAACGGGGTTATTGTTCTGCGATCAAACCGTGGTTTGTTTATGAGATGAATAAGATTTTTACATCGAAATAATGATGAAAAAAACAAGGCCGCTTTTTTTCAAATTTCTCAATTTCACTGATCACTAAACATGTGCGTTGTGAATGCCAATATAACTAAAAGAAACTTTCAAAAGATATCTTAATCCGGTTCGCGTGATGAAAGTACAGCTGTAAATGAGGTTTTCACTTGCCAACACAAATGAACCAACGGAATTTTCCAATCTTATCAATTTAAAATCGATAAAGAAATCGACATCACATGAAGAAAACCTAAGGTATCAGTTTCTCGAATGTATCATTCTGTAAACAAAACTATTGTACTGTAGACTCCCACTTGGAACTGAAATAAACAAAGACTGGAATAATTTTGAACCAATCTAATTTTCCCCGGTAGCGGATAGGGAGAAGAGAATATTTAATATGATAGGTATACGCAAACATAACAGATCGAAAAACATTACCAGCTTTAATGGAAGATCGGAAATTAAAGGTTGTAAATTAGATAAGCTCTCAATCGATGTAACAACAAAATTTGAAGCGACGCCAAACTAAAATAGGTCGTCGTTACCACGGTATCGGGGCTTATCTAAACCTTCTGAAGTTACGTTAACATAACTTACCTGTCCTTCTGCTTCCACACTCCCCAAAAGCTGTTGTAGCAGTTGCGGAACTTGGTCATCGAGCTGTAATTTTTTGCACAACTCAACAAGTTCGCTTCTATTGAGGAAACCTTTCCCGGAATGATCACAACTGTCGAATACTTCGAGAAGTTGTGCCACGTAAACATCTTGTTCATCTTCATCCATTTTACAGGTTTTAAGAATTCACTAGCTCGCTAAAAGCCAAGCCCAGGATAAAAGAGCCATTTTGAAGAGTTCAGTGAAGCTTTAAACGACCGATTACGCCAACCCCAAAATGAATACAGTATTCAAACTTCAGAGCGTTCCAAGCCAAGCGGACGCCGACTAGTGGTTCATAAATTCAGGAGTGACACAACCATATTTAGCCGACCAACACGACGTCATAGCCAAATCTCTATCTTATAAAATTTCGAGCTTTTGGCTTTGTATCCTTCTTCACTTGCGATCTTTGTCGTTGACTTGCGAACTTTTCAGCTCCAAACAACCGTCCCCAGAGCAAAAATATGTGTTGGTATCGTGGTAACGCGGGAATTCCAATCGCGATTTTTCAGAAATGTTACAGCGAAGAAAGAACGCGTTAGAACAAATCTGAAGGATTATAGCACACCAAAAGCATCGGAACTTGACAATCCTCTACTGATCTGTCCCAAGGAACGGTAATTCGAGAAATAACGGAGCAGAGATCTGTGCTTTCGTTACAGACGATTCTTCAGTTTCAAACAAGTGCCAAAAATAGATTTTGATTTGACCACGTGAACACAAAGGAATCTTGAACCTAATTGGTTCTTAAACAATGCCATTCTAGTTCTTGCAATTTGACCAATCAAATAGTTATTTTGTGTTTACCAGAATTTCGAGAATTTTTTTATGCAAATATAAAAAGAATTATTATAAACCTCATAATATTCAACAATTTATGAATTCTTTGACCTGTTTACAATAACATATACTTTTATTTTCAGGCAAAAATGCCTGGAGAGTCTTTTGAAAAGAAGTTTCTCTTTCACTGGACTTTTATACTGAGGATATGATAATAAGTGCTGCAAAAAATATTGAAGATTTATAATTGTAAAAAGAGATATGCCCTTTTACCTTGTGATAAATAAAGACATTTATCATTCATTCAAAATATTTTTCTGTTTCTGATTAGCCTAAATCCCCCACCTATTTCTTCATAACCACTTAGTACTTGGATAATGTTGACTTATAATTTTGTGATATTATAGTTTTGTGACAAAAAATACCATAACATAGTAGACTGAAACAGAGACTGACTGTCGTCAAACAAAGAGAACAGTGGAGCGACTCAGCTGTTTTGGTGAAAACATGGCAGATTTCATTTATTTGCAAAATAGCCCAATCAATGTCATAAATACTTAGCAAAAAAAATACCACAATAGGGATGGCAACTTCTTTGTGGAGAGTATCTGCCAGATAAGAACATCTCTTCATACTCTGTTACCTCCATGATGGGTACTTTATAAAGCAAATGTAATGCAGACTATATCCTGAAATTGCCTAGCCTGTTCAGGGCATTCGGGTAGTGGAGACAGTGCAAAAATTAAAGTGAACAGGAAAAATGTAGCAAGGGCAGAGAAGACAACTCTCCACTATCTCACTACCTCGAAAAGCATAAAAACTGACATGGAAAAGGGAAATGTTTAAAAAATGATATAGGCTTGATAATATTTTGAAATTGAATAATATAACCAGCATTATTTAACTTGGCTTTCATATGACTTAAGCAATAAGCAGATCCCAGGGGAGTGGGGAAGGGAAAGAACCAAGGAGAAGTTTAGGTAGAGTTGGCTGTCGAGCCCTTTAAACCTTGACCCTCTATAAGACAAAAATCATTCATTTCACTACCCTATTTAAGACAATAGACCTGACCCTGATTCACTTCATTTCACAAACAGAATTACCGGTAAGTACTTTTAAACTTACAATATGGCAATTATCCTGTTTAAGTCTCAAGACCCAAAGCGCCATACCCTGTTCAGCGGCACATCCCCTTCTTGGCCAAATAAGGGAGTAGTCAACCCCCTTGGATGAAGATCAAGAAGGATACGTTGCCTGTGTACCTTTTTTTTGAGAGGAGGAGGCAGATGTACACAGCCTGGGAATATAACCAAATAAGCCACACAGTGGGAGCTTTCATTTACCATTGGCATCAAAAGCGAGCGGAGTAGTAAAACTTGAAACAATGTTGTGGTACTTTTCATTCTTTATAGCCATATAGTTCATTTGATCCCTGATTTCCTGGCGAAATTACATTTTTTTGTTTTTTTCCCTTCTTTTCTTTCTTGGTTTTTTTCCCCTTTACTTCACACTGTCCCCCAGTTTTGTAATTTACTGCTTGACAAGTATCTCTAGTACCCAGGTGGGGTACTCCCTTATAAGGGCTTAATGGGGACGTGCAGTCAGCCAGGGTATGTTTTTCGGGATTTTTGTCTTAAACAGGGTATCGAATTTATCATTTTTTGTCTTAATCAGGGTATCGATCTATCAATGTTTGTCTTAAACAGGATATCTTTTCTTGGACGATAAACAGCAAAATTTTTACAAGCTCTTATGTTAATTAAATGTCTTAAACAGGGTATCAAAAATCGGAATTCTGTCTTAAACAGGGTAGGAAAATCAGCGATATTTGTCTTAAACAGGGTCAGGGTATGAGGGGCCACGCCGCACCTCCCCACCAAGGGATATATCGAGTACCCCCCATCCGGCTCTAGTACTACTGTTTTTTTATTTCATTGCTATTATTTTATTTATTTATTTTTTATTGAACACTTACATGTATCTATTCAGAGCACAATATGCAAAAAAAGTTTCTTCTAAAGTGCAACCCAAGAGCTTGTCACCTCCTACAAAAACATCACTTTGACGTGTAACACATTTGTCCCAAACAGTTGAGGAAGCTAATTAAAGATTGCAGGACTAGCAAAGGGCTCCACGAATATAAATACTATCGACTTGGTTATGATGGATAAGATGTACAAATAAACTGCAAGAGTCAACTGAGTAACCAGTTCAGCAGTCAGTAATATTCCAACCAGGTTCAGTCTCCTTCAAAGCCATTGCTTGGGCGGTCACACAACACTACTCTCCATAAACAGCTGCTAAGAATCGAGCCACATACCCCATTACGGGGAGGATCAGCTTTGTGTGTTGACCCAAAGAAAGGTAGCCTGCGAAAACATCCGTTTCTCCTCGTTCTTCACCGCTGGGGACGTTTCACTCGGAGGAACGTCTGCGACTCAGCGACAGAAATTCCATACTGATGACGTAAAATCTGTCCGGAATCCGGTCAGAAGCGCTGATTGGTCGACGGAGTAGTTACATTGTTTAAGCTATTGTTTACAAATGACAGACAAAAGACAAAAGGCCACAAAGGTCAAATGTCAATGCAAAGAATCTCTAACAAAACAGTCAATATTTGTGGAATATAGTCTTCTCTAGAAGAAGCATTTGAGTTTTGCTGAAGCTCGTTGGCAGATAAGCAAAACACTTTACCAAAATCGACCAGAAGACACGTAAAATTAGACAGATTTATATTTGGAACCCCATGACTACCGGATTTATTATGTAAACATTGATTTGCGTCATTAGTATGGAATTTCTGTCGCTGAGTCGCAGACGTTCCTCCGCGCGAAACGTCCTTAGCGGCAAAGAGCGGGGAGAATGGATGTTTTCGCGGGCTAAAAGAAAGGCTGTGAAGCAGATTAAGGCCTGGTTCAAACGCCAAACTTTTCATGAGCTGAACCTAATACATTGAATTAAGTACATGAAAAGTTCGGCATCTGAATCAATTAGGAACATCTGTTTCAATTTGGAAGGGCTGAGCCATTCTTTTCGCTGAGCCCGGCTGGGAGTTTCGCCTTTGGAGCGACTTTGAAACAGCTTTGATTCAGACACCGAACTTTTCATGTACCAAACCTAACGCATAAATTATTATGACATATTTCGTAAGCAAATTGACCGAAATGAGCATTTTATGCCTTTTGAACTTGGTTCAGCTGCAATTAAGATCGGCGTCTGATTCAATTCAGCCGGTCTAAATAATTTGGGTCTCGCTTAATTCAAATTAGGTTTGGCTCATGAAAAGTTTGGTGTCTGAACCAGGCCTAAAGACGGTTAAGAGGCTATAAAAACATCAATGATCATTTGTGAAACGTGATCGCCTCGATGTTCGTGTGAATATGAAATCTGTTTCACTATTGCTGCTCTCATTTCTGAGGTCACTCACCAACATGTCGAGAATAGCACTTGTCGTTAACCTTATTGAATAATTTGAGTATATTATTGACAACTCAGCTTGTTGTGAGATAACTTTCATCTTCTTCCCGAGAGTGTTCTCACCGATAACCATGTTGTCATACCAAACTAGCCCATCACCACATGACTTTGGACGCTGAAAAAGGAACTCACTGAATGGATTCAAATGACTCAAATATTTTTCAAAGGAAAAAACGGGGCAGAAGGGACTATCGATTGCTATCATTATCCCTCTTTCTCCAGCTTGAACGTTGACTGCTCTGTGATCAGATACTTTCACTATGCAGCGTTTGCCTTGTGAGTTAATTTTTACTTCAAAGTCATTCTTTTTAAGTTGGCGCAGACTTAGTTGTGAGCCACGGCGACCAAAAAACAATATTATTTCAAAGAACACCTTGTTTTGTAGAGTTGTTGGGTTTTTTGTGCTGAAGATACCGCTTAGGTATAATTTTTTTATGTCCTCGTCGTCAATTGGAGGTATGTGTTCATATAGAGCTTTCGTACCAGTTTTTTCAAGTCCTTGTCTCTTCAATTCTGCACATTGTGCTGCATAAACTCGGTTGGCTTCATTAAATTCCACGTCTTTTGTTATGTCGACATTGAGTACTTGCTTGAAGTGTCTACTTAGACCAAATTTGATGGCACAAAGCGAGGTTTTTGTGTAATAATTTCCATCTTTTCTCCTCGCCTCGGCGTAGAATTTTCTCAAAATAGTCGCCAATTCCTCGGCTGTTGTGGGATTTCGAATGCCTTTCTCCTGAAGATACGCATCAAAAATTAAGCGACTTCCTCTTGTCGATTTTTGGGTATTCTTGTTAGGTTCACCTTTAAGTAATTCGGCAATTTCTTCCACGGTCAAATCTTTGAACGACTTTTCACTGAGCGCCGCCATTGTGGTGAAGGACCAGCCGAGGAGTACTAGGAACGACTCTTTTGAACTACAGGAGGGCGCCCTAAGGCGCCCTTAGGGTTCAGGGCGGAAAAACGTAATGAGCATGCGTGGACTTTTTAGCCCAGATCCCCTGGCCGGGTTTGAAAAAATGGCGGGATTTCAAATATTTTCTTGCCTAAAAATAAAATGTTTCCACCCATAACCTGGAAAGAACAGGCAATTTGTCTTCAAAAGTTGCAAGCTGTGGTTATAACCTTGTGGTTACTTAATTTTCTCGAAGAATACCTCATAGTAAAACGGACTTTAAGGACATTAATTTCCTTGCGTTGTAGTGGAAATGTGCATGCGTAGGTCCCATTTTTTTCAAGATGCATTCACAAAATGTGTTCATATAAGGAAGTTTCTGGATATATAAGGTCCGGAGCTCTACTGTGGACACGAAAACAATATATCTTTGGACAGTGATTTGCCCAAAAAAATTCACGCTTGCCCACAATGTGTTTGAAGTCACTGAACTTTGTCGCACTCGAGCGGATATTTTAAAACCCTCGCTCGATCGGACACTCGTAGTTTCGCAGATCACTAAAATATAAACAAAATCCTCAATGTAGAAGTTATTGCGTTGATATGTGAGCAGAGAGAAGGTCAATCTTTATCTGGTAAAATATTCCCAAAAATCGGTTTCAAAGCAACTATAGTTTTTTAAACTTGCTCGTTTCGCGCAGATATATAAATTTTGCATTGTGTTGTCAAGTTGAACACGCATAACATCTGTCAAAAACCTACAAGTAAGAAGGATTTCGTTCAAACAAAATTAAAGTTACATTATTTCAAAAACTTGTTGCTGACAATGAAGAAATGAATTTTCTGTACGAAAACAACCCACCTAAAGATCGTAAAAGCAAAAGATCAGTTGCAACTTGGCAGCCAAGCCATGATTCACCATTTAGCTATTATCAATACGCTTAACTGGTCCATGCAAGGGTCTTCGTTTAAGCAAATTAAACTCAGCCGATCATTGGAAAATACAGAAGATTGCACATAAGGGTTTGTTTTGCTCGCCTCAGTCAAATCAAGCTGCAGCAATTGTTTACGGGAAAAGAGTCAATTGTTTTGAAGTTACTGCTGGCAGTTGTCGTTCTCTACTTCACAGCGAGTGAAAAGGACAATTTGCATACAGAAAGTTATTCTTATAAAGAACAGAAACTTTCGCAGTGCACTGGAAAACAAAACTATGTAATGAAAAATGAAAAAACTCCAACTATTATTACTTGAGCAACAGAAAAATGATCTTGAGTAAGCTTGCTGGCCTTCTATTTTCGAGAAAGTTTAATAAGCGCACAAGTTTGTTCACTCTGATGCGTGATAACAGCAATATGGTTCTTTGACTGAAGACAAAGATAAAGCTGGTTCTGCAAAGGTAATAAATCTGGGCATGTAAAAAAGTAACCGTAACTACTAATAACAGAATACAAGCGGGTTTTAATTCAGCCCGGCGAAATCAACTCATAAATTAATCGGATGCACAATCAGAAAAATACTCGCCTCTTAAGAAATCTTCAAAACCTTTTATTCCACCTCAGACTGAACTGAATGATCCGTTTTTCCTTTAACATTGGTTGTTCCGAGTCCAAAGTAATTTTCAAGTGACGAAAAACAAAAACCGCACAAAAGTAAAAAGGCTTTTCGAGGAGCAAACGTTCACACCTTGTGCATTTCATTCAGTCTTAGTCAGAACTCTCTCAGTGACAAACAAACGAACTGTCGAACAAAGTCAACACACAGAAAAGCCCGCCTTGAGCCTGCGATAAAGGATGCGCAGAAGCTTGCGCAGAACGTTTTTCCGCCCTGAACCCTTAGGGCGTCCAGCAAGAACGATACATTTCTGCCCCACTTCATAGTAAAATGTATGGAAAAGAACCTCGATATAACGAAACCTCGTTTTAGCGAACACATTTGGCCAGTCCCTTAGCCCTTAATTCGTTAAATCAAGGTTCCACTGTACGTTCAATTGTGGCTCTTTATAAGACGCTGTGTGGGCTTTTAAAAGAGGTGGGACATGGTGGAAGGTACCTCGGTCAGTCTGAGATAGTAGTGTCTTGCAAAATGTTCGTTATATTGCAGCCTCCTTTAATCTCATATCTAGACTTCTCAGGCCCTTTGGCTAGAAGGTGGTCTCCAGTCGGGTAATGACTGGGATTGAGTGTTCAGCCGTGCGTGTCTTAAGGCACTCCCGATGGCTTGAGTTGGTCTTGATGATGCAGGGATGCTTTCCATCAACAAAAATTTCAGTTTGAAGTTTTGGAAATTCCACATGCCCCGCGGTGAATGGAATGGCACATTCCGGTTGCACAGACCCGACCCAAGCCACCACGCGTTTGGTCATTGTTCTTGTAGGTAAGATACAAAATAGCGGTACTGGGGACAACAATTTTGCCAAGTGCTAAGGGACACGTTGGTCTGACCGACAGAAATGACCAGACCGGTCAACGTGGACCACCTTCAAAGGTGTTTCCAAATATTCCGGTCGGACCGAAATGGTCCGTTTCATTTGTTGATTTCTAAGAAAGAATTCCGAAATTTTTGGCTGAACGGAAAGAGGCCCCGGTTTGAACACCTCCTTTGCCCCCTCTCTGGGGATTTTGACAACAAATGTTGCCTCAAACTGTAGTTTTGCTAACCTAAGAAAGGGATATTTATCAAATTTGAACTATTTTCCAGTCCCAAGGCTTAGGAATTCGACCCCAAAAATGTCGCACCTACAGCTGTACGCCTTTATCCCCCCCCCCCCCCTTTTCAGCCAAACATTGATGCCAGCATAATTTCCAAAAAAAACAGTCTGCCCTTGAAGGAGGTCATAATTTTGTAGGTCGAGATAAATTATTCTATCAAGAAGGTTTTCAGTCTTTTTCCTTCGTGATGGATTATAAAGTAAAAAATCAAAATGGAAGAAAACCAAACTCCAAAATCTATCGTCATATTTATATTTCCACTTCTTTTCCTCATGAAAGGTTAAGTAAATTACCTGAACCGAGCAGAGGGCGAAGGACAATTATGTAAATTTCTCATACCACGCAACGCCTCAAAGTCGGAGTCCGCTTCCAAAAATGTTATTACCCAGCTGTACTACCCAGTGGTGGATCCAGGAGAGGGGCCCGGGGGGGCCGGTCCCCCTCCTTATTTTTCGACTAAGCTGAGGCCCGAAGGACCGCCGACATTTTTTTTTTTTTGAGACTGCCCCCTCTTTTCTCAGGGTCTAGATGACCGCCTCCCATTCCCCCACCCCTTACCTGAAGGTCTGGATCCGCCACTGCTACCGTACCACAATTTGCCCAAAAAACTTTAAGGAGAGATAAGCCCTTTAAAAATGCACTTAATACCAATCTAGAGTAAGTAAAAGCACATAATATTCAAAAGAAATTGATTAGTTGCTTATCAAAAAGTACCCGAAAATGAACCAGGAAGTATAAATTATAAAACTTTGGCACATTACACATGATTACAGACATTGAATCTAAAAATTTCTAAAGGGAGAAAAGAATACTTGTTTAAAAGTCTTATGATAGAAATATACCTTATAATCTTTTCTATGCATTTACGATATTTTCATATATTAGCTTTAGTTCTAGCTTTGCTTAATTCTTAGATTTCCATTCGTGTATTCGCCATTGGAATATCGGACTTAGGAATTTACTTATTCTCTTAGCCAATCACAATTTGACGAATAGACCTAGTTAGTAAGAGATTGACACCTGTCATGGAACTATTATAAATATAGCTCATGTAATCAGAACAGTAGAGTTATTAAAAGCATTGCCAGAACCGGTACTTCTAGTCCCTTAACCTAGCTTTGCTTGTTGGTTCTCTCCTAAGCTTTCAGGGGTTTTCTTCCTTCCAAAAAAAAGCAACGAACAAACGGATAAACGAACAACTGAATAAACGAATAAGCTAATAAATGGATACCCAAATGAATAAATTAATTGAATAAATAAACGGCAGTAAAACAAACTAGGTTTAGTTATAAACCAGATGGCTTCTTCATGTGACTCAGATGGATTGGATGAGAGTAAGATGGGTTGGATGTGACTGAGATGGATTGGAACAAACTCATTTTAGTAAAAAACCACAGGCAATACTTGTGTATCTTTTAAAACTGTTTATTTATCTGCTTCTAATTATTAACAACAATTCAATACAATTCATGAATTTCCATGCAGTTAATCTTTTCCTTGACTTGCCGGTACTATTTTGTGCTTTCTTCTTCCCGGCTTTTCTTCTTCTTCTTCTTGACAGTAGTACCCTCCCAAACGTGACGTAGAATCCGTGGGACAATCCTTGCACTCTTGGCTAACCAATGAGAAACGATATGTGTTGCCTCGACAACACTTCTCCTTCGTCTTTGAAGCCTTTTCTCTTCTTTCCCTTATCAACACAGACGGGAGCATGCGCAGTTTCAACTTGGCAATGAAGTATAGATTGGTTTTGGACCTTGGAGCTTTCCATTTCTTCTCCTCTATCCCCGACTGCATGGTATAGTGTACCCTCCATCTGGATAGCGTTGTTGGGAGCAGACTTTTTCCCGGTACACTCGCAGAACTGTGGCATATCTTTGGAAGATTTCCACAGAGGCTGTAAGGGTTTGGGATTTCATCAGGGCAAGTAGCTTTTCTATGTCCTTCTTGGTAGACTGTTACGTAAGAAATATGCTCTTCTGGTAACTTAAACAGCATTTCTGACTCGGCAGAGGAATAGCTACCAGCATCAGTGTCCGCTGAAATCACAATACGAGTCGCCACCTTCTTTGTATTCGGTGCGTTACCCCTTCTGGGAAGAAAAAGCTGGAAGTCTTCCACAAAAGGGGCGCTCGTCTCACCTTTCAAGCTCCATTCGTGGTATTGCAGCCAGGTCGTGTTTAACGGAAGTCTGAGTGTTGTTGTTTTATGTTCTGCAAGTAATGATATACTAATGTAACCCAAGTCTCCATCAAACTGAGGTATTGAAGGGATGTAGACTGTGCGTTCGATTGATGCATAGGTGTCATGGTCCGTATATGCGACGATGTTGTCCAACTCGTTGTTGGTGAAGACCCCATTCGCTGTGTTACACGCCTCGACCGGTTTCCCATTATTTCGGTACTGAAGTTTATCACAGTAGAGCCAGGCTTGAGACTGAAGAAAAATCTGCGTCATGAAAAAGCCCCCCAAAAGCTGGTCAGCGTGTAAGAAATCACCGCCTTCTCTCTGGATGGACATGGACAATTTTTTAGCCACGTTTCCTCTTATGACTCTTGCAAGAACATCCATGAGATCGAATTGAAAATCAAAAATATCCTCTCTCAAGGCACTAAACTCCGCTATTGTTCCCCTCAACTTTTCGCATAACAGAAATCCACCGGCTACACCCTTTGCGATGTTTGCGGGCATTCCCTCGACTCCGTTTAGCAAGTCGCACGTGAACTCTTGGAAAGCTCCCCACATCTCAATGTTCTTGGCTAAACGGCTTCGATCTACCTTAGGTGTATAATTATTGTACTCTTCAATGAACTGGTATGCATCATCGTCTATCGTGATTGCCTCGTTACCCTTGATCTTCTCGACTAATTCAATGCGGGTTTTGATTTGTTCTTGATTGTCCTCCAAAGCAGTTGTTATATCACGGGCGTCGTTTCCAAGGTCGACCAATTAACTTCACAGCCAGTGTAATACCTTTTGCCAAGTTCGCAGAAGATTCCAGCGGCATCAGCACCAGCAAAGATCATCTTAACAGGATTCGATTCCAACAAGATCTTAGCGACGAGTGACGCTGCTTTATCGGAAACTTCGATTCCCAAAATGGTATTCGTGACATCTAATATACCTTTCATATCATCATTCAATTTTTTTTCAATCTTTCCGTACGAATCTTTAAATTCGTCAAGTTTGGTGGTTATGAAGGCTTGATCTGCGTCAGCTATTCCTTCGTCGAACTTAGCAACGGCTTTAAAGTATTCCGAAATCCCCTTGACCTCAGCTCGTAGATTCTCATCCAGTCGATCTATGGCACTTAGCAATTCAAAATGCTTGATTGCGCTTTTCTTCAATTCAATTATTTTGGCGTTATCAGTGTTCTTATACGGCCTAAGATCTCGAGTGTCCCCTACCTTGAGTCTGTCGTTCTTCATTTTATTGAGGAGTAGATACTGCGGGTAAAAGTTCGCGATCTGGCAAGCAGGAATGGCGTTGATGGCTTCGCATGCGTATGGCGCAACACGGAATTCGTCTTCATGTTCACTGACAATCTTCAGAGCAGCAATGACGTTCGAGTATGCATGCTGAATCACCGCGTTGGTGTAAAATTTATTGTATGGTTTATCCGCTCGCATGCCGATAAAGGCATTCATCAAATCAATTTGTTTAAAAATGTCTTTGAATTCGCCTTCAATGTCGCATGCCCCTGCCGGACACCGCTCACTGCAGAATTTATCAACAACCAAGAAATAGACTTTATAGATTATAACTCCAAGCATCATTGGCAGGGCTGTTTTGACATTACATTTGTTACTGATATCAGTACATGCATTCGTTTTGCTACCGTGGGGTGAGGTTGCGCACTCGTGTAGCTTGGGACAAATGTCTTTTACCACCAGTTTTGGGTAACTACGGGGTGGTAGGCGCGAACACACTCTTTCCAGTGGTAATTTGTAGTCATCAACCAAAGGTCCTCCATTGGCGGATTTCTTCTCATCAACATCGCGTTTAATAGCATTTTTCAAAGCGAGAAACTGGGTGTTGTAAAAATTTTCGAGGGTTGGACTATCTATGAAATTCTTTTTCATCTTATTAACTACAACATCTTTCTCTTCCTCGAATATAGAACCTATGACGTCGAGGTTGACGTGTTCTTCTGTTTTATCAAGTTGCGTTTTAAGAAAGAACGAGCGATGCTCCTCAATTGCTTCTGTAAGAGTACGGATAAAGTCTTGGTACGGATTCGGGCCTTTGTCTTGGGGGATTTTGATTTCTGGTAGTTCATCTTTCAGCTTCTGCAGGGCCATCAACGTTTGAACTTGCCAGTGACTGACTGGTGGTTTGTATCCCTGGGCTTGAACAGTTTGATACACGTTGAAAGCAACCGAGATGAAGAATAAAATGAACTGCATCTTGGTGTCCACTGTGGATGGGTTCAAAGGGTAGAATAGTGATTAGGGATAAGATCGAGTTAGAGGGGAGGGGGACGGGAGGGGAAAGGGAGGAGGTGCGAGGAGGTGGCACTCATAGTTCTGCTTGCATGTGTGCCATTATATTAGCTATTTAAAAAAGTAAATATACAGCGATTTGCTCTTTACCATATGTGTTGCTATAGAGAATGTTAATTCGACCCACAATGCATTTCGGTCTTGGAATACACTGATCAGTATGCAGTATTCCAGCAGTATGCAACGTTTTTTGAAATAGCTGTAAAAAATATTTATTAGCTATATGGACATCCATTATCGAGCATTTCAACAAGTCTCCAAACTGAGGAGAGACGACAAGGTATATAACCTGTGGCACCAAATCAGTAAAATCGGTCGGTTCTCTATTCTGAACCATTATTTTGACCGTGCTCTTTAGTTAATTAAAATATAGTCGTGTGCCTCTTTAACCAGGTCCCAGTTGTTCAAAAGGTAGATAGGGCTATCCACTGTATAGTGCAACTGGTTTTACTAATTGGATTTATCCGATGGATAGCGCTATCCAGCTTTTGAACAGCTGGGGTCAGAACTTTAAGAAGATGGAGCAGGTTAACCACCCGCAAAATGTTTTTGTTTTTTAACCGATCGATCAGTCAATATAAAATATCCTATCTCGCTACCAGCTGAACGAAGCTCGATAAATTTAGATGACAAAAAAAATGTGAAATCTATTTCTTATCCCAACTTGCTTACACTTTTCTTGTGAAATTTACTCATTTTTGCTTTGGTATTAGTAAGGGGTCTGTCCTTTTTCATTTTTCACCAGCATCACTTTATATTCAAAAAGATATCATTGACTTAAATGCTGAACGGTTAAACTAGTTTCTTCAAAACTAGTATTTCTTTTGGTGTTGTTCCACGCGATAAAGCCTTGGCGTTTTTGCATCGCAAGTTGTTCACGTTTTTAGGATTAATGCATGCATGATTTCGAATTTGTTTATACTCGATGCACAAAAATACACATCAAGAGCCATAATGGGACAGTGCTTTTCGAAAGTGCTTGTTATTTTTCTCTTGAGACAAATATAATGTATGCACGCCCAGTTCGTTTCACTGATGCAAAAAATATGTAATGCGTTGACATTTTTGAAATATATTCCATTCCAGATTATTTCGGTGTGAAACCAAGAACATCACGCGAAACCAAAACAAAACCCCAAACAAACTCAGGAGAAGACAAAACGAAATGAAACAACACACAATACAACCGAAGTGTAAAAAATACTAAGACGGAATCCACCAAGAAATTGAGTAATTCAGTGGACAAAAACCTTGTACTATACCAGAATTATTTAAAGCATATTGCATTCTTTTTTACATTTTTCAAGGGCTAAAGATGTAATTAATCAGTCTGTAATAGCAACAAAAAAAATTTCTTATCGGAGTGCTAGAAAATGAATGTCATATTTCACAAGAATTGTGAAAACACAAGTAAAATTCTGAAAATTTAATGTGTAAGGTGTAATTTTGTGAAATTTGACGTTCTTTGACGTTCATTTTCTCAATAAGAAATTTTCTTTGCTGTTATTACAAATGATTAATTACTGCATCTTTAGCCTTTGAAAAATGTAAAAAAGAGTGCAATATGCTTTAAATTATTCTCGTACAAGGCGTTTGTCCACTAAAGATTGAAATTACTCAATTTCCTGGTGGATTCCGTCTTAAGAACAATAGCAAAACAAAAGAAAGAAAAAAGGGGGGAAAAATAACTGACATGAAGAAAAGAAAAAATAATGAACGAAGGAGGGATTAAAAAAATATATGGAAAAATTCACGAATGAGAACTGCTTTCGCCTAATTTTCCTTACCAAAACAAGTGCTCTGGTTTATAATACGTACACTTTGGTTTGAATGAGATGTTTTCACTAAAAACAATTCTGCTGTTTTGTCTTGGCTTTTCTTTATTTAGGGCTGTGGGTGCATATGGATAATCTTTAATGATAACAAAAAACATTCTTTATGGAAGTAAACTTACCTCAGCTCATGCAGTTCCTATCAGTTCCTCCAGTTTACCCCTTGTTACGTGGTAAGCTTCTTCTCGTAAGTACCAAAATCTTAGAACAGGTGAGGCTTTTTATGGCTTCTTGGCTGACACAAGCACCGCCTTAGTTCGACACACCTGTCAGTATCGCTAATTCAAGAACTTTTTAACAGGTGCGGCTTTTTATCGCTTCTTGTAAACATAATTCCTTCTTGCTATCGGTAGCACCTTTGGTTTACACGCCTTTCAACTTCTCTAAGGGTCAAGGTCAAAATCTGTGGTTTCCCTCCCCTCTCTTCGGAGAATTTATGGAGATCTATTCAATAACCCATGTCACGGTTTCGGCGCCATCTTGACGAGAAGGCAAACGCGTGAGAAATTACGGTGTTTGTATGAGAATCTGATGTCGAATCATTTCCGTAGAACGGCTGTTCTGAAAAAAATATTTATTAAATTGTAAACCAAAGCTTTACTCCTAAGAATTCTACTGAAAACATTGAGGGCGTTACATGCGCTAGAAGACCTAGCACCGCTTTTTTAAATTTTCTATACATTTGTCTGTAAGAAAGTCCCGGGAAAAATTACAGACCAATATATGGAAAAACTAAAGCAAGTCTCTGGGAAAATTAAGCACAGCTACGCCCCCTAAATTTTTTAGTACAATCCTTTGTTTTGTACCTTTAGTTTACAAGTCAAATTATTTTCAAAACAGCCCTTTTACGGAAATTATTGGACATTAGATTCTCACTCAAACACTGTAATTTCTCACACCTTTGCCTACTCGTCAAGATGGCGTGGAAAACCGTGACAAGGTCTATTTGTTTGAGCAAACAACAGATAAACAGAGAGACATATTTTATTAAATAAGCTAAATTACATTGATTATCATGTCAACCCACAAACCCAAAAAGCATGATCACTTAGGAGGGTATTACTGTCAGGAGGGAAGGTTGAATTCTTGTTGATTCTAGAATTAAAACGGAGGAAGTTCTAGAACATCAGGGGCACTCATCATGGGCACTCTGGAATTGTGCCTGCTATTTGGAACGATTCAAACATCACACCAATCCCAAAGATCCAGTCTCCTACAAATGAAGGTGCTTTCAAACCTATATCCCTAACGCCCTGTTTGTCTAAGGTTTTAGAGGACTTTGTGGTCACGTGGATGATTGACGATATCAGGAATAGGATTGCCCCTAACCAGTTTGGCTGCTTAAAAGGTACATCCACCGCGTTTTGCCTCCTCGACATGATGCACACCTGGTTGTCCTATCCAGATTCACCTAATAAACACCTCCGTCTTTGCTTCTTGCACTTTTTGAAAGCCTTTGACCGTATTAGTCACAACGTACTGATTAGAAAACTGGTAGATTTAGGTGTTCGACGGTGTCTTATACCATGGATCATTAGTTTCCTTTCAGACCGAAGACAACGCGTAAAAATTGGAAAAGCGTTTTCGGATTGGCTGCCAGTCAATGCCGGCGTACCCCAGGGAACTAAACTGGGCCCTATCCTATTTTTCATCATGATCAATGACTTATCCATACCCACTCCTGACACGAATCTCTGGAAGTTTGTAGACCATGTTTCTATTTCGGTGGTGCGTCCATTCAGTCTACATTAGAAACTGTCAGCTCCTGGGCTTCGATGAACCTGATGAAGCTTAATGCTAAACAGTGTAAAGAGCTACGTGTGTGTTTCTTTAAAGCAACCCCTCAACTACCCACCTTACGAATTGATGGACAAGTACTGGAAACAGTTCGTTCGCACAAGGTTCTAGGTTTGGTTATCCAGGACAATCTGAAATGGAATGAGAACACCTGTATGATTGTATCTAAGGCATTCAAGCATTTGCCCATTATTCGTGTTCTACGTAGAGGTGGCGTCAGTGCGGCTGATCTTCTTGTTATTTACGTCGCTCTCATACGTTCCGTCCTAGAGTACTGTTGCGTGGTTTGGCATAACGCCCTTCCCGCCCACCTTTCTAGTGAAATAGAGCGGGTCCAAATGCGAGCTTTAAGGATAATATACCCTCGATCCTCATACCAGGAAGCCTTCCAACGTGCTAAAATCGCTAGACTTGAAGACAGGCGCAATGAACTCTGTATGAGGGCTTTTGATAAAATTATCAAAGGCGGACCCTTGTCAAAACATCTAACCCCGATAAGGTCTATTGCCCATGACTACACTCTTAGAAACTCTAACTCTTGGACGTCTTTCAAATGTAAAACCGAGCGTTTTAGGCGAAGCTTTTTCCCTAGTACTATCCTAATGGCAAACGCAACATCCTTCAAAACTTAACTGTTAAATGTTTAAATTTTAAAAATTATATTCTTAATATAACTTAGTAGCTATGATTGAAATTTATGTAACTCTTGTTGGTGTTACTATTTTTAATTATTTTGTAAACCCAGTCCCAATTAGGTTTTTGTAATTTTCCGAACCATGTAAACACATTGTAATTCATTTTTAATGCGAGAATGTGTCGATTAAACATCTTTATCTATTTATCTATCTCAACGTCAATTTTTGGAAAATATCTGTTGGGAAGACGATTTGAGATCTAAAATTTTCGGGGGCATTTGTTGTAAAATTTCTTGCTTGCCTGCCTCTCCTAGGATTTTCCAACATTTAAAAAATGGTGTAATTGCCCATTTTTAACGGATTTTTACCCTTAAAAGGTCACCTAGAATTTTTGGTAGCCTTTTTTCTGGCTGAAATGTTCGAAAAGGTAAGTTTTGATCCCTATAATTTTCGGATCACTAGAGTTTCAGCTAGGAAATCCAAACAGATGAAAAATTTTTACGGATAAAAACATGCCTATATCTACCGTTTAAATCACTAAAATACGTTCAACAATGCTATGTTTAAGTAGTTTTGAACTATATTCTCGCTAAGTGCCCCTGGAATATACACGTCGTTCATCATTTTTACTAAGTCTAGCATGTTTCATTTTTGTATAAATCCATTCTTATCATTTACTTACTTACTTACTTACTTACTTACTTACTTACTTACTTACTTACTTACTTACTTACTTACTTACTTACTTACTCCTAACTCTTTTTTACGTCTTATTAGCGGTTGAAAAAGCTCTAACTAACAAATCGAATAGGTCACGTTCGAGATATTAAAACTCAGACTTGAGAGCACTACATCTACTGATCCTCTTGAATTTCAATGCAATCTTGGTCATTTTATTCCTGAGAGCCTGGGTATCGTCCTTGAATTATTAGTAAGAACAATTACAACACGGACTTTGTTAGACGGAATACTCACAGTAACACTGATTCCAACACTCAGACCAACTCTGTCCCTGTTACGACAGCGACTATACCGTACATCAGAGGCACCTCTGAAACTATTGCACGTATATTACAACCTTACAATATACGTGTTGCACACAAACCGATAACCACTTTACGGCGACTGCTTATTAATGTCAAGAACAAAGACAAGCCAGAGGACAGACAGGGAGCATTATACAAGATCAAATGCTGCGACTGCCAGGCTTCATACATTTGTGAAACCGGCAGAAACTTAAGCACGCGACTGACCGAACACAAGCGAGCGACGAGGAATGGTGACGTCAACAATCACAACCCATAACTGACCTATCAGATCAATAACCTGAGTATAATACCATCAACGGACGTGATACAACTCACTTTGACTCTGAAGATGACTACCGCACAGGTTGTCGAAACGTCAGTCACTGTCAACAATAACAGTCCTATTCAGGACTACGTTCACCCGGACGATCAAACTCAACCTACTTTTGAATTTTAATATCTCGCACGTGGCCTATTGGAATTTAATACAAGTTAATTTGTGCATACATCCAACCCACAACCACAGCAGTGTGAGGCAATGCCCTTGATTTCAGCCAAAACTGTGTGCGCATGTGGTTATGCATGATTTGTTACGTCCTAAACGACAAGGGGCGACTGGCTAGCGCTGCTTTGACTTTGAATTAGAATATCGTGAGAATATTCTGAGTTGTTGAGTCCCAAGGATCGGAGCAGATATCGGAACACAAGACGCTTGATTATGGAAATCCTCTGTGGAGTTAAGAGGAAGATAAAAGATGTTAGCGATCATTATAAATGATAGGATGGGAGGGAGGGAGGGAGGGAGGGAGGGAGAGGGATGGGTGGATAAAACAACTTTCAACAACTCGTTTACCTCTTTTTGCTTTTCCTTGAAGCGGTCTTCTTGAGATGCCTCGTTTCTTGCCTGGAATAAAGAGGGGAAATGTTTCAATAACGGCAATGATGATGATGACGAAGAAGATGACGGTAATAATAATGGTGGTGGTGGTGATGACATGCTGATGATAGTGATGAAAATAGTGATGAAGATAACGATGATGGTGATGAGGATGAGGATGATGATGACAACAGAATGTATTACCGTACAAAGGTACTTGAAAAAGCATACGATGTCTGCCAGATTCAGAGGTGGAGGCATGGACGAGTGGTCTTTAGCGATGTAGTCCATCCACATCTTCGTGCGAGAAAACACGTACTCCTTATCGACGTTCCGCTAGATAATATAATTATAAAATATTAATTTCGCGTCAAGTCTTTACAGGAAGATTATTTTGGAAGGCGTGCCAGGCGACAAGGAATGCAGAAAATACAAAATACAGAAAAAGCCAACTACAAACAGATTAGAACTGAGGAATGATTTAGCGAGTATAGGATTTGCTTTAGAGTGTGGTTTTCGTATAAGTGGGAAACGATACGATAAATAGGTGTAGTCGTACTGCAGCCCTATTCATATGCCGTAACAACGTGTTCTCAGTGAATAACCGGAAGACACTGAAAGCCACTTCAACGTTACGGCATGTCGCGTACGTGCTGTAAGTCAGAACCGTATGTTTCCCACTCATACGAGAACCATTCTTACGGGAAGCCATTTCAATGTTAGGGCGGTACATGTTGCTTTACATGTAAGTCAAAACCGTTTGTTTCGCGCGCGGAAACGCTTCAAATGACTTATATATATACTTACCATGATGTTCTCGTAAGTGTGATTCATTGTGGCGACTAACATGTTAAACGCAACAACAACAGCAGCAACAACGAACATGATGATATATGCCTCCCCTAATTTCTTAATGTAGGCATAGCCACTATCACTGACGTCACTCTCTTTCCTCTCGTCTGATCCCAACATTGCCCAAAGCAAGTCATCGTAGGTTCTCGAGTAGCTGAAAGACAAAAAGAGAAACTTTACGTTATGACGAAACCTGAAAAGACTGAATGGATTTGCATTTTTTTTGATTCTCTTCCGTGCTTCGAGGGTTTTTTCATGGGTTCTTTAATTTTCCTCCCTTCAAAAAATCTGTCAGATTCTAAATTTTATATTCGAACGTCATGGAAACTGCCTATTGGGGTTAAGAACTGAGAAATACAAACATAAGTGTTGTCATCCATCAAATTTGCTTTAAGTTACATATTGGCCTTTTAGCCGGGTATAATAATTACCCTACCTGGCTAGTAGGTTAGTCAGATTTTTCATATTTAAATAGGACAGTTGATTGGATGGAGATTGGGCGCCTTGCCGTGACCGTGCTGTTTTCAGAATTTGTATTACCTTATATCATTTCACGACCGCGCTCCTGCCGCGAGATTTTCACAGTCACACGAAGACTGCTCTATATTAGCCGCCTACCTGGCTAGTGGGTGAGTTGCATTCTTGACACTGTCCACGACGTAGTATGAATACATTTTCTCCAGTGCGGTCGCAAAGGGAATGTAAAGGAGCATCACAAAGATGATTGCAAAATATATGACATCTTTCGTGATCATCATGTAGAGAGACAGATTCAAGGTGCCCAAAGTGTGATGAGCCTAGGGAAAAAAGTACCAACAGTTTATTTTGTTATTGCCCCCCATTCATCCGCCCATCCATTTCTTTCTCCACTTTATTTTAAATTTGAGTTGATAATTTTCCTAACCTTTAGATAATGGGCCAGCTTGAAGAAACTAAGTAACGATGCCAAGGAATAAAAAACGTCAACCGATTGGTAGTCTTTATCTGATGGTTGCCATCTATGTAGCTTATCCCATCGTGTTATCCAAATCGAAAACGCTGTAATAAAACAGACCAAGCTGGCACACTCGACAAAAGTGAGGAGTTCTGGAAGAATAAGGCGCCAGTTTCGCCGGTAACGTGGAATCGTGATAAGGGTTTGTAGATAATGCCAAAAAGAGAAAAGGCGTCGAAGCGAAAATGTTACCACGAAAAAAAACACGAAAATATCTGACAAGAGAAAATAAAAATTAACAGTTGTGATGATGATGGTGAAGAGGCTGATGTTAATGTTAATGATAATGATGATGATGATGATGATGATGATGATGATAATAATAATAATAATGGTGATGATGATGTGGTAGTGGTGATGATGATGGTCAAGATGATGGTAACGGTAATGGTAATGATAATGGTGATGATGATGTTGGTGGTGGTGGTGGTGATGATGATGATGGTATGACGGGATGATGGTGATTGATTGATTGATTTGTTTGCTTATTACTTTGTTAACAGATTTATTATACAAGGAAGAATACATGGCGGAACAACAATAAGGCACGAAGTCCGTGATTGGTTCATCCGCCAACCCCCAGTAAATAAAAAAGAGAACCTAATCCCAGGCAACCATTTTTAGTAATAGTATAACAATCAAAACGAATGAGGATGATAGGTGATGTTATGATGATGATGTTTTGTTTTAAAGCAACTTAAGTATCGCATAAGAAATACACCAGGTAAATCAACCATAAAGGCCAAATGACAGTAAAAGCCCTGTGTGTAATGGCTATCGATCTCTCCGGAGATTTAGTGGGAAATTTTAAGTCACAACGGTCTCACTTTGACCCAACTCTCGGACTATCGCAACGCAACTGAGGGTAAGATATTGAGAATAAGATGTATTTACCTGGCAAGGTCAAACCAGACGGCAATCTTTGATTGAAATTCTTTTCACATGATGTAATGATGATCAGACTGAGGAAGACTATGAACCACCATAGTTCAAGGAGAAATTTCTGGCATGGGCGCTCCCACAACTCAGAACTGAAAACTGAGGGAACAAAGCATACTGGAACCGCGAGGAGAGTCATCAACGCAGCACAAATGAAACTTACAATAACCTTCCCCAATAAAAGAATCAAAAGTGACAGCATCCCTGTGTCTGTCATGACTGTTGCTTCATCCCAAAATCTGTATCTCGATTGGCCAAATACCACTTTCTTGAGCAAATGCTGGCAGTTCTTGCTCACTACAAACTTAATTTGGAAAAAAGGAAAGTTTTTTTGGTTATAAGCATGGTTCAATGTTAAACTCTCCTCTCCTCTCCGTAAAAAAAGGACTGATATGTTTTTTGGTGAGTTTTCAAAATGTTTGGAAGGGGGAAAGGGGTAGTAAAGTAAGACCCCCTAACCAAGTTCATGAATGAATACTTACAGACTTGCATCGTACATTGATGGCATGTTGGATCAATGAAATATTTCCTTCTCTCGTCCACGTCAACGAATCTTTGAAGGCATCTTTTCCACTTCCACTGAATTTATCTTCCATCATAATGACTGCAGAAAGATCTTTTTCGTCTTGAACCTCATCAATTAGTGCCACAGCGAATTCTTCTGCCTGATCGGAAAGCTGCTGATATTCTCTCTTGAGGTAAGAATCAGAGGCTGGTATTTCATCTCTAATGTCAGAGACAAGCTGTAGTGTTCCTAGGATGATGTCATCAGCCGGTAAATTCAATTCTTCAATCCCTGGAATATATTGATATTGATAACTGCTATTGGGATTTGGGCCATCCTTGTCACCTTTATGAAGAATACCTGTTTCCAGAAGCCATTTCAAGCTACGGAAATATGGATCAGCTTCGATTTTGTGGAGCTGCAGTTCTTTTCTTTTGATTTCGAGAGTCTTGTATTGACTAGTTGGGGCAGCTGGCACTGAATTCTGATTCTTTTTGTGGCAATAGTAATGATACAAGCCATCGATAGCCCAGAGAAAACGTGTGTTTTCCGCAGCGTTAGCGGCAATTTCTTCCAAATCGAGGTTATTAATGTTCCCAGCATCCGGTTCCGGTTCCAAAGCAACAATACTTTCTGAAAAGATGATTTCCAGTAAAATTTTTAGGTGATCACGAGGCGCTTGGCTTTTGCTTTCGACGGCCAACGTTCGGGGAAAATCTGCTTTTTCTCAATCTGAATCTTTAGTAACTGAAGTACTTCCTCCCGATTTCTTGGCCATCCACCCGATGCCTTTTGTATTGTCAGTCCAACCAATGTCTTCGACGTTTTTTCTCTAAACAGGTAATCATCCACCAACTTATAATCTACTCCTTTTTCTGACATTAGAGAGTTAATTTCTTTTACTGTAGCTGTATTCTTCAAGGCTTCATAGACGTGGAGCTCCTCTGGGGAGAGTTGCCGAGCTTCTTCTACCATGATGACGAAGTTGAGCTGAGCTGGTTCCTAAAGGGAAATTTTGTATAGGGCAAATCAGTTTTAATTAGTGATATTGTTAGCAGTGAGAGAAAAAAAACGGTCGATCTCATTTTGAATTGATCGATTCGGCTCACATGACCGTTTGGAGTTCTCCAAATGGTCAGCTGACATTCAAATTTCTTCAAATCTTTTATTTAAACAAGAACTTCAATGTCAGATGACTATTCGTTGGAGAGCTCCAATTCAAACTGTGATGTCAATCGTTTCTTTTTTTTTTTTTCAATTTGGGAGGTGCTAACAGTTGAGTGATTTTCGTAGTAACTGAAATTTTGAAAGTAGACTAATATATTGACCTGGACGGTAGTGTAACTGCCACAATGACTTTCGTCAGTCGCACAATCTCAGTCGTTACAGAAGACGGAGTCAGCCTGTGTGGAACCACTGCTAATTTCCATTTATTTTTCAAACTATGAATCATCCTAATTAACTACTGATATCAGCCTGAACAAAACAAATTGGGGTAACTTTTAAAAGTAGCCTCCTGCGCAGCCGACACTAAAAACGGCCGCTTTTAAGGTGGCTCCGTAATTAATACCAGAGCATTTTGCTGTGACAAATTTTCCGTCATAACTTTTTGGTTCTTCACGCGATGGCTGCGAAACTTTGCAAAGAACAACATATATCATTCGACAATAATACAAAATATTCCGATTTCATTGATGGTAAATATTTCTTGAGAAATTAGCGTTTAAAAGGACCCTACTGTTCAAAGAAAATCGCCTCTAGTAAAAAATTTTGCTGATATTTTTTACTGAAATTTCTGGTATCGGCTTTAATTGATATAATAAATATGCCACAGGAATTTCAGAAAAATCGTTGGAGCAGAAGTCCGTAACTGAAAGTCGCTCAAAATTCAGCTGTGAAATTGTTTTGGAATTTCAAAAATAAATTACTATCAGGAAGAAGGAGACACCAGTTTGAATTTTCGGGAAAAGTAAATTCAGTGTTTGCTAATTCTTAAAACAAAAGCCGATTGCCTATCGTGTTATTCTACAAAAGATACTTTTTAGTTTTAGAAGCACTATAAATTGCTCCAAACCTTGCTCTGAAGTAGAATGACTTGTTCTTCGACATTCTTAAAATATCCCTTTGCAGTTTTGGCTCAAACTCCTTCTGCATACGTTTTGATGTGTTGCAATGCATTTTCAACGACTTTTACTGCTGTTCGTTGCTTCCAACTCAGGAAAAAAGTATTGAGATTGGACGCTACCTCGTATCAGAACACAGATAGAACTGTCCAGCACCTTTGTTTATGACTACAAAATGAGCACGAGCGGCATTTCTGCGAGGAATTTGCACCTCACCCAGGGGGGGACAAACGACAATGATGACCATGCCTGTGAACCGAATAACATCACAGTGCAAAATAAAGTTATCGCAAAAATACTGCCCGCGAATAATTTACAATTCTGAAGTTTTTGTCACTTCTTCCTTCAATGAATGGGTATTTTTTTCTTGATTATTATGTTTTGCTCTGCAATACATGTTTATACAGATCGGTTCACAGACATGGGCATCATTGTCATTCGTCCCCCCTGGCTGAGGTGCGAATTCCTCGCAGAGCTGCCGCTCGTGCTCATTTTCTGTTCATAAACAAAGGTGCTGGACAGTTCTATCTGAGCTTCGATACAAGGTAGCTTACAATCCCAATACCTTTTTCGTGAATTGGAAACAACGTACAGCAGGAAAAGCCGTTGAGGATGCATTGCAATACATCATAATGTATGTAGCAGGAGTTTGAACCAAAACTGTAAAGGGATATTTTAAAAATGTCGAGGAACAAGTCATTCGACGTCAGAGCAAGGTTTGGAGCAATTTATACTGCTTCTAAAACTGAAAAGTACCTTTTAAAGAATAGCACGATAGGCAATCAGCTTTTGTTTTCAGAAATAGCAAACACTGAATTTACTTGTCCCGAAAATTCAAACTGGTGTCTCCTTCTTCCTGATAGTAATTTATTTTTGAAATTCCAAAACAATTTCACAGCTGAATTTTGAGCGACTTTCAGTTACGGACTTCTGCTCCAACGATTTTTCTGAAATTCCTGTGGCATATTTATTATATCAATTAAAGCCGATACCAGAAATTTCAGTAAAAAATATCAGCAAAATTTTTTACTAGAGGCGATTTTCTTTGAACATTAGGTTCCTTTTAAGCGCTAATTTCTCAAGAAATATTTGCCATCAATGAAATCGGAATATTCCGTATTATTGCCGAATGATATCTGTTGTTCTTTGCAAAGTTTCGCAGCCATCGCGTTAAAATCGAAAAAGTTATGAGGGAAAATTTGTCACAGCTAAATGCTCTTGTATTAATTACGGAGCCACCTTAAACTTGGTGAACGGCAAAAATACTATGAATATAAAATACTAGCTATCTAGTCATGAACTTCTCAATAAGCGAGGTTACGAAATAGTTTTAAGTATGCTCAACCGTAAAGTGTACGTGTTTTTACGCTTAAGAAAATAGAGAAAACTTGATCACGAACGCCCTTTCTCTTTAATTTGCATAAAATAAAATTTGTATAATATTTGTATAAAAAAAGATTAGTTCACATCAGTACTAACCACGTATCATAAATCAAAGCATCCTTTTGGTGTTCGTTAACGCGCTGGATCGTTAATCGTGTTTGTAAACTACAATGTTTACTTGTGCGCTTAATAAGATAAGATAAGACGAACGCCCCTTTTCTTTAATTATTGGAATAAAAGAATACCAGTCTCCATCTGTAGTAAACACGTATCAGTGATCAAAGCAGATCTTTGCGTGCGTGTCATAGGCGTTCGTTAAACACGTTCGTTAAGCGTGTTTTATACTATTTTGATGCGACTAAATGCGCTTTTTTTCAGTTGGAAAAATATTAACTTCCATCAGTAATAAACACGGATCATAAGCGCGTTTTTATGCTGCTATTTTGAGTTGGTGCGTCCAAATAGAGAAATCTTAAAAGCGCTTTTTCTTGCAAAAAGATTTATTTATTTATTTTATTATTTATTTATTTATTTATTTATTTAGTCAATCACAAAACCTTATACAACATGAACAAAAGTTGTTAATTAAATTATAAAATTAATGTGACAAGGAAGCCTAACGAAGCTTGAAGCTTATATTAATAGGCTTCCTTCAACTACCTACTGAACTAAATTCATGGCTGAGTGCAGAGTGAGCAAAATCAGAAAATTAAACGACAGATCGGCTGTCAGTGAGATAATTCTTTAATTTTTTTAAAAAACAGATATAGAAGGAGAGCTAATTAGTGAAACAGGCAACGAATTCCAGATTTTAGGTCCTCGGTAAAGGATACTGAATTGCTTTATATTTGTTCTACAAAAATGAGGTCTATACTCAGAGGCTAGTCGAGTTTCGTATTGATGGACTTGATTACTACTTAAGAACAAGTCACGAAAGCTACTAGGCAAAAGATTATGGTGATAAGAATACATAAAAGTAGCGACAGAAAATGAATTAACACTAAATATGTCAAGGACTTTAAGCTGGCTAAATAAAGGGGCTTATTTGCTAGATACTGAGCTTTTGTTATGATCCGCACTAGACGCTTTTGCAAAAGGTAAATACAGTTTAGGTTGGAACAGTACGTGGAGGACCAGGCGACATTACAGTATGTTAATAAAGGATATACAAGGGAGTAATACAAGGTCACCTAAGTTTGGGATCATAGGTAAAAGCGGGCTTTCGCAATAATTCCCACACTTTTCGAGATTTTTTTTGAGAAGAAATCAATATGTGGTTTCCAAGAGAGATGCTGATCAATGAGAACACCTAAAAATTAAAGATTAACTCCCATCAGTAGTAAACACGGATCATAAATCAAAGCATCCGTCATGCGTGCGTACGATAGGCGTTCGTCAAACATGTTTGTTAAGCGCGTTTTTATTCTGGGTTTGTGCGCCTAAATAAAGAAATCTTGAATACGCTTTTTCTTGTACATAGATTGCATTAATGAGGCCTATATTATAAGTCGACTGTGTGAGCAAAGGCTAAGCAGCCATTTCCTTTATTCTAGCTACGGTAGTCCATTTCTGTTGATTACATCAATCCAATTCTAATCCGTAACCAAGACTTAGGGTAACGTTACTTAAGACTCATTTGCTTATGTAGGCCATTTCATTCCCGTCTAGTGTCCAGTGCTTAGTGAATAAGAGCAATTTATGATGACTGTGTGAGCAAGGGCCATACAATTATCTCATTAATTTTCACTTTTAAACTGTTAGTTAACTTAATTGATTCACACTTTTTGATTTGTATCAGATACGATGACAGTGTGTGCAAGGGCCATACAGCCATCACATTCCTTCAAACTTGAATGTACGACTTGTACATTTCTGTTGGTTACACTGATCCATCTCAGTAAGCAGGACTTTGTAAACAGCCTTACCATTCTATTTTTGTATGTTTACGTGCGTAAACTGAACTGAACTAAACTGGTGGAACTAAGCTGTAAGTGACAGTAACAAAGAATGTGTACAATGTCCTATTGCTATGAACGTACATGATAGACAAATTCCTTATTGTTTCTAGTTGTTCTAGCCTGTTTTAAACGTTCAAATAGTGGGGAAGGAATAAAGAGAAGCGGAAAATTTTCGTGAATTTATCGTCATCATTAAAGGGCGACTTTCCGTAAATATCGAACAACGGTTGGCACAAGTTCAAAATTTGATTTCACTCATTTTTGGCTCATCGATAACCCTTAGTGAGTAATGAAACATGCTGTAGTTAGTCTTCCCAAATAACGTGTTTTTTTGTTAAAATTCAAGAAAACTCATTTTGCCCGTCATCCACTTCCGCACTGTAATTTTCAGGGAGTTATAATAACTCCTCTAGTGGGGCTAATTTAACTCCTTACAGTGGAGTTATTTTTCGTGGAGTTATTTTAACTCCAAAAAGGAGTTTAAAGAACTCTTTTTCAGGAGTAAAAGTGACCCCAGATATTGAGGAGTTAAAATAACCCCAAAAAAGGAGTTATCCTGTACCTAAAATTTTTACTCCACTTTCAGAGTTAAATTAACTCCAAAAAGAGTAAAAACAACCCCTGTAAGGAGTACAAGTAACCCCATTTCGGAGTAATTTTAACTCCAAGACTGGGAGCAAAAAGAACTCTTTTTCAGGAGTAAAAATGACCCCAAATTCGGAGTTAAATTAGGAGTTAAAATAACCCCAAAAAAGGGGTTATCCTGTACCTAAAATTTTTACTCCATTTTTGGAGTTATAATAACTCCCTAAAAATTACGGTGCGGTAAAGCGAAATTTTACACAAATTTCATTGACTTGTACGTCAAACCACAACGATTTGGCAGGCTTTGAAAAACACGAATAGTTTTTATGATCCTTTCTTTCTTATAAGACGATAAATTTGTGAAAGCTGTAAAAATTTTGTGGTCAAAAATGTATTGTTAAAAATAGGCCCTATTGACAATTCTTACCGTTCAAAATTATAGGGATAAAATAATACAAATTTTTACAATGCGCTATTTCGCAAATTGACTCTCTACGGCTTGACTAGGCCCCAATCTATCAGAAAATTGAAACAAATCTCTGGGCAAACGATTTTAAGAGGCCCGCAAGACCTCGAGTTCAACCCTAATTTTGGGATAAATCGCGACATTGCAGTGGTTAAAAATGCGTTACACGGCCCGTCACGCCAGCGGTGTTAACGACAAATACGCTTTAAACATTCTATTCAACGTTGATCACTGCTAAATTCCAGCATGCAATCTATATTACATCTTTCAATAACCTTATCTTATTTAGAAGAGTCGTTTTGTTTGGATACAATATCTAGTGCAGAATTGCCCAAAAGTCGGCTTTTTTCATCGACGTCGGCAAGACGTCGACGACCTAGCCCTGCGAAAACAGACTTTAAACAAGTACCGTGGTGCGTTTTATTAATTTAAGCATCCGTCAAAAGGCAAAAATACGTTAAATTTAAGACGGGGAGAATCAATATTAACTAATTAGAACACTTTCTTTTTTCTTGCGAGTTTTCTCCTTCAAGTAATTATATATAAGTATACATGTACGTTTCGATGTATTACTATCACGATTATAAAGGTACTTTCTAACGAACGTTTCAGATAATATTTTAACTCGTTTCGATCGACGATGAAACACCATCATCAAAAACAAACCGCCAAAAACTTTCCTCTACAGCGAAACGGAAAACAGAAAAAAAGTGGCGTTTTACACATGCTAAAGCAGGAATAGTTGCAGCTTGAGTATGAGCTTTTAAAACGTCAAATGCTCCTAAATGGACATCCATAGATCACTTGCAGCGGAAAAAACTCTCTGGCCCACTATGAACTAGCCTGTTCCAAGCGTAGTGGACAGTGGCGCGAAATGAGGGAGGAGGAAAACAAACGTTGAAGAGAGTAAGAGTGAGAGAGTAGAAGGATCTTTTGCCCTGTCTCCCTAACCCCGCCCCTTCGCCATTTTTTCCAGCTCACTTTTTCTTTGCTTTTTTCCAACTATCTGAAGGCCTGTTACAGGTTAAATACGAGCATTCCTTCATTTTCAACTTTTTATGGTATATATTCAACTTGAGCGTCCAGCACTTTTGGCGCTTTGTTATTGATCCGCAGGAACGGATTTGGTAGTACTAACTTTTCAACTGCTTTTAATTAGACGGCGTAACTGTCTTATCTTTTCTTTCTTGTTTTCTTTCTTTTATTTTTTCTTTGTCAGTTTCTATCGTATTTTTTTAGACGTATTTTTCGCTTCTCTCCCCAGTCTCACTCACTCTCCCCCCTCCCCCGCCAACCCTTCTATGCTCCAGACAAGAGGGAATGACCATTCCTTTTGCTTCAGACCATTCGTTCGACTATTCAGCGTTCTTGGCTTACACAAAAAGTACGGGCTGTTTTATGGTCTGAAAGTCTTTGCACTTATTGCCGTTTTAGTGTCATGGAAACTCTTGCTGTAATACTGAACTGCAGATGACAGGTTTAAGGACTGAACGTTCCTTTCAACAGCGTTTGGAAAGAGAACATCGTCTTTTTCACAAAAGAAAAATAAATAACAATAAAAATGAGGAAACAAAATAGAGTATAATACTAAACCTAAGAAGAATCTTGTAACGAACGAATGGGAACACCTAAAAAGGAACGACAGACTTGAGGATTTTTCTTATCCTCCATAGCGTTTAGTCCATGAAACTTAGACGCCCATGGTACCCTCTAAAACGTCTTTCCTCATGCTATATATACTACGGATAAGCCCTTTGGAAGGCATTTGCTGAAAGTTTGGGTAGTGGTTATGCCGCTGAAGCCTTCAAACCCTGACTCTATTTAAGACAAAAATGAGTCATTTCATTACCTTGTTTTATGAGACAAAGGACTTTTTTTGATGACCCTTGATTACTAGTCCATTTTTACTTTTCTTAAAGAATTAAGAAATAAAGGGTATAGAAAAAAAAAATGAAAAAAGAAAACAAGATTCACTTATGGTGAATAAGTAGGTTATTGGTAATAATGGTAGACGGCGCATCGCCGACGTCTGCCCCTTGTTCAAGGCCTTTCGTCTACAAAAATGCCATGTTCAAGACACTTGGAATTGTATAACCTGTTTAAGAATCAAGGCCTCCAAAACCTTACCTTTGTCTTTGTCACAAAACCGAATTAGACTGGGAGCGTTAGTCTACTTTACGTAAGTACCGTGTAGATCTCCGCAAGAATTGTTAGCAGCCAGCCCTCAAAACCAAAAGAGACTTCGCCTGCCGCTGGTCAATATGTAGGTAGGCTATTCCAAAGGACCTCGCTAGAAAAACTATTTTTCTTAACATTTGTCTGGGGTAGAAGAATAGCGAGTTTGCTGTTGGTGTCTCTTAAAAAGTAATTAGAGATATTGCAACGATCTGCCATTGCTACGATCTACTATGCACTTAACAAGGCCCCTCAAAGTACTTAAGATATATTTCGCATAGTCTTCGAAACACCCGCTCCTCACTGCTCTTTGAAGAAATGTCCCTAGCGGCAGATAGAGGAAGCTGTATCGCAGGCTTTTGGACACAAGGATTTTCTACTTTTTACATATGGGTAAACGGTCGCTTCACCGTTTGGGCAAATGGTGAACAGAATTCAGGACTGATGAATTTTAATTCCGTTCGGTAATCGCGTTTACCATTTGCCTAAGCCAGTTTCGGTTAAGGAGAAACGGCTGCGAAAGCCTGAAACTGATATTCAAAAAAGGTTTGAAGACATGAAATCCGAATTTCCGCCTGGAATTTTCCAACAAGGAAATTAGCCCAATGCTTTTTCAGACGTTCGGTTTGTTTCAGGAATTTTCCACTGAAACGTCGAAAACAACCCGAGACTGAGTTATTGGTAAGCCTGGCAAAGCACCAAAGTGTCCTCTTAGTTTGTTTTAATGGGTCGAGTCATGCAGTAGCTTCATGATTCATCCACGTTGTCATACAAGTAACAAGAAGACGCCCGAAGGCGTTTACGCGGGATGTGTTGGTGTAAGAAAGAATTACCGGTATGTTGAATGGCAATGGAAAGTTGAGTAGTGTATCAACAGCAAATGTGTGCAGGAGAGACGGAGATGTTCTGTTAAGGACTAATACACTATAGAAGATGAGTTACACACAAGGGTTCCTTTGCTACGTAAAACAAAAGTTACATCAATATTACCACCATATATATTAAGAGTATAGGGTAGTTCACTTAAATTTGCATTCCCTTTAGTAATTTCCCCAAAGAATGCACTCCCACATTCAACAATAGCGTGTAATGTATCATACTTCCAATAACTAAAGGGCTGCAAGGCTGCGCTCTAGGGAAAATTTCAGGGAACCCTTTGGGCTCCCAAGCAATTTAACCTAAAAGGTCTAGATGGCCGCCCGAATAAAATTTTCGGGGAGCTTTTCGGTCTCCCAAACATTTTAGCTGGCGTGCCCGGGCCTCCAAGTTGTTAGCCCAAATTAATAAATCAGTGAGCTGTGAGTTAATTATTAAAAGTTAAACAAATTATTTTCTGAACAAGTCAAGCAGAATTTTGTGAATATTTTTTTTCATGAAAAATCACATCCTTTGACCTTCTGAGCGTCCGAAAAAAGAAGCCCCGTTGTCATATGAAAGTAAGTTTTCACGCCATATGAGATGGAAAGTAAGATTCTGGTCTGTTTATGTATTTTTGACAAAAATTTTTGGGTCAAGAATAAGGGCACTATTCTTTTTACTAATCATTTCTGTTTAGGTTGAAAAGAAAATTCGCTTAAGATTGACTAAGATCCCGTGGGCCGTGGAGCTTTCCGGGAAAACTGCTATGATTTAGACGAAACCACGGCCGCCCCAAAACTAGATCATCATCTTGTTGGAAAGTCGTCGTTTAAGCGCAGAACGGAAGTATTTTCTTCCTATATTATCGGTGAAATGTTCAGGACAAATAAGCTTTTTGTGAATTCGGTAGCCAACTAGCTCTACTTTGACCGCTAAATTTACCGTTTGCGTAATTTTATTTTTAGTACGTGATACGTATCATTTAAAAATGACTTGTCACGACACGAAAGACAATGCGAGACTTTATTATAGATTTATACCCGATTCTAAAACAATCACAATAATAGTCGTCTCTTTTCTTTTTTGTACATCGTATTTCATTGGAATAACAATCTTAGGTTATGTTTTAGCCTCGCAGACACAGCAGTAAAAAACAGGTAAAAATATTTAGTTAACGTAAAAGAGTGACTCCCGTGTTTATTCAGCGATTTTTTGAAATACAAAGCTGTTGTTTTGCGTCGCCGACCGTACTTTACGCCTGTCAGAACAAAAGTAACAATTTCCTTGGAAAAACTAACTAATGAACCTATTCTAATGTGAAGAAAAAATTCAATGTTATTTTGAAAAGCTGTTAAAATCGAAAGCTGTGCAGCTTGTCACGTTAATAGTCAAGAATTATGTTACATGTGAATTCACGTGAGACGACCTTTGAACATCAACGCGTGCCCGCTGCCCGATTTAACAACATTTTCTGAAAGCTTTTTTAAAGACATGCTACATATTGCTACAAACAAGTCGACCTCAAGAGTTTCTTAGCCAACGGAGCATTCTTACTGGGCCGAGAAGGGTAGGGGCTTGTTACAAAGCATGACAAGGAGCTTTTTCTGCCTTTCGAATTTGAGGAGCTAATATTCCAGACCTCGGCTGCAGGCGAATATACGGAGGGTCCCATTTTCGTAATTGAACAGTTTTAAAATTTCCTTTTGATAATAATGAAAGTAATAACAACAGGTTTGTATCGAGGAACACGAACAGTCGATCAAAGTAAATGTTCTTCTTGGATTTTGGCAAGGAGAAAAAGCCAAAGAAAGAAAAGGTCAAGTATCATTTAAGCTGTCGCGTCATTCACACCGGTATTGATTCAGGTCATCATATTCTTATATACTCCTAATCAAAACTGTATGAACGGCAACGGCACAGAACTGGAAGAATGTGTTCACACACATCGAACATCGTGCCGGAGCGTTTGGCCGAACTAAATCCCAGTCCAGTGGACTGTTACCGTTACAGAAATAGCGCCGAAATTACCGTTCTTATGTGTGAACAGAAACCATATCCGGAATGACTTCCGTGTCGGCCCAAAAGCTATCCGGTATCCGGTATAGCGTGATCATAGCCTTACAGTAAGTACGGTATAAAATAGAATTAGGTATTCAGCGTTTCATCTTCAGTTTCGTTAACAGGAAGGGCAGTCTTTGATCTCTGGGAAACGAGTTATTTTGGCCGAGTTCACTGAGTCATAAGTTTGCGATTTTCAAGCACTAATACTATCTTAAAATAACCTCTTTTTCAGACTTTTCACCGTCACGCCATTAAAAATGAAATGCAAATCAGAATCTGGAAAATGAAAGAAGATGAGTGTAAAAAAGGCCTCGCCAAACATCAAGTCTGATTGTGCGATATTTCATATGTGAGATATTAGGAAAAACGTTTTACCCAAATTTATGAGGTTTGTATGTCCCTTTGAGGAGCACAAACATCGCCCCGGAAATTAGCGGAAACATCTGTCTTTGGGCTTTCCTACAAATGCGTGAATTTATTGCTTGAGGATCTCAAAGTGATTATATCAAACGAAACAAGGAATGTTTAGATACCAAAAACGCCAAAAATCGCTAACATTTTTAACCTACATAAGAGCTTTCCCGGCTGCCAGCTAAATGCCGCGTCACGCAAAAGCATGGAAATTCAAGCGTCCTGTGTCGCAAAACGAAGAACCCTTTCGAACCAAAAATTAGAATCAAAAAAGGTGTTGAGCTGCTGTAATACCTTATGAAAGTAGAAAATCAGGAGAATCAATAATTCTCTAAGTTTGAATTTTGGTGACGTTATGTGAAAACCGAGAATATGCTTTTCTTGGATTTTTACTTATCAATTCTAAGCTAAGAGAATTACGCACAAACACGGAACTCAGTTTCGTGACTTGATTACTAGTCAGAACAAATTCAAAAGTTTATGCAAAGAATAGAAAGCTGCAGTACATGCAAAGACAGATACTGCATCTTTCAGTAAACTTTGCTGAATGTAAACAAATTAAACTTCCACGAAAAGCTGCAAGTCTCTACACCAACGACCCCTTCATATACATTAAGCCTGAAAAAGGTCCGTTAATCAACTCGCTTCTACTAAACTGTTCACTAGAACTGACCGTAGAATTGTACTTAATTTCATATCGATACACAGTATAGCAAACACACCCAATCATATAAGGAGAAGCACTTACCCTTTAAACAGCACCCTCGCGGGATTACTGCCTTAAGCACAAGGAAGAAGATTCACTGTCTCACAAACGAGGTTATTTGATAGTCTTAAAAGTCGCGTGATCGCCTCATGAGAGGTCATCCGAATTCCGGGAAATTTTTGCTTGTGGAATCCGAAAGCTAGTTACTTCGGTGGAGCGCGAAGTAAAGGATTCGCGCGGCTCAGGAATGTTTCAAAGTTGCATTCGGATTTCCTGAAGTTGCTTCGAAATTAGTTCGAGATATCCTCGAGTTCTTTGATTTATTCTTATTCTTATTTATTATCCTGGCTAGAAATATTGACTGCAAAAGTATTTTACGGAAAACATTGAAGCAAATTGGGCTAGTAGCTTCAAAATACGAGCGAAATGGAGATACAAGTTGCGTGAACACGAAGCCGTAAACAATGGTTGTCGAGTTAACTGCCTAAGCTCCGATTACTCCTAGTTGTAGAGGAAATAAAGGAATTGGAACTGAGATCGATCTGTACAGTACGGCAAATGATCCCCACTGTCCACCGCAAAAGATCCCGTGAAAAGTGGAGGAATGGAATAGATTTTAGACTTGGATGATGAAAGGTGCTGAGTACTAGGACAACGCGTAAAACGGTGAAATGAATAAAACCATAATTTAAACCATTCTGCTTCTTTTGACAATTGTTTCTAGTAAGTTCCCATGTTTTGCTGCTGTGAAAGGACGTTAGGCAGGAAACAGAGGAGCAGTATTAAAAACTTGTTTGGCTCTTATTTTAACGCCGAGGAACTGAAATTGTCTGGAAATAGACAGTCTGGCACTTCTACATAACAGGAGATTTAAGGACTAGTAAATTTCGTGTTCCCGAGTATTTATTTTCAAAACATTTTACAGGGTGTCCCAAAAGTTCGTTCCTCTACTATATAAGACTGTAATGTAGTAAGATTGGAATTGATAAGCAAAAATAGAGTCATCTGTGGCTCTACATGCTGTATCCCACTCCATGCTGCAACGGCTACAGAATGTGATAAAATAACGAAGGGGGAATGCCGGTTACTGAAATTCTGAACACCATGCACTCGATAGAGCAATAAACACCTTCTAAAAATTTCATGCAAGAATAAAGTTTTGACCAAAAGTTAGAACGCCTGAAATTTGGGACACCCTGTAGTTTCTTTTGAGTTTACAGAATGTGATTAACAGTCTGACATTCATACATACGGAACCCGGAACAACAAGTAATATATACAAATGTCAAAATGCGGGAACCCGGAAACATGTTTATTACTCTGAACAGGTTTTCGGTTTAATTCGAAATACAACTGACTAGCAACTAAAAACTAAAACTCATGAACATGTCGAGGCTATAGTTATAAGGACGCCATCGATACTAGCCTGACTACCTTGTGTATTCATTTTTTGTACTTTTGTTGTTGGAGAGACAGTGACAAAGACACAAAATCAGGGAATGAACGATGGCACGGGTAAGCGGAAATTATTGTGCCTATTAGTAAAGAATTCTCCTAAGAGGGGTCGCAATAGAGTGAGTAATTATCTTGGGTCGGTCCACAGGACTAAATTTCGGTTCCAAAGACCTTCGCGATATCAAAAAATATTATTTTTTCAAGTTCTTCGGCAGTATCCTGTAGATCGAAATTGAGAAAAATCTTCTTAAAATTTGCCACGTAATATACTAGATTTTTTTAAATTCTTACCTTTTACGTTCTTAAAATTTCTTACGCTTACTTGTAACAAAAGATAGGTGTTTTTATCTTTTGATGAATAAAGACTTAATTATTACTTTATTATTATTATTATCTCTTTCACTACGGCATCTTGAAATCTCATTCAGTTACTGAAAGGTGTATTTGTGTTTCTTTGATTGAAAAAGCTTTAAATGGATTTTTTTCAGTCAGTTTCCTTTTTTTCTATTATACATTCATTTGTGAAACAAAATTTGTTCAGTTGAATATTCTATTTGTAATGATAATAAACTTGACGCGATGATCCAGTAACTTGAGTTCAAGCTATTCCAAATTTTCCTCTCGGGATCATTTGCGGTCGAGGATCATTTGCGGTCCATCCTGGGGATCAATTGACGCCAGGGTTCATTTGCGGTACTGTACAGATCTCGTCGTGCGCGATTTACTTATTAGAGAAATTATAATCGAATTGGGTTACAGCTACGCGGTCATTCACCTAGCAGACTTCCGGTGAAGAACTTAATCTGTCTGTTACACAAAAGGACAAAAGTAGGGGTATTTGTATGGACGGGTATCCGGAAAAATATCATTTCTTATTATTCCTCCGCGTTCACAATTAATCCACAACGACAACGCCGAAGTGTACGCTCCCATAGCGTCTTGTTTAATATAATGTGGTGCTTTCAGGACCCGTCAAAAGCTGGAAATAGATACAGCGAAACCCCGACTTACGGCCACCTCGTTATTACGGCCACTTTTTCTGGCCGCCTGGCAAAACCGCCATTCATTTTCTTGTAACAAAAACCCTCGTTAATACGGCCAATTTCTTTCTGACCCATTCGTGACCGTATTAACAGAGTTCAACTGCATTGGCCGAAATTCAAAATGATCTCCTTTAATAAGGCTTTCAAATATTTCTCTTTCTCTGATTGGCCTTTAAACCCACCGGTTATTCTTTAAAGCCAGCTAGCGGCTTCTTGTGTTGACCAAATTAGAAAAATGTTTCATTTCATTTTAACACCAGTGGCGCAGCTGCCTTCGTTAAGCCATTAAGCCCGGGCTTAACAATATAGGTTCTACCCGGAAACGAACTCGGGACCTTCAGCGCGCCAGGCCGTTTGGTTACCACTACGCCACGGGAAAAACATTACGAAAGCCTCGATAATATTTTATGAAAAGGCTTTTCCCTAGAACTTCCGCCAGCACGACCTGTGTAAAGTTGATCGAGCCTTATTAAACACGAATTCACAGATACTTTTCAGAAGAATAACTGCCGTTCTGACGGTGGAAACCTAAGGTACACGCATTTCCTCGCATCTCGGTACAGCTTTCAAAAAACAAGAAAAAAAAACAAGCTGTCTTTCAAACTTCTGAAACCACAATTTACAGGCCACATACTTTCGAATGAAAGTCCATATCTAAATACCAATTATTGTTTCATTTGAAGAACTTTGAAAAATATGATCTTTCATACTCTGCCTTGAAGTAGGTAAAACAGAACTCCTGAATTATGAAATAGATGGTTTTCACAGTGACGTCATCAAATTGTAAAGTCAAAAATTACGAATTCTTATTTTCACTAGGTTGAAGATAGACAAAAAGTAAATCTTTATACAAGTTTCCATTTCCGTAGCATGTTCAGACCCGTAGCAAGCATAAAATGACTAGGGGGGCTGAGCAAGTGGCCCACATTAACCTCCCCCCCACCCCGCTTCGGTCCCTTGGTTAAAGCATACTTTTTGGTACATGTCAGATAACTAACTACATTTGTCTACAATACATTTTGTTTTCCGTTTGTGTTGACTTTGACGAAATAGAGAAGTTGTTTGGGATATCTTTAGCTGAAAATTTGGCAAACAATTGCTTTTGGTTTTCTTTCTCCCCAACGAAGTCATTAGCTACGTCTACAAGGGTCAGAGCATCTGTTCTGTCCTTGTGAACATATACCATCATGAGGTGGTTCAGTCTAGAGTCTCCCGTTGTTGAGCGCAAATGGACTATCTGATACGTTAACAAAGACTTGATCTGGAGGGCTGAGTTGCCTCTTTGTCGTTTCCTGTTTCCCAGCTTTTGTTGTCGATGGCTCCAAATCATTTTCATTTCCGGATTGTTTCTTCGACTACACCAGGCTCTGTGTCACTAGTGCATGGTTTTATACCCACGATAAAAGTGTTCCCTGCTTATTTTCGACTTGTTTGGATTTTTTTTTCGGCGGCTCTTGCGAAGACATTATAAGACTTTCAATATAAACGCGCAAACACCTAAGTTTTACTCTAGTACGACCCTAGTACAGTAGTATATTTTAAACTGGCGGACCTCTTAGGAAACCAATAAAGATTAAGAGGTCACGTTCAGGTGCTACGGGCCTGAATGTTTCATTTCGAAAATACAGCAATTTGAACTGCCGAGTTTTCACAGTGCGTGACATCAAAATAGGAATGCTGTCTCGTGGCAAAAAGGTCTCTCCTTTTGATTTTCTGAAAACGGGAACTCCAGATGTTGTGTTGAATTCCGGCAGCCATATTGGTGCACCAAAACCGTACACCAATATGGCGTCTCTATACAAAGCGGGTGCAAAGGTGCGAGAAACGTTTCGGCAAATAAGTCAGAAACTGTGGGCCGCAAAGACCTCAGACTTGGACAAATTGTTTATATATTAGTCTTTTATAACATTTCATTTTCTTGACTTCTTCCACTGGACGGTTTCCAATTCATATTTTTGTTGCATGACGGTGAAAATGATCTATACGTGCGTTGCACTGTCCGTCACAGCCGGATTAGGTCAGAAATGTCTTGAAGAAGCACCCACACTAAAATATGAACCCTTAAACACCTGCATCACTATATAAAGCGTTTGAATCATGAGGATATGTAAATGTAATGCTTCTAAACACTTGTAGCCGTAATAAAAGACGAAAAAATTGTGAAGAATCAAGATGGCAGTCTCAATTTTCCCTAGTTTGACCTTTAGCAATGTCATGTTAAGATGCCAAGATCTCATTGGTTCCTAAGAATCAACTCATAGTACCTTTAAGCTTATTGGCCCGTGCAACACACATCTGAACAGACAAAGCCACAAAGCCACAAAGATACATACGCTCACACCACTGACATATGAGCTATTTTTTCAAAACATGTAATTCGTAAACTCAATTAAAATAGTGTAACATTCTGACACTACGGCTTTTTATATTATATATTTTGCTTCACATACTTTAGGCTTCTATACCCTTGGGCTTCTACGATAGAGGTGTGACTAAACCTAATCAGTTTTTTCAAAAGAACCAAGCAAATAAACTTTAATATTTGATCCTAAAACGCTCTCTAACCTTTTTAGTTTTACATGCATCATTTCCTGATCCTAGCTGGCAAAAGTAGTGATCATCATGATTAAAAAACACTAGAATACAACATGCAATATTCACTTTATGTGCATGTATTGGCAGCATAATTACGTGCTAATGACGAATAAACGACATAAGTGAGGAATGTATACAAATGAACAATACAATTGTCTTAAAATCCCACGGGTTTTGCTCTCACAATTGAGGCTAACAAAGAGCAGTGGAGAAACAGTAGTATTAATTAGATGAGTGAGTATAAGGCCACCCAGAGGTTGTGGAAAAAAACTGGGTACATTTGGCACTGCAGTTCTGTGTCATTTGGCCATTTGGATGGGAAATTGTTCGTGATTCACCGATGGTAAACATTGTTTCACAGACGATGAGTAAACACAACAGCCTTTCATGAATAATACATGAATGCGCCTTGGTCATCGGCGGCAAAGTTTATGTTGCCTGGAAACGCAAAATGCTCCATGACGTCATTGGCGGACACCAAGAATATATATTCATGAAAAGATTGATGGCGCATCCAATTTTGCAGCTGGCTAAGACCACGCGCGGTTAGCAGACTGCGTGCGCGCGACGAGATTATAAAGTCGCTAAGCTCTCGGCGCTTCGCGCCGAGCTTCGCTCGGAATAACTACTTTACTGGTTACATATAACCACTTTACTAATGAAGTAGATCTACGAGTAATTCAGCATTTACTCAACTCGCCTGACTATCGGCTGTACCGGCTGTAGGGTGTTCAATTCTAAGACAGTGTTATATTAACATGTTAATAGATAAGTTTGTTCGCCCGGATCAACAACCTCAAAGCAGAGTAGTCGACCCTTTTGTACTTATCATACCCTTCGGTCACGCCTGATCCTTTACCACTCAGTCCCAGCCTCTCGAACATCTTGATTCCAAACCCATTCCACTCCACGAAGACCAAACGGGTAAATTTACTCTTAGCCGTTAAGTGCACTATTTTCCAATATAACGGAGAAAAAAAATCAATGTTTCCTGCATTTCTTTTTCCAAAAAATAAAACCCTAAAAGCACAGTATATCAATGCATCTCTGTAAAATACTGTAGGATGATTTGTAGCCAAAACGTTATATTGACAAGTGCCTTTTTTTCATAATTTCACAACAAACAGTAAAGTAATTAATTTAAAACATTTAAAATCACTTAATGATATTGCTCATTATGGAAATGACGATCCCCATTGTATGACTTGGCAGTTGCTCTGCCAATGTTTGTCCTCACACGTTTGGGAAAGAGGATGTTTTTCCAATTGCATTCAAAATATAGTTGGTCGTTCTCGCTCTGTTCCAAACAAAACACTGGCAGCCGTATTCTTCCCATGGTCGGGTACATTTGAGCAACTGTCAAAACCTCCCTCTGTTCCACGGGGGAACGAGCTGTCAAATCCCTAGGGTGGGGACGAGAAAAGAGGGCAAATACCCCGTCCTCCGCCAGCACTGCAACATTTTTCATTGATCGCACAGTCGAATATTGAAGCATTTCAATGTGCGAAATTTTGTTTCAATTAACGTCTTGCTTTGTAATAGCGCTAGGATTCTAATTAAGACTTCATGCCGCGACGACATGCACCAGTTTATAATTTTAGTATTGATGTAAAATTATTGACATTAAAATTATAGAGCGCTGTAAAGTTATATGTTATGAATAGGTTTATGAATAGGAAAGAATGGTTTTTAAATAATATCAACAGAAATTTGATTCAATAACCAAAACAGGTCGATTTACGTCGGTAGCTCCCGATTTCGCCCTATAATTCTGGCTTGATAAGCAATGAAGAAATTCATACATAAAATCAAGAACATGCCTTTACAACCTTCTTCAATTTTTTCCTGTCCTTGACAGACGAGCCAATCCTCTTTCTTTCCCAGTGAAATCCTCTGTGTGTAGTTATATTCTGATAGGAAACCGCTTGCATGTCGATACCTCGGGATTGGCCCCGGGGTTGGCAAATGCCTTGCCCCCGGGCAGCACAAAATTTGCAAATGCCCCACCCGGGGACTGACAAGGCAGGAAAATGCCCCGCAGTAGCCGGGGGGGTGGTCTGGGCGCAGCTGGAATTCACTGACGCATAAAGTGAAGCATTATGCGTCGTGTTTAAACCGATGGCAGTACCAAGTGTAAACGTTTCCATTATTATCTCGGAAATTTCCATTTAAAAGGAGACCTTCAAACGAAAACGCAACGTACAACTGACAACAAAAAGAACGCACTTATACTAGCGGGTCAGACTCGCTTGCTTGGAGATTAGATCGACAAACGAGGAGGCGATTAATTCTACACGAAACAGGATTTACTCGCTAAAGGTTTTTTTACTTCCTACTTTATCGACGTCGATACTTTTTACTTGTTTTTGAATTGATTTACTACGCGCGTTAGCGACGACCGGAAACACGCCGGCGGTCGCAGGCTATATGCGTATATAAATACAACAAAAATTCAAGGGCCTCGATTCCAGAGAAATTACGTCATTGCCAGAGAACAAAAAAGTGATTTACATGGCGCGTCATTTCAATCATCGCCGAAAATAAATCGCATGCTGATCACAAGACCCAATTTACATGCAATGAACGTTTACAAGACCCAACCATCGCAGTTAGAATTCGTGGACCGACAAGTTTCGGAAAAGTTCTAAATTATTCTTTCCTGAGCTTTCTTCGCAAAAAATGCGTGGCTTCGATCACGCAACGATTCTTAGTCCCAGTTTCCACGGTCTCCGCAAGGAACGCCTGGCACAATGACCCCCATTTGTGAATAAAATACGACGAAAACCCCCGGGGAGTACTTCCAGAAAAATTGGGTGGGGTTGTGCGGCACGTTTCCTGAAACCCTTTGCCTATTTCAGACCAAAATCTGTGATTTTCTCTACCCTATTTCAGACCTGAAGCCCTGGAGCCCGGCGGGTGACAAGCTGTTACGGCAAGTACACGGTTGGCGTAAACACTAAAAGGGAAATGGTCTTATCGCCAAATGATGAAGAAGTAGCTTCTTCTAAAAACATACCCAATTCAAGACCTAGAGTGCTAAACTGTACCCTATTTCAGACGAAAATGGTCGAAATTGATACCCTATTTCAGCCCAAAACGGCTAAAAAACCATACCCTTTAGCGCCGCACATACCTATATAGCCTAGATAAGGGGGTACTCCACTCCCCCTGAGGCGAAAAACGCGTCGCAGATCATGAGTCTCGCTGATTACGCAAGCGAGACTAACAAAAGCGCATTTGTATCCGCCATTTTTCGCAAGCTAATTTCCATTCTTTCTCGGCCCCGCCCCCTCCCCTCCTCCGGACCAGCTAGTCACGTGACCAAAACACAATACTTTGAGGAGGCCATATAGTGAAGGAGAGAGGTGTATAATGGTCGATTACATCAAATCGCTTGGCAGGGACACGACAACATAAACAAAGCGCAGTTTTACGCACCTTCGATGTACAAAGCTTGAATTTATATCCATCTGGAAGGGAAGACCCAAAGAGATGACTGTACAAGCTAAGCTAAGTGTTCAAGTTTATAAGAGTGATTGTGCTTCTGTCACTGATAGATGGATATAATTCGACAGTAAATACAGATCAGAGGTTGTGTGCTGGAGAAATGACTTATTATTGGTTGCTCTTAAAATCTGGCTAAGGATTAAGCTTAAGTTCGGTAATTTACATGGACACTTTTTTCGATAGACATTTGGGCTTTAACTTGTTTGCCCTCCTTACCAGAAAAGATTAATCTTGTGGCGGGAATAATAGAGAGGAGAAGTGTGACGTCACGTTATCATGGTAGCACTATTTCTGGATGACAACAAAACCAACAACGATGGCGACGGCAAGGAGAACGGCAAAAAATAATATATTTATAATAACAAACAACAATTTATCACGTGTATCACGCTGTTTTGTACATTTCTTTACCGTCGTTGCACCACTACGACATGGAACTTCCTAACTTTACGAGCCCACTTTATAAAGTAGGTAAACACAACAAAAAAATTGTCGCTTTCTTTTTCTAAACTTAGATAACAATAGATATGGTCCCAAAAAAATTTCGCCAAGATTTGCCAAATTAAATGAAATTGAATAAGATCGGTGAAGTTTGAAATAGTGCGAATAGACTTTTAAGTTACTTTTTCAGTTTGTTGTCATCCAAAATTTTTGCTACCGTGGCAACGTGACGTAACGACCTCTCCTCTCTATTGTTTTTTTTTTTGTTATCTCCGTGCAACCTACCTGTTTTGATCTTAGTTACCTGGAATGTCTTTCTCTGATGTTTTTGGAATGGTTTTGATGAACTCTCACAAAGCAATAGAAAAGAGACTTTCACTTTTTTAATTATAATATTTTGTTCAAGGTGCAAAGAAAGTCAGCTTTATTACAGCTTGCTATTCAGGCAAGCTGTACATGTACCTAGCATGCACTAGCCTGAAAGCCATTTTGACTACCCCAATTATTATTATTATTATTATTTTTTAATGAATGGGATTGATTACAGTCCTTCTGTAATCTGAATTCCCTAAAAAGACTTTACTTGCCAGCCAGGCAAGTTAAAGACACAGTTCGATGAACCAATCATAAAATCCAGTACCCCAGGGCTATTGCCTGGACACTACTCTGTCAACTCTCTTTGCACACTGTTTAATATAATTTAGCTAGATCTTGAACTGTTGAATGTCTTTTTAACAACACTTTTACTTGGAAATACAAGACAAACCTCCCCGATGAAATAAATAAAATACCTGTACAAGTCACTAGATGAAGCTGTGTACCATATATTGTCATTTAAAATTTACATAAACAATACAGGAATGATTATTCTTGTATTGCTCACAGCGATTTATTAGGTGTATTAAATTGCCTAAAGTAATTCAATGCATAAATTAGAGAGCTGTAGAAGAAATTAATTAACAATTAATGAATGAGGCTGAGTATCATCTGGAGAATTATGGAGATCAAGCAGGCTAGATAACACCCCCCAAGATCTCCATAATTCTTCATATGATATGAAAGCCGAATTCAGTAATTGTTTTATTATTCGTTCAAAATAATTCCTAGTTTAAAAACATAGCTAAAAGATGCTTACCTCCATCAACGTTCAGTTCATCTTCGATAGTGCACGTTTAGGGTTGTTTAGCTCCACAAATGTTCCCCAAATAGCAGATCTCGCCCTTCGAGTTGTCTTCTTGCTGTTCTTGCCATGTTTTTGGCCATTATTTTGCCTGGTCCCTAAAACGAGTGAAATATTCGCCATTTTAGTTTTCACAACCAAAACAACTCAACCTCATCCCCAGGTCTTCTCGGTTAACAGTGCATTAACCTGCAGCTGTGCTGCACTTTTGATATCATTGGTTGATTAACTGCAAAATTCTTCCAAATTTGGTCATCAATAGTTGGTTATGGTGAATTATGCATGTGCTTTTAACCAATCAGAAATGGAGAAATATTTTGAATGAATAATATGGTCTTAAGTCACTGTGGGAGTTTTTTGGGGGGGGGGGGGTGGGGTGGGTCTGTCACTAATATTATTGAACATGGGTTATTACACACTTTATGAGAAGTCATGCATTCTGGAAAGAGAAAACTACTTAGGAAATTAATAACTAAGAGGCAATTTGAACCTCATAAAGATTATAATGATTTAAAGTGACTTAAGACAACTACAGGCAACCTAAGGCAATTTTAGGCGACTTAAGGTCCCGGAATAGGCCTGAGATCTGTACCTTCCACGTCCAATATGATTAGACTTTGCCATCTGTCGTTTTCACCATTGATTTGCACGTCTGAGATCCATACTCCACTCTTTCTTGCACCCATAGTATTTCCCGTTTCGAATATTTCTTCAAACCTGTTCAGTGCCAGCGATGCCATCGTAGCTTATGCTGTGTAAAATAAAGTTGAGTGCTGTAGATTTACCCCCTTTCCCAACTGCAATAACAATCATAAGTGAAGGGAGCTTTTCAGTCATGTGAATAGCTTCTGCACTGACAACAAACTTTGCCTCACCATTTCTTTACTATCTGAATGCCCGGAGCAGTCTACTAAATGCCTGAAACAGCCTAGAAACTGCCAAGGAACAGTGAAATGTTTTGAAAATAAATACTCTTAGCCATCATGTTTTTTTTTTTTCAGAAAATAAGAACCGGCATGTATTTGAGAACCTCAATAGCCTAAGTGTGTGCTAATTACCATTTACGTAAGAGCTTGTTTACGCTAACTTGGGAAAATGCTGGTTCTTAGTCACAGGCTTTTACTGTATTGTATTTGGCTTTTGTATGATTTAAGGAATTTTACAAATCAAGAAAGATGTAGCATGCGTACCTTTTTTTTGAGAGGAGGCATGTACTCACGCTAAGAAAATAACCAAATACTCAAACATTGGGAGCTTTTATTTGCCATTGGCATCAAAAGCAAGCCAAGTGCTCAACTTGAGACAATGTTGTGGACAGGTTTGATTTTTTACCACCAAATAGTGCATTTCATCCCTGATTTCCAGGTGAAGTTACATTTTTTCTTCCCCTTTTTTTATTATTTCTTGGTTCTTTTTTTCTCTTGTTTTTTTCCCCTTTCATCTTACACTGCTGGCCATTCCATTCCCCAAGCTTTTGTGATGTTCTGCAAGACAAATATTTCTGAAACTACAGTAACAGTAACATCATGTTATTATTGAACATTATTTTACATATCTATTCAGAGCACAGTATCTGGCAAAATTTCTCATCACGCGGAACCCAAGAGCTTGTTGCAACCTAAAAACACATCCCTTAAGCATGTGACACATTCCTCCCGGACAGGTCAAGTGGAAAGCCTGACAAGCCAAAGGCTCCATGAGTATAAACATTGTTGACTTGATAAGGAATACAGTGGTTGCAATAAAGAGTCGTTTCGGTACAATTTGTTTGATAAAAATTTGTTCAATCGAGTTGTAAATAGTTTCGCGCACTTGACTCAAAGAATGAAGAATAATCTCCCGAAATGTTTTTCTTGTTCAGGCGCAAACTGTACTTGAAGTGATTACATTTTTTGAGCAATTTCAATGCTTGAGTTCGTATAGAAATGACTTGTATCAAAACAAATTTGTATCGAAACGACTGGTTTCTCTTGATAATGACAGTTTGGAAGTGGAGATAAACTGCAAGCACCAATTCTGTAGTCATCCTAGCAGTCAATAATACGAATGTTCCAAGAAGGTTTAGTCTCCTGTGCAGTCACTTTTTTGGGTTATCAAACAATGCCTGTTTCCACAAACAGCTGCTAAGAATCTAACCACATTGACCAGGAGCATTGCGTGATGACGCAAAGAAATACTGTGAAGGAGTCCAAAGCAGGTTAAGAGGGCCATGAAAACCTAGATCTTCAATGATCATTCGATTTCGTGAAACGTGATCGCCTCGATGTTCATGTGAATGTGAAATCTGTTTTGCTGTTGCTGCTCTCATTTCTTTGGTCACTCACTGGCAGGTCAAGCATAGTACTAGTCATCAACTTTATTGAATAATTTGAGTATATTGTTGACAAATCCGCTTGTTGTGAGATAACTTGCATCTTCTTTTTCAGAGTGTTCTCACCGACAGCCATGTTGTCATACCAAACTAGCCCGTCACCACATGACTTTGGACGCTGAAACAGGAACTCATTGAATGGATTCAAGTGACTCAAATATTTTTCAAAGGAAAAAACGGGGCAAAAGGGACTATCGATTGCTATCATTATCCGTTCCTCTCCAGCTTGAAGGTTGTCTGCTCTGTGATCAGTTGTTTTCACTACACAACGTTTGCCTTGCGAGTTGATTTTAACTTCAAAGTCATTCTTTTTAAGTCGGCGCAGGTTAAGTTGCGAGCCACGAGGACAGAAAAAAAACAGCATTATTTCAAAGAATACCTTGTTTTGTAGAGTTGTGGGATTTTTTGTGCTGAAGATACCGCTAAGGTATAACTTCTTTATGTCTTCGTCGGCAATTGAAGGAAGTCTTGAAGGTCCTCTCTCAAATCCAAAGTGTTTCTTCAATTCTGCGCATTTTGTTTCATAAACTCGGTTGGCTTCGCAAAACTCCACGTCCTTTGTAATGTCGACATTAAGTTCTTGCTTAAAGTGTCTCATCAGTCCACATCTGATGTCAGCAAGCGAAGCTTTAGTATATAAATTTCCATCTCTTCTCCTCGCCTCGGTGTAAAATGTTCTCAAAATACTCGCCAATTCCTCGGCTGTCGTGGGATTTTGAACGCCTTTCTCCTGAAGATAGGCATCAAACATCAAGCGACTTCTTTTTGTTGATCTTTGGGTGCTCTCACTAGGTTCACCTTTAAGTAAATCGGCAATTTCTTCCACGGTCAAATCTTTAAACGGCTTTTCACTCGATGCCGCCATTTTGGCGAAGGACCAGCCGAGGAGTACTAGGAACGACTTTTGTAACTAGAGGCAAGTAATTCATGGCAGTCTCCATATAGACTCCCTAATATATTAGTGCAATAGGTCATAATACCAGCATAGCAATTATACCCTTGTATACCCCTATATATCCTGTGTACCCATGTTTACCCTTGTAGTGCTGTATAGCCTGTATACCCCTATATATCCTGTGTACCCATGTATTATCCTGTGTACCATGAATACCCTAGTAATGTTGTATACCTTGTATACCCCCTATATATCCTGTGTACCCATGAATACCCTGGTAATACTGTATACCCTGTATACCCCTATATATCTTGTGTACCCATGTTTACCCTAGTAATACCGTATACCTTGTACACCCCTATATATCCTGTGTACCCATGTCTACCCTAGTAATACTGTATACCCTGTATACCCTGATATATCCTGTGTACCCACGCTTACCCTAGTAATACTGTATACCCTGTATACCCCTATATATCCTGTGTACACATGTTTACCCTAGTAATACTGTATACCCTGTATGCCCCTATATATCCTGTGTACACATGTTTACCCTAGTAATACTGTATACCCTGTATACCCCTATATATCCTGTGTACACATGCTTACCCTAGTAATACTGTATACCCTGTATACCCCTATATATCCCAAAATAAACTATGTAGAATGTTCTAGGTCAGCATTCCTAAAGATGGCACACCACAGCCATTTTGAAAGCCTTCACCACAGGGAGCCCACACATCTGTGTGTAACCGATTGTTACTTTTTTGCAAATGTACAGGATTTACCGTTTGCTTTTCCTGCTATAACGATATATCGCTAAGTATGCGCAAAAATCGGTGTTACTCACCATACACAAATTCCTTCAAAATCGCTTTAAAAAACCGCTTTTGAGGCAAAAGGACGACAAAATATCACATGTAAGGTAATTCAACGTTTACCTGACAGTAATTTCAATACATACTTGGTGATATATCGCTATAGATGAAGCAAACGGTAAATACAGTACATTTACTATAAAATAACAATCGGTTACACACCGGCAAATTGTGTGGGCTCCCTGTGCCTCTACTGACTGCCTTTCCATGACAATATTTATTTGGGCGTCGCCCAAATAAATCGAGTTCGCTTGTTTTGATTCTAAGTTGCAATAGGGACGCAATATGTGCGAACGTAAACAAGCCAAGTATACAAGCCAAGCGACGCGAATGTCCGCCACGCGAACGTCTCGTACAAGGTAAAAAGCATGCCGGAAAGTAGTTGATCCCATTTTACGACCTCATAAAACCTTGCAACAAAGAAACACAATTCCCAACAGTGCGGGGAGGAAGGAATTAAAAGCGATGAACACGTTAAAGCAACGCAGGGATAATTTTCAATTTGGAGGAAAAGATAAGCTGAAGCTTACAGTATTTTTTTACCACACGTAAAAGCCTGCGGTTTTTTCCGAAATTTGGAAGTATTAAATCCACGGATTAAATCTGTCAAAAATATTTGGTATTTAAAACGGCTTTGGATCACACCCAAGAGTTTATGTGTGGAATTGACGGGTTTGGCTTATGTAGCCAATAGTTTGACAATATTTTTGCCCTGAGTTGTCGAGAGCCAAAGACAATGTCACCCAATAACGCAAAATTCCGTGATCGTACATGAGATAAGTACGGCCCGGCATTGTTTCAGTGAGGGGAATGACATCCGATGAGTGGCCACCGTATAAAGTATTTCAGCAGTTTTATATTTCTATTGTAGCTAATTGATGTTAGCCTATTACTCTTAACACTGAATGATGCATAATTTCGTTGCATATGCTCGGAAAGGAGGGGATTTCTTAAAATCATATTGACAAAATGAACTTGTAAAAAAGTTGCATTCTTTCACGTTCGAACCGTAAATGGGGCAAAGTCCAACATCTTCTCCTACAAACTGCGTGACAGAGAGAGAGAGAGAGTTATTTCTAAAACCCTTGGTTAATTAGATCAGGTCGATTTCTCTCATACACGAACCACGAAAGCGGCAAATTTCAAATGTTTCACGTGCAAACTGCGTGACAATACAACTCACAGTATTAAAGGGCCTGATTACATGACCCCACCTCCTGACTAGCTCTGCTGAGGTGACTTTTATCCCGGCATTTAGCCTGTTCCAGGCGTTCAGATAGTGGGGAGCGGTGCGAAGTAAAAGGAGCGCGAAAAAATAAAAGCGAGGGAGGGGGAGAGGGGCACCTCTCTCCCCAGCCCCCCTCTACTTTTCATCCCTTTCTTTACTTCGCACCGCTCTCCACTATCTGAACGCTTGGAACAGGCTACCCGGCATTACATGAGCCGGGTCAACCCGCACTTTTCATATAGAGATTGGAAGCAGTGTGCATGTTTCTCGCTTGGTTCATTCGCCTTTGCTGCCCGGCAAGCGTGATTACGTGGAAAATTTCCAGCCGGGATCCGGGCATCACAATACGGGGAACCTAGCTAACCCGGCTGGCTCGGTTGTCATGTAATGGCAAAGATGATGTTTGTTGCGTTTAACTAGGCGAGTTGTAGCCTGCGAACTGCAGAGAAGCGACGGACGGAAATACGGCTGCAGTTCGCAGTCTAGGCGAGGTGCCGGGAACTCTGCAAAGCATATTTCACGCCTTCCCTTTGACCTCACCGATTTTTCAAAGCTCCCGAACCCTCACACTCAAAATTTTAGCCCCGCCCCGACACACTTCCCAAACATCTTCATACCCGCTTCTCCAAATTAAATGATCTTTCTCTTAGGGGGTGATTACATGAGAAAACTACCACCGGCGCGAGTCTCCGTACCGGGATGACTTTTTTATTTCATATCGCGTTTACATGATGAGTGGGTGATTTCAGATCTCGTTATTTGAAGGTACACTTCATGCTGATAAAATACACGTGTGATTCAAAGTCGCAAACATTATGCACGCGCTGCCCGTTCCAGTCTACCGGCAGACCGATTTCACACCGAAACGGGTGGTCGTTTCGCGTTTACATGATACCGCCGCGAGATTTCGTACCGGAGTGAAATTCTCGCCCCTGTACAAGAACCGGGGTGAACTTACGCCGGGGTGACTCGCGCTGGCATGACATTTTGTGGTGGTATCATGTAAACAAATATAGAGCCATGAGAGGGAACTGGAGTGAAATCGCTCAGGGGGCGACAGTCGCCCCGGTGTCATGTAAACACCCCCTTATTCACGTTTTCTCCATGCAGATATTTATATCAAAAATAGCCGAAAGACAATCCTAAACATAAAGCCTAACAGCATGTAAAATAAGTACAAGTATTTTTTCGACTATCGATAAGATCTTTCACAACCATCACTTCATTTCAACAGACTGTAACTGGGTGTCAGTAAAACGCGAGGTCAGGGTATTAGAGAATTCCGTTTTAGGGTTAGGGTTAGGGTTAGTGACAACCCTAGCCCTAGCCCTTATATTAGGGACCTTAAGATCCGAGGACGGCGACGGAAGAGAAAACGTCGTTGAAAAAGTGAATTCGCGTTCTTTCAATCTTCATCGCGATTACTCCAAGTCACTAACTTTGTCAAATGTAGACGAACCCTCCTAAAGTTGAATTCCCAAGAACTATATCCAAGTTCAGAGAGAGAGGGGAAATTTCGTCGTCGCTTGTGTATTTGTAGTTGTATTTGTAGTTGTAGTTTCGTCGTAGTTGTGCAGTGACGGCAAAGAAATGTACAAAAAAGCGTGATGCACGTGCAAAATTGTTGTTTTGGTTATTAAACCTATTGCTTTTATGGCGTTCCCGTTGCCGTCGCCGTCGTCGGATCTTAAGGTCCCTATTAACCCTAAAACAGCCGTTCTTTCAAAAAAAAGATAAACCCCGACCCCGTCCCCAGCTCCGACCCCTGTAACTACACCGACGCCCACTGTAACTACACTATCCCTTCATAACCAAATTAGCACTCCCACAACTACTTACCTCACTGCAACACTAGTAAAATCACCGTTACCTTCCAAAAATAATATTTTTGTTACTTCATAATACATTCTGTGAGAAACCAGTTTCAGTGACTAACAAACTATAGTCATTATCTTACCAATCCACGTCCAATATAACTCCACGCCTTCCACTTCAGAGATATCAACCAACCCCTAATAAAATTTATACGACGCTACTGCACTACTCACACATCCCTAATGTACTTAAAAACTTCACAAAAGCCTAGTACAACGACGTCCAAATATACGCTCCCACAGCTTCCTGTTGGTAGAGAGTTCCAGTCTGTAATTGCACGGGCAATAAAACTGCGCTGGTATTTGCATGCTTGTTTTGACTATTGTTCTTCTTTGGCGAGTTACGATAACGCCTTTTGTAGCCGATTTTCAAAGCGCAGCTCTCGCGCGCGCAAGGCGGGCGCAGCGGAGTACCAAGCGTAATATTATTTGGTAACCTATGCATCCGATAAATTTTGGTAGTCAAATGACCAAACGCCCGCCCGTCCGTCTGGACCACAGGCATACCAATGTAAAATAACTCAATCAACTTACAGGTATGGCAACTAGAGGTTATTTTGGCGGGAAATCGCATAGCCACCCGCGTGTTGTGAGGCAGACTAAAAAGTCGATAAAGACGAAAACGGAAAGCGGAAATTGTTTCTGTATCCGCGTTGTCTAAAGTATTAAGCTTAGATTTATCGTCATGTCCACAAATTTGGAATGCAAAGAAAAGGAGTGAAAGAGAAAAAGAGAAAGTAGGCGACAGGCCAGCGAAACTCAACGAGAAAAAGAGCGACAGACAGCTAGAGGGAGAGACAAAAGACAAAGGAGACATTTTTTCGTTGGAAGAACAACATAAAATTTTGTAGCGGCGGTGGGAAAATGAGAAATGCTAGCGGCCACCAAGGTGAAAATGAGCGGCAGAGTGAGTGGCATTTCCTCCATAAAACGAGTAACCGGGAAGTTTCTGGAAGTTTCACGTTGCAGTCGTGCAAAACAAAGGCAAAGAAATGTACAAAAAGTGTGCTGCACATGCAAAGTTGCTTTTTTGCCAATTAGACCTATTGTGTTTTCATAGTTCTCTTTTCTTTCGCCGCTTGGCATAACACGATTATATATTTTGTTGGAGCAAACTATTAATATTATCGAGAGCTTCCCTTTTAGCCCTGGATAAATCTATATATTATTCATTTTGATATCAATTCTCAGTAAATTCGATCAGACTATTTTTTATTGGATCAGGCTATGGGCCTGGAGCAAAGTTGAGTCACATAGGCGGTCAAAAACTTGACCATCGTCACACGAGAAACCTATCATGCAATAGGACCCCTAATCTGCGTCGCAGCTGGCCCACGCAGCGTCTAGACGATTTGAATAGGGTACATGGTGTCTACGACGCAGGCCATAGCACCCCCTCCTATCACCAGTCTTGTCTGGCCATGATCTTATAAGCTGCGGCTAGCTGCACTGAGCGTGTGCTATCGAAAAACATGGTGATAGGATCCCCTTAAATCACCAGTTGTGTCTGACCATGATCTTCTAAGCTGCGGATAGCTGCATGGAGCGTGTGCTATTGAAAAACATGGTGATAGGATCCCTTCATCACCAGTTTTGTCTGACCATGATCTTATAAGCTGCAGCTAGCTGTATAGAGCGTGTGCTTTCGGAAAACATGGTGATAGGATCCCCTCATCGCCAGTTTTGTCTGACCATGATCTTAGCCGCGGATAGCTGCATAGAGCGTGTGTTATCGAAAAACATGGTGATAGGATCCCCTCATCGCCAGTTTTGTCTGACCATGATCTTCTTAGCCGCGGAGCTGCATAGAGCGCGTGTTATCGAAAAACATGGATAGGATCCCCTTAAATCACCAGTTTTGTCTGACCATGATCTTCTAAGCCGCGGATAGCTGCATAGAGCGTGTGCTTTCGAAAAACATGGTGATAGGATCCCCTTAAATCGCCAGTTTTGTCTGACCATGATCTTCTAAGCCGCGGATAGCTGCATAGGGCGTGTATCATCGAAAAATTAACATGGTGATAGGACCTCCTCTTCTCGCCAGTTTTGTCTGACCATGATTTTCTAAGCCATGGCTAGCTGCATTGGGCGTGTGCTATCGAAAAATGGCGTCATATGACGATCAACAGAATGAAAGGACAGACGTCAAAAGTATCCATTTTATTATCCATTTTAACCCATTCGCCCCTGAACCGCCCGTGCGTATCCAGGTCCTTTCTACCCTTTGTGACGTCATCAGTTTTAACGGTCAAGGGCAACTTTCTTCGCTAACTTGTGCAGAGTGAAGAGATCTTTCAAACCATACCAGAATGAGCAAAATTTAGTCAAGGACACCGGAGAAACAAGCAAAAAACCACGTGACAAGGACCTGAAAATCTCCATGAAAATCTTGTTCCATTACCCACCTACCTTTCCTTTCACCTAATCCTAAGATCCTAAAAGCTTTCCTAAAAACTCTTCCCACCAAAATGAAGCCTACTAAATGCCCAGCAAGAGAAAACAAAAATGAGGCAAGAAAAGCGAAAAAAGAAGGGAGGAGAGAAAGCGAAAAGTAAAAGTCAAGACTGCTGTGTCACTTTTAAACCCAAAAACTGTCGAAATTTTGCTTTCTGCGCATGCCCGAACTTCGCAAGCTGATATTTTGCATCTGGATCAGAAGGCCGCCAAGTGTACGACCTGTAAACCGGTTTGTGGTAAGTTTTAGCTCTTTATAGCACGACAGTGACCAGAAAACCACTCGACTAGCTTCAAAACGCGTTTTTCGGCAAAATCTCCAGGAGCGAATGGGTTAAAGAAGTTTTAATAATTATATTTACTTTAATTCTCAAAGTGAGTTATACTTTTAAAATATAATTTTTTTTTATTTCTTCCTTGATAGCAAGCCATACAAACATATATCAATTTTTCAAACACTAGATTACAACCAACGGGACACAATTAGAGCAAACCAAAGCTTCACGAGGAGAAACGCTACCACTCCTTTTCCGATGTAGAGCACGTTCTACACTCCTCCTATTTCTCACGTGACTAAGATTAAACTGTTTCCCTCCAAAAGTTTCTAATCGGGTAATGCTGCAAAAAATCTGTGAACTCACAATGTAACAGTTGACTGTTGCTCCATGGGCTATATTAGTTAAAAACTGGTCTCTCGGAAAACTAGTCAATTTTGTTGCCTTGGGAGCAACCATAAAGTGTCTATTAACGTATTTTAGAAGTTTTATTAAACAGGTCATATGCATGACGTCAATTCACTATCACTGTCATCCTACTGGCTTAAATATATAGAACCAGTCTTTCGATCGAGCGGAAACAACAACAGGCAATCAATCATGACCTCCACGTAAAACTTTTCTTCCGGCTTGAAACGCCAACATGATTTTGCCTCGGGCTATGTTTAGTTGGTTTCCCTGTGGTTGCTATAGCCGGTTCCAGGTGTTCAGATAGTGGAGTAGGGCGAAGGCGAAGTGAGGGAGAGGGAGACACTCCCTACCCCACCCCTCGCTGTTTTCCTGCTAATTTCTCTTAGCAATGTATTCACTTTCTGAAAGCCTGGAAAAGGCTATGGTTGCAGTGACTGGCTAGCTTTAGGGACTTAAAGATCCAACGACGCGACAGCAACGAAAATGTCACTTGAAAATGAATTTGCGTTCTCTCAATCTTTAACGCGATTAGTCCACTTACTTACTTTGCCACATGTACGTGTAACCCTCTTGAATTTGAATCCAAGGGACCATATTCAAGTTCAGAAGGCGAAATAAACTTCCGTCGTTGCTTGTTTACGTTCTCCATAAAACACGAAATCAGCCATTGTTACGTCGTAGTCGTGTAAAAACAGCAAAGGAATGTACAAAAAAACGTGATGAGCGTTTGCTTTTTAAACCTATTGGTTTTTCAACGTTCTCGTTGCCGTCGCGTCGTAGAATCTTAAAGTCTCTTTTAGTGTTACGACAGTCACCCCTGTATTTCAATTTACAAATTTTAAACCAAACCGAAACGCATAAATAACAATGGCAGAATATTCTCCCTGCCTTTAAATTCCTAAAAGCAAGATTTTTTTTCAGATTCCGTGATTCATAAATTTGATTTATAATTAAATTATTGGGAATAGTTACTTTTTATTACTAAAAAAAGATTATAAGGAGTACTCCTCCACATCACATGGATTGGCCTTCAGCGAAGCTTTTTCCTCCTAATTTATCCTTTCTTTTGTGGATAATTCTCTTTACCCCATGAGGTACCCTGCGTAGCCTGCTTCGCCACTCGCTTCGTGTGGCAGTACCCGGGAATAACCATCCCGCCAGCTGCACAGGCTACCCACGAGGTGGGCAGTGGTAAGGCAAGGCAATGATAAGTCGATGATGGTTAAAGCCTCAAGAGCCTGTAAGCTCATCCTCAGAATTGCAATCCATATATACTTGCGTCGTGCTACTGTGAGCGATTCTATGATCGGGCTTCTTTTATTTTATCCACCAGCCACTATGAAATAAAAAAGAAAGAAATTAGAACTGTTAAGGGCGATCTTTGGACTTCTGTCAATAACAAAATTCACAAAAAAGGTACATTCTAGAGGGTTCCCTACTCCCCTTCGCAAATGCTGTCAAGCAAAAGTATTGAGACTTTTCACGCGTCACGAATAATTCCTCAAGTTTCCTCACGTTCACGAAAAATGAAGTGATTCACATTTCAAGGAAAATTGAAAGAGAAATTCATGGATTGATCAATGATTCCTACAGCCTAACCTGTTGACGCTCCAATGGTAAGTCGTTTTCTTTGAAATTGCAATCAGTTGTTAGGCTATGGGCAAAACTTCCAACGACAAAAACAACGTAGGGCAGGTTTACACGCTGAAAATTAATTGTCTGCCCGAAGAAACGGCCAATTTACAAGCTATGACTAAGTTATTGTGCCAATCTCGTTGCCTTAAAAAACTTCACGAGGATAAAATCGGCTCTAAATTAAGCCGAATTGAAAAGCATCACTTTACACAAAACGGCACAGTTCACCGATCACGTTTGAATCAAATCTTCGCTCAATTATCACCCATAATTCCACAACTGGTTTTAAGTGCACAGGTAAAAAAATTGAAATTTCGGTCAAAATCTTAGAGATATTGCAGCTCATTTAGCCAAAAGTTTCCGGATAAGGTGAAAATTCTTAGGCGTCTTTCTCTTTTTACATTGCAAACGGAATGCCCGGAAAACTAAAAACTCATTCTGCAAGCAACCTTTTTACACCGCTCGATCTTCTTTAAAAAATTGTTAACGATGCATGTTATTAATACAGATCCCCATCCCGTTTAAGGATCTTCTCCTTGCTGTGTTTCTCTTTGGGGATTGAAAGTGTCGGGATGGCCAGCATTCAATATCTCCATCCCCCTTCTTTTCCACTGAACCATAAATGGGGAGGGGACAGGGGATCCAAAATCCCCCCCTCCCGTACCCTGCATTCCTGACTCCTCTCTCCTTTTATTTCTTGGTTTCTTCCCATTAACCCTATTTCGACTGCAAAACAGTACGCATTGTTGCGTTATTCCCCCTATTTCTCCCGCTTCCCGCCCTCTATTCTCCGGGGCTCCCAACCCCCATTCTCCCCACAGCCATAACGGGAAGTCAGTGGTCAGACAACAAGGTGATAAGAATCGAGAACATTATCACCTTGATATTTTTTTCTAAAATAGCAGCCTCCGCAAGCAGGCAAGATGAGCATATCTTGTCCCGCTTTGTTTCCCTAAACGAATTTCCTTTGGCCATTTTGCTGAAGATCGCTGGTTACGTAAATAAATGATTGCTTTGGAATTCCACTGCCAAGCTTTGTGATGGAGTGAAAAGTTTCCTGCCCCTTTGGTGATCAATGAGGACTAAACTAAAACCAACTGCAGCTTGCTGGGGCTCTTTTTCCCGCGCTTGATCCGATCTCTTAACACTGGCTTCGAGTTCTGATTGGTTGATTTCAATTCCTGTGCGCTTGTCAACCAATCACAGATTAAACCAAAACCAATCACAACTTGCCTGGGCTCTTTCTTACCGTTCTTGACGCGATCTCCAAAAAATGCCAACGAGTCCTGGTTGCTTGATGAAAATTTTTGGGCGTATTGTGATTGGTTTTTACAAAACACAGTACAAACAAAGAAACGTAAAGTCCCGTACCTGAGCGACTTCCGGACTAGGTGTTAAAATAGACCTGGCGGCTGAGGCTGACCGTTTGAATATACCCTTTTTGGCTTTCTCCTAAATAAGAATATCAACATTAATAACAACGACAACAAGCTCATTCCAGAGAAATTGATAAGCATGAGTAACATTATGTTACGTTCCGGCCCGGGATGGGTAATCAAAAGAAATTTGGATAGGTGCATGCCGCACGGGGTTTTTAACCCTGATCCTATTTAAGGATGAGACAATTGAAAATTAATACCCTATTCAGTGACCAAACCCGAAAAATGACACCCCATGCAAGGCAACAACGAACTAATACTACTCCTTAGACACCGGCCAATAATCTAAGGGATTGTTCAGTTGTAACATGATTTGTTTCGCGTGTAGCTGGGAATTTACGCACTTGGATTTTAGCTGATACAATTTAGTTACCCTTGATAAGAATTAAACCACGAACACATTGCCAACAAGGGAAAAGATGATACCCTTGAAAACTATATTCTATCGGGCGGCACATAACTATCCAGCCCCTATATCGGAGTACCCATCCCATACCTTCCCCCTGGGGCGTTTCGAAGGATGGGATAATACGTATAGGACCATAAGATAACTTTCAGGTCACTACAGATACACAAAACCAACTCAAGCCAATAATCAAAGCAATTAAAAACGGCTAGGGTCTTACCGGGACCACAAGCACGAGTTTCTGGCCGTCAGTTTTTGGATCCTCGGCCAGCTCGTTTAATCGACAAAACCAGTCACACTCCCAAGTCTCAAAAACCTCTGTTTTTCCAGCCACTATGATGTGCCTGTTATCGGATGAAACGTCACAGCGTACGTTAAACATAATGAAAGACAAGAGTATTATACAAATTGGTGGCTACTTTTCATGAGACAATAATAGGAAGCGTGTGCAAGTACGAGGGCGACCGCAGTAAAAACGTCGCTTAAAGCGAATTTGCCCTGTTTCCAGTTTTATCGCCATTATCGTATCTCGTGCAAGAAAATTTTCCGGAGCTCAATTCTTAAAGACCATATCCAAGATAAGAAAAACAAAACGAAAATTATGGTCCTGTGTTGACGGCCACCACCAAAAAAAAAGAGAGAGAAATTTGGAAATTTCAAGTTGCAGTCGCAAGTTCTAGCTACCGTCACCACAAGCTCACTTGTGCGAGTCGAGTCTGGGGAAACTTTTGGCGGCGGACCGACCGAGAAGAATGGGGCGCCATTCTTCCTCTAGCAGGCTTCGCCAGCTCAAGCTGGCACCTCCGCCACCACAATTTTCCCACAACGACGGCGATAGCTGAGAAAAAGCCACTTAAAAAGTGAATTCGCACTACTTCAAACTTTATCGCGCTTATTCCAACTCGTTCAATTCGTCAAATGTTGGCAAATTTTTCTGGAGCTGAATTCTAAAAGACTGCATCAAAGTTCAGGAAAAGAAAACGGAAGTCGTTGTCTTGCGTTTACGTCCTCGACAAAACGTGAAATTAGGCACTTTCACGTTGTAGTCGTGCAACGACGGCTCAGAAAAGCACAAAAAATTGTGATGCACCGGCAAAGTTGTTTTGCAAATCTAAACCTATTGCTTTTTTACTATTCTCGTTGCCGTTGCCGTCGTCGTTGCTTAAGATCCCTAATAGGTCGATTGAGGGTTGCCTTTAAATGAACAGGTTACCAACAGAACTTACTTGTTCGTTATAATCAGCGTTTTCTTGATATTCAGACGAGCATGGCAGAAATAAGTATCGTCAACAAGAATAGCTTTAGTTTTCTTTACTTCCTGTTTTGAAAGACAAGTAACCATTCATGCAATCATTTTTACCTTAGATATTATTGAATTGAGGCCAATGTCTGGGATCGCCGGCCCAAAACAGTCTTGGATTCTGGACTCCATGCTGGGGATTTCGGATTCAAGGTACTGGATTCCGAATAACTTGTCAGTAGAACTTGGATTCCGGATTCAATTCATTTGGGGCATTGCGAATTCCTTGAGCTGAATTACGGATTGGATTACAAAGCTCAGGATTCCGGATTCCACAAGGAAAAACTGGCCGGAAATTCCGGAATCCGGGTTACCTTACAAGGGACGAATGGGAAAATGAAAAGGACTTCATTCTCTACAGGCTCCTGTCTTCTTATCAGAGGAGCAGACATCAGGTCGCAACTTGAGAATGATTTAGGGTCCGTTTACATGGAGGTAGGGGACCCAAGGTAGGTAAGGTAACTCGCTTAGGTAGGGTAACCCGCCTGTCCATATAATCTCTCATTTCAATTTGATCACGTTTACATGATGGGGTGACCCGCCACAAGTTACCTCACCTACCTGGGGTCACTCACCTCCATGTAAACAGGCCCTTAGATAGAGACATTTGAGATATGAAGGAGACTGACAACAGGTGCGCCTCGTAGGCTGGGAGTTAAGGAAAAAGGACAAACGCCCCTTCCCGTCTTTGGCCTAGCCAGCGCTCTTTTCAAACCATTACAGTAAAAACAGAATTAAATAGACACCCGCGGTATCCACTAAACAGAGGTGCTCCCTTACACGGCTCTTCCTAAAAAAGGACATGTGGACTTGGTCCCTGAGATCTTCAGTCATTTAAATTCTTGACTCTCACGTTTACTGTATATCATGTTTACGTCTACGTAATTCCTTATCCCGCAGCAGCTTTGTTTTAACCACGACTAAGAGAAGTAAAAGATCTCGTACAAATCTCGTCATTGGAGCTAAAACTTGAAAAACGATAATAAAAAAAAATATAAAAAGTAGCTAGATCATTCGGGTGACACGGTAAAAGGAAGCGTAACTCTACCTGAAGAACTGCATTTCCTTGAGCCTCATGTGCATTGTACGGCTTAATCACCTGTAAAGCGAACGCATAAAATAAAGGAATTGTCCGTCAATGGCTGCCTTGAAGGGCCTTAACTTCTTAAGTTATCGTAAAATTGTCTTTCCAACCTAGTCACTGTTAACTTGCCCGGAGGACAAGAGTGCTTGGTTACACACTTGTCCTTGAGGAAAAACCATTTATTTGGTGGTAGAGGACACCACTTCCGGTGCACCACATGGTAATCAGGCTTAAAATAGAATTGAAGGAACTGAGAAGTCTACTTCAGCGATGGATGTTTCTGCCATCGCCACGATCACTCAACAACTGTTTCCATTTTTTCGCCCCAATAGCTGAACAAATAGCTGAACTTTTTGTTAGGGAGATGAAGATGTACGAAAGGGGTAGCAATGCGATAAACAAAGCAACAGGTTTTCACAAGAGGAACAAAGTTTTGCAAGTGCGTCACACTCTCTGGCTCATTTCTTTGCTGTCTCTGACTGTGCGACCAAGACGTGAAGTTTCCTGATGCAACGTCTTAAGAAGGACGTAAACAAACGAGGTCCAGTTCTTCCCTTTCTTTACGAACTTCTATACCGTCTTAAAAATTCAATCCCCATTTCCGCCGTCTCCCGAGTCCGATCTTTGATCCTCCCCGAAAAGAGACTGCTGGAGGATGAATGCCCATATGTAGGCTTTGAAACTGCTGTTTCCTGTCGTCTGTTGTAACGTATGGCAAGGATGAACTTGGAATGAAACTAGCCAAAACATATTTTAGTAAGAGCTCCCTGTAACCCTGCAAGAGCATCTTGTGTATGGGTAAAAAGGCACTAAGTAATGACTTCAGCACAGAATTTACCTAAAACAGCAATATCGTCGTGACATAACCCTTTTAAAAGGCAAATAAACTAGGATAATTCTGCTTACCTTATCAGCGTAAAAGCATCTTGGTGGTCTGAGTCGGCGTACTTCACTCCCTGTGCTGGCAGAACTGCAACAACGAATAAAAAAATTTCCACTAAACAACAATGGAAGTCAAAAGATCTTGGGACAACAAGGGAAATCTTTTTTAGTTTAGTTATTTCGTTAGACTCTACTCCTGATAAAAAATTTTGATCGGCTTCTCTTTCATCCCGTTATCTCGCCAGTCCCTCCCCCGCCAGCAGTGTTAGGCCTTAGCTGGACCCACCTTGCTCGAAAATTAAGATTGTTGTGGGGAAAAACGCAAAAACGAACTTGGTCGTAAAAACGAACTTGGTCGTAAATATGGCCACAAGAGAATTTTTTCACGCGGGACAAACGCGGGAAGTCCCGAGCAGGCAAGATGGGCCTATCGGATCATTATACGTGTCTTGGAAACTGCCCACCTACCCCCCTCCCTTAAACCAACATTAACACTCACTTCTCACTTAGGGCAAAATTTTGGCTTATGAGAGGGGTAGGAGGGCAGTTTCCTGCTCGGATAGCCAATGAGAACACTGGATTCCCTTCATCTTGTCCGTTCGCAGATTCAGCCAAATAATACTAAGCGGGTATTGTAGTCTCTTAGTAGAAAAGGTAACCTGGAAGCAGGCTTTTAGCCAGACATTGAAAACTGACCGTCCAGAAGGCATGTTTTGTCATAAAATTATAAGAGATTAAGTGAATTTTCCTTTTATGTACTCCAAAAATGGGCGTCCATAGGACGGCTGGACACCCTTCTGGCTAAAACCTTGCCTGGAAGAAGAACAGGCTGGACTTTGTCACTCAAAAGAGGGTACAAATGGGAGAAGCAGAAGCTGTTTTGTACTCTTGTTCTTTTACTACAGTGAACAAATCAAAACCAGGGCTGCCATTAAGAGGCGGGGGCAGGGGATTTCACCCAGCTACTATGAACGTCTTCCCCGGCTACTTTCAAAGGAAAATGAAAGAAAAATAGAACCGAAAGAAATTCCTAGCTGTTTGATTCCCCGTCTACTTGTTGTATTTACTCGGCAACTTGAAATCTTAGTGACAACCCTGCAAAACCATGGCAGTTAAAAAGTAGACGATGAGAAGTATGCCCAAAGGTACTGTCACAATGAGCTGCACACTCTCGGATCCTGATAACTAAGTTGAAAAGAAACATATGCCAGTCTGTCCAAAAATATATATATAAATTTTGAGCTAAGGACTCACCCTTTAATTCCTTCCAGCGTGCTACTTGCGAAGTCCACAATTCCTCCCGCTGGACGAGCCAGCACTCCTACTACACCCTTACCCAGTCCCTTGAAAAATCCAGCCGCACCGGCCTCCTTTGCACCTGGAGAAAACATAAACACTTCAACAAAACACTTAACGAAAAGAACGGAGTCGATGTATCCCACACCCCATCCCCCAACAAATTATCTACTGTCAGGAATACAACACTGAGCAAATTTTAGGGTTACTGAGCGAGGACTTACGCACTACGAAACTCCGCGGTTAGGCCAGTACCTTAGCCGCGCGTAAAACCAGAGCACTCCGGCAGTGGCAGCCATGGACAGCTGTTTCGCCCTCAATGGGGCTCATCAGCATTGCATAGCCGTCAGAAACCCGTACGCCTAGTCCCTAGGCCTCATTATTGCGCACAGCCAATGCATTTCACGCGGTCCGTGCGAGTTTTTGTCTCCCGGCCGTTCGTCTCGGATACGTCACCGAAATGCATTGACCGCGAAGGCATGGGAAGACCCCGCACAGGGACTAGGCAAGTAACAGCCAATGAAAGAAGCGATAGCTTTCTAAAAAAGTCCCAGTCTCACCCGCCACTTGAAAATGTCCACTAACCGAAAGGCGTGTTAATTATTCAAAATGGGGAACCTGGGAAAATTTAAAAGCAAAAGGTATTTCTTTCTTCAAATGAAAAAGGAAATGGACTTGAAATGTTAAGTTGACGTACATTTGTTTTCACAGTTTACGTTTCCATTCAGCGTAGAGCTACCTACTAATTACCCCTTTCTCGACACGTATCGCTCAAAAAAGACATGATCCATGGCAAGAAAGCCTCATTTACCAGTAATCTTATAAAACGGCAAATCCTAGAAGATTTGGTATTCTCCATCCGTTTCACTTGCACTAAAAACATCCCGCAAATTCCTAATTTTCCCCTGTGAGAATTCAAGAAAACCGGGAGGTTCAATTGTTGTTTTAACCGTGCTGAAAACTCTCTGGCCAACACATTTTCCTATGGTATTTGTTGACAGTTGACGGTTGACAGTTACCCTTCAAGTTACATAGCACTGACAAAAAAAGCCTCAATAAACAAGATGATTATTCTTTCATTAGGATCTACTGACCTTCCATTGGTTTGGTGACTATGCCCGTCACACCGCCTACAACACCCTGCAATCACAACAAAAACACAGTTGGTGAGTTATACAACAAAGCATCCTCGGCCAGAGTGGAAACGAACGTCTAAGGCAGATGTGCTGTTTAACTCATGCGATTTCTTTCAAGAAGGAGAGAAAACGTGGATGAGTGATAACGTAATTACGTCCCTTCCTCTCCCAATTAAAATGAGTTTAATCACATTTTAACTACTCTACATCTGAGTCAAATGTCTGTAAATATATAAGACTACATTTCTCATTATGTTACTGGTAAAATAGCCAGGCGCGGATCCAAAAAATTCACTAAAGAGGGGACCGAGAGATTTGGTAGCTATATAGGTCTTTCAAATGGCGTCAAAAATATTCTGAGAGCATCTGTATGGAAACACTAGGCTCTAGAAAACTAATTTTAATAATAATGTTTTAAAATTTAAAGTCAATTTTCAGGGCAAAGAGGGGGCCACCCCTCCCCTTTTAATCACCTTGCTAACAACTTCAAAACAGCGACTATGACAATCCACATTTTGAAATTAATGCTAACTGTCTACTCCACTTAAATCTCGAGATGACCAAATTTCAAAGACGCTACTGCCTAAAGCACCATGACGTGATCAGAAATGGGGTAACAGAAAGGTGCTGAAAAGAGTGAGCGACAGATGGGAGTCTGGGAGGATGAATCTTCCGTATCTCAGATTTCGCCTACTTGGCCATCTCTTTCACTATACACAGATGGATCAAGACAAACAATTTCAGATAGTCGCAGAATAGTCTCCTCTCTTTTACTGTGATAGCAATGCAATAACTATCAAACAAAGAGTACGATATTACCAGCGAACTTGGATATAACAACATTTGGTAAAAGTTCTACCTCGAGCAGTCCCTTGCCACCCCTGGTAAGTCCTTCCTTGACATTGACAGGCTTCTTTCCCATAGCCTGTCTCCTCTCCTGTTGGTATTTGTCGTCCATTGTCAGTGCTGCGATACCTTTTCCCAACGTACCAGTAATGCGCGAGACTGCGCCAGCTGCACCACCTAATAACAAATAAAAGCGGAAGTTTACTTTCTAAAAACTACCCCCTGATGCTGGGTCAAACAGGAAGTAAAAGGAGGAAATCTGGGTTTATTATTGGAGTTGCTAATTAGCCTACGTTACAGGCGTTTTCTTCGGGTGGGCGAATATTTCTGCTGACGTAAACGCCATGTAGAATATCAAAGAGTTAAGAGAGTCACTTTTTTCTTTTTGTTTTCACCACCCCCCGCCCCCGCCCCTCCAACTCCTCGATCTCTCCCAAACCCCTGCCCCAAGGGCTACTATTTGTACTCTCCCAAGTCTTCCACAGTGATAAAATCAAAGATGGCGACCACGTAAATTCGACGATAAACAAGTAGCTTTCGCTCGCCCAAAAATAAGCCTGCATTGTGGACCGAGAGCTAACGTTTCAAGCCCTTAACCCTTGCTATTTCCGACCAATACATGTCGACCTGTAACCTTTTCTTGCCACAGGGCAACAACTTTATAGGTGGTAACACCTACAACACAGATTCTCCCGTTAAATAAACACAACAAACACGTTTAGTGTGGTAAGGAAAATGATGGAAGATGTTCTCGGGATTAACCTCTGTCTTGCAAACGTTTCTCACGAAAACTTAGGGAGCTTAAACAAAGGTGTTAGTTGAGCGACGCAAGTCAACCGGAAGCGATTCGTTCTCCCTTTTAACACGTCTTGACGCCACTGTCTTTTCTCTTATTGAGACGAAATGCCCAGAAATTTGGGCAAAAAATCTGCCCAAGAAAGCAAAAAGGTCCACTTTCGGTTGACGTGCTTCGTTCAAAAACGCTTTTACTTAAGCTCCCTACTCTCTATTTATAAGCCTTGCAGACGTTTTGGGCGATCCCGCACATATTTGAAAGATTTGTTTTGATTAGCTGGGAAAACAATAGCCATTGTCACATAACAATGCCCCTATCCCTGAAAACAATGGAAGTGCAGATTAAAGGGGACCAGTGAAATAAGAGGTTTAGAACGGTGCATGTCTACTGGACCTTTTAGCTCGTAAATTGTAGCTATAGTAGACGTACCTACGGTGTGTCCAAAGAGACTCCTGGCGCCAATCGCCAGGCCTTCTGCAAATTCACCAGGACCTTGAATAAGACCCTACAGAGCATAATAAGCAACCAGTCAACAGACTTCCAGGGCTGAGCTGTGTAACGCTTAAAATTAGAGAGCTTTAGATTTGAGGACGAGAACGAGTATCTAGTACGAGTACGCGATTTGACTTCAAGTTTTTTTTACGCGTGTTCTCAATAAAAGACACCCCGGGAAGCTTCATTTTACTGTTTTCCCAACAAAAAAGTTAGTACAGTTATTTATACTGAAGGAGGTTAAGCCCTCTCCCGTAGCAAAATGATAGTACTTCTCACATTTGATAACTTCTTGTTCCTGCCGCCACGACATTCTCGCTAAAACTCGTAGTAGAATGACGTCGGCTATCACGTTTTCCCTCCAAAATGACGCTGGTTCACGCGTGAGCAATACTCAGTATTGGGAATTCGTACTCGTTCTCGTCTCAGAATCTAAAGGTCTGTACTTCCTCGACCCCAACCTCGTTTCCAGGGTTCTTTCAAACTTCTCCCTGCTGAACGAACTCTGGGAACGGGGCACATCTTACCTGGTAGGGTTCGTAAAAGAAGTCGATGGCCCCTTCTTTGAGACCTGTGATCAAACCAAATGGATTTCCCAAAACATCCAGTCCTAGTACCAATACGTACATCTGCTTCAATGCCTAATAACAACGGTCACAACATTTGAGGTTACTGAAAATTTTGACAACAAAACAAAACTGAACTGTCGGTGTTAAAAGTGGGGATAAAGCAACCCTAAAAGTTACCTGACTGGTGTAATGTTTAACAGCCACTTGGATCAACTGCTGTTGAGTGTAAACTTTGTCTTCTATTTCAAAATACGCAAGCCTAAAAATGCAAAGCACATTTAAAATTCCCTTAAATAATCGACAGCCTACTTTCAATAGTTGTAGACCGAATAAATATGGAAAAAAAGCATGTGAAAAAGTGGTTTAGGGGAAAAGCTCATCTATTTCACACAAAAGCTAACTAAATTTAAAAAAAAAAAGATAATTCAGTCCCTGTTATAATACTAATGTTAAGTTTTGTCTCAATTCGTCTCATGAAGAATTCAAGAACTACTTTAACCGATTTTTTTATTCTTTATTCCACTAATTGTTGCACGTAATTTTTACATTTTTTATTTTGTAAGTGGTTGGTGTGTTGCCTAGCCGGCTATTACCAACCTAATCGAGATAAAGATGATGATAATAAAGTAATTGGAAGAATTACACAAAATAGACAATTCGCAAGTAAACCATAACTCTGTGCCCAAAGCTGTGAAGAAATTCCTGATGGGTGTGTATCTACGGTTCTCAAACTCATTAATAATTCATTAAGAAAATACAAAGGAAATTAATGTTTAATGAGTGTTTGGAAATCGGATGAAACACTGCTTAGTATTTGCATCCTTAATTTCTCCTTCAAAAATGATTTTGTTTGAGAAGAAATATCAAACATTCGACACAGTGTTTCATCACCAGATGAAACACCTCGAAATTCGTCAAAAATACTCCGCTGCGCGTCGTATTTTCAACTCTCTTCTCGGTGTTTCATCTGGGGATGAAACACTGCATCTCATGTTTGATATATTACTTGAAAAACACGAGAGGAAAATACTATATTGGCGGAGCGCCAAGGGGCAACTTTTTATCTCGCAAACACGATGAGGATTGAGATGCACCAATCAAGGGCGACCCTTTGGGCCTACAAAAGACAAAGCGTCATCATTCAACGACCTCATTGCCTAAAGACCACTTGCAGTAACAACAGAACGTCGCGATCTAAATTCACGGTGACTGCTTCAAGAGACAACTGATAACTCTTTTTTGATAGCCTGTGTGACTAGCGGAATTGTTTTTGCGCGTCTGAGAGTTCTGGCGGCGAAGCGGCGAGAAGCGAGCGCCAAAAGCACGAGAAAATTCCAAAGCGTCTCGGCGTCTCCTCCCCATTCTCCGCACGGCTTCGAAGCTCCTCTGCAAAAACTTTGCACACGCTAGCGATACCGCCGGCCCCGCAGGCTCTGTATAATTTAATGACCTTTTCTATTTAAAATAGGGTAAAGAGATTTAAGTTGCTCACTTAAACTCCACATCTTGCACCTCAGTGACTGCTACACCCACGCTTTGTAACAACAGACTCAGAAAGCTGTTCCCAATATGAGTCTGTGACTTATCATCACCTGCAGCGGCTCCACCCAGCTGAGAGAAACTCACATGAACCTGCGAATTAACAACGGGAAAAGGGACGAAGTTCGTTCCTGAGAAAGCAGCGCAGTGCAAGTTTGAAAGAGGTCGTTGACAGGCAATAATTTACTTTGCATTCTCAGACTGGATTTTGACCACAGCATTAGGACATTTGCCGCATTAGCAAAGTACTAAGACTACTAGACAAATTCCTACATTCACAATAACAGCATTTACATCTATACAGTGAAAATTTGTGTGGTGGGCATTTCATTTAGTCCACTAGAACACTTGCAGCATGCATTAACCAGGGTCTTCAAAATGACGATATTTCCTAGCAACAACGCACGGGTTCCAAAAGTATCCAAAAATATCCTAAACTAGATAGTGAAAGTTCTAAACAATGGACCAAGGACTTGCTGGTACCTTCATTTTAAGTTTAACGAAGGGTAAGAATGAGAGAAGTTTATTTACGAAAACAAACATGAACGACTTATTTGCAGTGGATATTGTGAATACCATAAAAAAAGATCGTAGAAAAAACTTAACTGACCTTCAGAGGTGACAAGTGGAAATAGTCGAAGAAATTTCTTCCATCGCTCAAGCCGGCCTGAAACCAAAGCAAGCACGAATACTTCGAAAAGGCTATGGGATAATGTTATTCATATTTTTACAAGGATAACTGGTTTTCATAATACATAAGACACCGATTTCAAGGGATGAATGCTGTGTGCCTTTGTGAAACAAGAAGAAAAATAAAAAAATAGGCAGAGGTATGCACTGAAATTCTCATGGCAAAAAAAAAGATGACCGCACAGTTGACTATGATGAGGTGAGCATGGCTTTGGTGAGGCCTTGAGAAGGTAGATCCCTTAGAAGTGTTTAGAAAAGGCCCGAACAAGTTTTCCTCATTTTCCCATTAAAAGTGCTCCTAATGGGATAAAGGCCTTGTTTATTTAAATTATCAGAAGCTCCTCTACTAATATGATAGAGAACGATGAAACCTGAGGGTATAAGAATCGGCTGCGAGAACTGGTTCGGGCTAGTTCGTTGACGTCAAACGATATTTTTAACTCTCACTGATTTTGCACATACAACAATACACACCTGTGCAGCGAAAGCTTCTCCTAACTTGTCATGGACACGCGTTTTGTCTAATGAATACTGAGTAGCCTGAAAAGCAAACAAAACGTCGTTAGATGTAAAAGATATTCACAGACGGCTTTTGCCATTAATTAATCATTTCCATTACCTTACATTAATCTATCCAGCATTTCGTTTATAAAAACACCCCATACTTTTACAGCTTAACGGATTTCACACGATACAAAAATAAGTAAAGAAACAAAACTAAAACAAGCAAACAAACAAAAAAACTCTGAGAAAATGGAGTTACTTTTAAAGGGGCATTTTGTAGCCCAAGATGTGGTTATGACGAGCCTGCAACTCGTATCGTATCGTGTACAACAAACCGAGTGGCGTACGAGCGTATTAGTGACGTGATCAAATAAGACTTCTCCTTCTCAAATGACATGCACACCACCTGATCAAAATTACAACAAAATCTTACGAATCTTTTTCTTGCTTTACTACTTCAACATACTCGGAGTGCTTCATGGGGTATTCAAGCACCTCTAAGTTAATAAAAAAAGCTTCGTCTTTCTTTTCAGCTCCCTCCCAGAGCTGGGATAACGGCTTGGATATCCGCAAAAAAACAATTTCTTGTGTTTGGTTAAAATTGACGAAAAAAAGGAATAAACGCAAATCCCAAAAGCCGTGCGAAAGTACTAGCAATAAATGGACGACCATGCGATAGGAGTCGTCAAAACAAAAGCTAGGATAATCAACCTCACGACAACTGTCGAAGCAATGTAAATGGAAATGCCCCCCCCCCCCCCCATAAAAAAAAAAACAGTGGGATAAGCAGGCAGCTTGGAACTATCTCTCACTACACGCTCACCTCTTGGCTCCGATCGATTGCGTCCGAAGAAAAGAGTCCCATGAGTGCCATAAGAAAGCCCATATCAACCTTGACATCCATCTCTTGAATGAGAACCTTGAAGTACCTGGTATGGGAAACATAAATGAATTGGGCAAATTAATAGGGAGCTTACGCAACAGCGTTTTTGAGGGACGAACGTCAACCGGAAATTGACATATAAAAAGGGAGAAGGCCTCACTTCCGGTTAACGTGCATCGCTCAGAAACGTCTTTGCTTAAGCTGCCTAATACTGCTTCTATTACATGACGTAGAGAGCGTTTTCACTCACGTAGCCAGCATCTATGCTAATTTATTGGAACAAAAGAAAGCATTTACATAAGGAAAGAGTTCAACTCCCTCAAGGTTGTCTTGGTACACCAACATGGCCGCCCTTTCATTGTTTTGGAACACCAATATGACCGCTGGGACGCCAAGTGAAAACGCTCTATTGGTAAAGGGACAGAGGGGAATCGTACGTTATGCAGCGCCGCTTTTGAATGGTTCACTGTGGAATATCCCAGAAGTGTTTTTACTCTTAATTTTTCGATTCGCCCCCGAACAATTATCATTGATTGCAACCTGAGGTATGCAGCAAAAAATGCAACGGCTTTCCAGCAAACTGATTGGGTGTATTATTCACAGCATAGAATAAATAGCAGTATACAATGCCAAACCACAACACGAGCCTCCATTACAAAGACTTACTTGATTTTCTGCACGTGAGAATGCTCTTCCTGTTTAGTTCTCAGGCTCAATTCAATGTAGGGCTTTGGTGCTACAATAAATGAGAAATGAACATCACAACAAATAGCAGCAAACATTATTTCTTTCAGCTACTTTGAAATGACCCAACAGTACTACAGTACTGTTAGGAGGACTACATACTAAACACCTTAAAACCTTTTGTGAACTCTTTCAAAGATTAAAGTCTACCCTTACCATTTTCCGCAGCCAGAGATTTCGGAGGCGGTACAGGATATAGAACAGTTTGGAATGTGGCATCTGGTACCTGGCTGTCAATCTGTAGATGGGCAACAAACATTAGCACTAGCGTATCCAGGGGAGGGGCCCGGGGGCCCGCCCCCTTATATTTAGACCAAACTGAGGCCCGAAGGGCCGAAAAATGTTTTTTTTGAGACGGCCCCCCCTATCTCAAGGTGAAGGTCTGGATGACACCTCCCCCCCCCCCCCCCCCCCCCCCTAATCTGAAGGTCTGGATCCGCCATTGCATCAGCATTAGTATCATCAACGCCCAGTTATGTAAATCATGTCCTCGAGGACGGGAGGTTGGCGGTGACACTAGAGCGAATTATTTAGGAGTGTCGGTCCGATCACACCCAAAACTGACACTGGCCAATTACTCTGGTTTTTGACATTAAGGTAAAAGTTGAGGTTAAATTCTTGCGTAGACAAAAAACGCCTATGTAAACAATGATGAAATGTAGCGATGTATCAGTTTCTTTAATTAACCCGCAACTGGCATTTTCAATAAAAAGTTTTATCTTCTGTGGGTTATCTTAAACAATCTACCTGCCCCACCCAGATCCTTTGGCGTTGTTGGTCGAAGGGGTCCCATTAGGAAAAGCTCAAACGGTGACACAAAAAAATAAACCGAATTCGCTCGAGTGTGACCCATCCTGGCACAATTTTGCATTCGAGGAGTTTTTCTCACGAACGCAAAACACATGCAAATGAAACTACACAAAGGCTCAGCTCCTTCCTCCACCCCACATACAACGCTAAACACGTATACCAGGAGTGTACTGGCGATTTTTACTGAGTTACGACAATGCATGGGTTGGGGACGGAAAGGAAAAACTGTAAGACATTTTGAAAAAAGATTCTACTGCCTTCTAAGGTCAAGCTGAAGTTACAAATAATTTTGTGCGTTTTATCCACAATCTTAGATCACTGTTAACAAGTGGTTACATGAGGGGAATAAAATAATTGGATTGCTCCTCCTCAGATCGAAAACAAATTCCGAGAGTATTTAATTTTTAGTCTTTACATTTCTCAGTTCCTGGATTCTCTCATACTTTTTCACATGTTCTTTAATCTTATTGGTTGCGTGACCGCATTGAGAGATCGACTGACAGGAAGTCTAGGATTCTCTTTACGCGCACTTAACAAAAAATGGCGTGATTTCAATATACAAGTATTAGGAAAGTCACTATTTTACAACCCTCTTCTGCTGTCTTTACACACCTGAACCGAGTTAATTTTGGCAAAAAATTCCAGTTCATTCGGCGACGCTGCGTATTCAAGGGATACCCCTGGGGTGAATGAACGTCTGATGGGCCGACGGGAGGGTCGTATAATCTCCATCAAATGAAAGTCAACCTAGAAATATGCAAAGAGGGGAGAGATTTGATTAAGAGGGTGAAGATAAAAGGTTATATAAGGAGTACACAAGCCATGAGGCCCAAAGCAGAGCAAAACAACTTTCGTCAACAAGGCTCTTACTAAGGGACGTATTTCATTTTTTAAAAAAAAACTTTGTAAATTTTTATCCGACTACTTTGGTAAATAATAAAACAACTATCCCCCTCAGAGTTAGTACATAGCACTAGAAATACACCTTGACGCTTCGCTCCTCGGTATCTATCCACTATTACACCCTCCCCTTCAGGGAATAGTTGTATACTATAGAAGTCTATTTGGAACATAGAATGAAGTCCATATTTAGACCAGTTCCTCCATGAACGTCCGGATGGTCTCGAGCGTCCAAGTGATCCCAAAAAGATTAAGGCTCTGTTCACACTATACCGGATAGCTTTTGCGCCGACTCAAAAACCCTACCGGATAGGGCTTCTGTTCACACATAAGAACGGTAATTTCGGCGCGAACTCTGTAACGGAGCGAATCTTCGCCGCGCCGATCTCTAAAGTAGAGAGCCACTAATCGTATAGGTGTTCATACTATACCCGATAGATTTTCGTGTCGGGTGTAGTGTAAACATAGCCTAAGAGGCGAACACGCCATTCGGACGATAAGTAAGTAAGTAACCTTTTTTATTGAATGTGGTCTAGTACACTTAACTCATTACAGTATTGCAAGCATTGCTATTTTACAGGTATTGCCACAAGCAAAAATAACGAAAACAGGAAAACAAAAACACTAAGATACAGTATCAAATATCTATCTGCAGTAAAAAAAATCTGAGAATATGTCAGTCATAAAATAAAATAAAGCTATGTACAGTTCAATAATAATAATAATAATAATAATAATAATAATAATAATAATAATAATAATGATAAAACTATTTACAGATCAATATAACTGTGTGAAGTCAATTTTTGTGAAGCGATTTTATCGAAACCAGGCTTTTGTCTCAATATCATTGTTAGTTACCTCCAGGTCTCCACTTTTGAAGGTGCAACTAGCCGAAGCTCCCACGGCCTCATCCTGTCTTATTTTTGTCCAAGCGGCTTCCAGCTCATCACAGAGCCGCATTTTCAGGGCCTTCCACCTTCCTTTTTTCTTCTGCTCCTCCCAGATAACATCACTCCTATATTCATAGTCTACAATTCAGTATTCGTCTGCTCCCAAAGGTGTTTATCAAGGCACAAAACAATGGTAGCTGATCTCAGACAACACCCCTGTTATATGACACCTCGTCATTAACATCACATCCTTTTGAACTTAAAGAGCACTTAAAGCTCTCTTCAAAGAGACCGGGCGTTTCTCAGCTCATGCTCAGTGGGGTGGGGTGGGGGACAGGGGGTGGTGGGGTGAGGGTGCTGTATTCCACTTAAAGTCAGTAGACCTGCACCGTTCTAAAGCTCTTATTTCACTGGTCCCCTTTAATCTGCTCTCCATTGTTTTCAGGGATAGAGGCATTATCATGTGACAATCCCTATTTTTTTTCCAGCTAATCAAAAAACAATCTTTCAAATAGGTGCGGGATCGCCCCTTAAAGTAGACCTACCTACCTACATACGTAACGCATGTTTTGACACGGTAAAATCACCAGTATGTATTACAATAGTATAATTAAAATTACTAGTTTCCTTGATCCTACGTGTAAGCCTGCTCATTCCCAACGAGCCATCCAAGCGAAGACGCTCGGATGGCGAGGCGGCAGCAGAATAGAGCCGCGCAAGACTGGGCAATAGGCAGAAAAATTCTCGATCGAGCTGAAAAAAGTGTAACCTAATGTAATGTAGATTCCCCTGAGACCAAGTGGTCAGTTGTGAACCAATTAAAAGGCAGTACCTGGCGCACGGGCTCAAGTTGAATAACAAACAAAATTTCACACACTTCCCGCCGTCGCGACTTCCCGTGTTTATTTACCCAAATTTTTTCGTCAAACCCGGCCACCGCAGTCAAGAGACATCAGAACTTGATATATTCTATTAATTTTAGGGGCCATAATGTTAAGTTTTAACGAAGAGAAGTTTGTAAAACAGCAAAAGTGTTCTATGTGCAGCAAGCGATATTATTCTCACCACTAAAAAGGATCAGATTACACGAGGAGATAAGGAAAGCTTGACACGAAGAATGCAGTCGCTTCTGTTGGAAAATCTGGTGTTGGGGAAAAAATCTAACCAGCAAACAAAAACAATGAGAACAAAAACGAATTACAAGCCTAAAGCGAACGACAAATGAAAAGAAAACAACGCTATTTTTTTCGAAACGTGGCCGAGTTCAGTATAAAAATAATGAACTAAAATTAAATACCGACCTGCCGTACATCGCATGTCCATGGAAACATTTCAGATGGCCCAACGAATCATCCTAAGTTTCAATCCGATAACAAAAAGCCTCGGGAAATTTGAAAGGAGGTTTAAATGATTAAACTGTGCAAATATTTATCAACAATGTGAAACCGAACCGACAGTAGATTTGTAGCTGGACTTAATAATATTCCCGATCGCTTCCTCTGCAAAGCTGACTTTATTCTTTCAAGGCACTTCTACATAGCAGGTTTGTAAAGCCACCAGACTGAATCTGAGAACTTTTCAAGAAAATAATACTTGCAACAGGAAGGGACCAAGAAACGAACAAATGGGAAAAAAGGAATTTTATTCCTAAGCAAAATACGCATGATTTGCTCGTTGGCACTCTATCGATAGGTATACCTAGTTTAAAATGCTGGCTAATTGCCAACGAGCCATGCGAGCGAAGACGCTCGGATGGCGAGGGGGGAGCAGAATAGAGCCGCGCAAGACTGGGCTGTAGGCAAAAAAATTCTCGATCGAGCTTCAAAAAGTGTAACCTCATGTAATGTAGATTCCCCTGAGACCAAGTGCCAATCAAAAGGCGGTAAACTATACTTGGCACACATGTGTTCTTTCCTCGGCGTCACGCGAAGACTGAACTTGAGTGTGGTACGCTTTTATTGTTTATTCACCTAAATCTGGCCCCGGTAGTCAAGGAAAATGAAAACTTGATGCATTGTATCAGTGTTGGGGGGAATTAATGTAAGGTTTTAACGAAGAGAAGCTTGTAAAACAACAGTTTAAGCAAAGAAAAGTTTTCCATGTGAAACAAGCAATTCTCACCACTAAGAAGGATCAGATTACACGAAGAGATAAGGAAAGCTTGGGCGCTTTCCATTTACGAAAAAAACCCGGAAATTCCGGTGGTAGCAAAAGTGGAATTTCCGATTGGTAAAAAGTTGTTCCATTTGGTCGTTAACCCCGGTACGTGGCCGGGTGCCCGACCGTGGACTTGGAAATGGTACAAACTACAAGAAACGTCAATGGAACACGACATTCCGTTCGGAAATTCCAACCGGGAAAACGGGACCACCTTTTTAGATTTTCCACTTTTTCTGGGAATTTTCCAGTGGGACGAACCGACGAAACGTGTTCCATTTACCGCCGAACCGGAAATTCCGGAAATTTTGACTAAATGGAAAGCGCCCCTTGATACGAAGAATATATAGTCGCTTCTGTTGGAAAATCTGATGTTGGGGAAAAAATCTAACCAGCAAATGGAAAAGTAAGAATAAAAAAGAATTACAAGCCTAAAGCGAACGACAAAGGAAAAGAAAACAACGCTATTTTTTTCGAAACCTGGCCGAGTTTATGATAAAGTGAAAACAAAATACCGACGTGCCGTACATGTCGTACATCGCATGTCCTTGAAAATATTTCAAGCAGCGCAGCGAATCATTCTAAAATTCAATCGGGAGACAAAAAGCCTCGGGAAATTTCAGAGGAGGTTTAAGAGCGGATGTCAGTAAATATCGACCAGAGGTCTACAAAAGTGAAAAATCGAAAATTCTCTAAAAAATTCACAAAGTAGCACTAGGTAAGCTATTAACATAAATGTAATTTTTACTTCGATCCGATAATTATTTTCCACGTACGGGGGGGTTATTGGTTTCGCGGCTCTCGGACCGGGTTTTCCAGGCCCGAGACCATGTGTCACAAAAACTCGTTTTAAAATTCAAATCCATTGTAATGTGCACAACAAATAACTTATTCAGAAGAGTACTTAATTGCACACATTCTAAGTGGTGATTTACTCAGTTTGAACGAAAGTGTAATATTTTGGAGATTTTTCATTATTTTCAATATTTTGAACGTTTTCGTTCAATGAAAAAATGGCAAATTTCAAAGCCCAAAATCGTCGACTGGTACCTCGATTTCAGTAACGAGTCTTATACCACGTTAAAGAGCGTTATCTCTTCTTTCAAAATCTGTTTTCAAAACTACGGGCAACTTAAAAGAAAATGTTTGAGGCCAAAAAATACTAGTGGTACTTTTCTGAAATTTGAGCTTTCCAGACTCAGCGGGTCGATGCTAAAAACTCAGAAAAATGCAATAAGAAATCAGTTTGAGCAATAGTGATTTAACGTTATCAGCTATCAGAACTAACACGTGTTTATCGAGCGATCTGATAAAATTTAAAGCCGTTTTCCAACAAGAAAAGCAGAGTTTAGCCATCTTCTGCTACCAAACGCACGAGTGACGTAAGGTTGTCAAAGGGCAAAGCAAAATAATAAACTTCAAAAAGCACAACGTTTCTGCGTCCAGGAATTAGACTTTAGCGGACAGAAATTGCCTACGAGTGTATGTTTCATACCTTAGCATGGGTTTCCTAGATACTGGAAATAAAAAACATCAAGGACAGCATCGGCAAGAGCATCTTCGGCTTCTCTCAAACGACGGAGATTGCGTTACTTTTCACAGATTGACCGCTTACCAACTGTTTTTGGGCTCGCATTTCGACGGAACGCTTGCCTCGAGAGGCGCGCGGCACGGGTCTGAACTCTTCTTCACGAGACATTGAGCTGAATTTATCGGAAATATGCCACCACCAACAACAACATGAGCTTTTTTCGGGTATGTGTCTTTTTTTATGCGAAAAGTTCGGGTAAGCAGATTCTCGCAAAACCATTTGGCTTAAAAAATGTGTTTAAAAGCCCACCCTGGATTTGAAGCAAAAAGTATTTCCTCGAAATAAGCTAAAAATACCCAATTCACGCGATGAAAAAATGGATGATTATGGAAGGATTATCGAATTCTTTCCTAACCTGAGGGATTTCCCGTGATGTAGGATTAGGGCTAGGAAAAAAGCCCATAACCTGCTCCTGTCGTTTTGAATTTCCTCAAGATCAAAAATTTCAGTAAGAACCGAAAACAACAGCTTAAAGGAGGTGCATACACCTTGAAGTAGCCAGGAAAAGGGGCTTCTGATTGAGCTAAACTGTCATTGATGTACGGTGCAATTAGGTAGACCTGTTACTATCCCCCGCGCAACCACATGGGGAGTACTTTGAAGCGGTCCTGTCTGGGACTTTCGGGGGTAGGGGGCGGGGCAAATCGAAAATAACTTCTCTTTGTTTTTGTGAAGTACATCATTTCTCGCACGGTTGACAAGGTAACGGCGAACTCCGTACCTTTGGAAAGGCCCTTTTGAAACATGTCCTGGCAACATGCAGGGCATCACGAAATTAACCTCAACACCTTGAATCAACTCCATGAACAGGGAGAGGCGATAAGTCCCATCTTAAAAGATGCTTGATGTCTAGACGTGAATAGTCTGTCCACAGTCATTTTTCATTTTGTATTTCGGGACCATTTGACAGCGTACGAGTGAACCGGAGTGCAGTAACGAGCCCTAACCCCACCCCATTGCCCTTGCGGTCAATAAATCATCGTGTTTTTCATTTTTTTATGCGCGTTCGAGAACCTCCAAAGGGAATATTGAGGGTCTTTGTACAGTTTCCGTTTATTTTACCGACAAAACAGAACAAAACAAAGCAAAAGACAAGTATACAGAAACACGCAGAAGCAATGTGGTGAGGAAGCCCAAAAAGAAACCATAAGGCTTAGGTCATCCCCTTTTCGTTCGTTTAGCGTCGAATAGGTTTCCTGGTTTTGGGCGGGTCTGTCGGTGGGGTGAAAAAAAAAATCACAAGAAATCTGAGAAAGGGAGGCCTGAAACACCAGCATCATTGCCGTGGAGACTGAAAACAACAAGACATGGTCACCAAATCGACACAAACTCAATATGGCGGAAAATGTGATGGTCAATTTCATAAAAAAAAAGGCCCAAAAAAAAAATAAACCTTGTCGTTTCTTGCTTTTTTAAAAAATGCCAAAAAACTGGGTCTTTTGGACGACACTAAAAGAAGAAAAAATTAATATAGGTATTAAGCTCTCTTAAAGTATAAAAGTATAAGTTTACAAGGACAGGATCGAAAGTATGCTGAGTAACTAAACGATAAAAATTTGATCAAAATTAAATGAAAGGCTAAGAGCCTAAGCGCTGTCTGATAACGAAACGGTAAACAAGAAGTGCTGCCTCTCATTTAAAAGAGACGTGAAATACTGGGTGGACCACATCCTGAACTCCCGCGAAAACCGCAAGAGAGGAACGCTCAGGGCTAAGGAGACTAAACAGGGGCGTAGCTACTTGTACGCACGGTTTGCACGTGCGTACCCGAAAACGTTGAGGAAAAAAATAGAATGAAATAAACATAACTAAAAAAAATCGGTTTCCAGAGAAGCGACGACATTAATTGGAGAACCGAACCTTGGATGATTTATTTATATAGCAAGCTTGATGATGTAAAGCGTGAACGCGTTGTTTTCTCCACGACCCGTCTTCGGAGTAGACGAAGTAGGGCACAATCACGTCAATGTGTGGTGCTTTTGTCGGTCAAAAATAATGTGACAAAAAGGGGTAAAAAGAGTCATTTGTAAACTAAAGTCGGAGGTACTACAAGCTTGATTTTTAATAGCTGAATTAATGATAAATGGTTGACGTCAATGAACATAACAAGCCGACAGAATTAAAGAATTTTAGAGGTTGAGTCATTTCATAAACAGCAAAAATACTTTTGCTTTCAACCGTTAACCCCACCTTTGATAAAGGCACCTTAAAAAAATGTTGAGATTTGGGGTGGGGGGGGGGGAAGAAGATGTAGAAAAAGTTGGGCGTACCTTCGGAAAAATCCTGACTACGCACCTGCTAAAGCCTGAAACTGAACAACAGGAGTCTTGACGAAACGTCCTCAGTTATCACCTGTCCGGGGTCGTACTTTCAAGGAAACGCTGATCAAGAATCACTCATGACGGAATGAAAACTCCTCGTAGCTTCCAGCGAAAAAAGGAGTGACAACAGTGGTAAGCGGTCGTTCTGTGAAATGTAACGCAATCTTTGCCGTTTACGATCTGTCGGCGCTTGGATTTGAAACGTTGTTGTTTGGTATGTTCTCCCGTGTGGATACTTGACATTTCCAATATATGGAAACACCATGCTAAGGTACGAACAACAGACATTCACAACATTGTTTTTTACGCTAAAATATGATTTCATGGACGTAAAACGTTTTGAATTTTAAGACTTTTTAATATTAGTGCTTTGCCCTCCCTTTGACAACTTCACGTGACTGGTGCACTTGGCAGGAGTTGACAGCTTAAATCTGCCTTTCTTGATAGCAAACGTCATTAATTTATATCAGATCGCTGTATAAACACGTCTTGGTTTCTGAAAGCTGATAACATGAAACCACTATTGCTCAAACTGATTTCTTACTGTATTTTTCCAAGTTTTTAGCATCGGCCCGCCGCGTCTGGAAAGCTCAAATTTCAGAAAAGTACTACTTGTATTTTTTGGCCTCAAACATTTTCTTTTAAGTTGCCCGTAGTTTTGAAAACAGATTTTGAAAGAAGAGATAACGCTCTTTAACGTGGTATAAGACTCGTTACTGAAATCGAGGTACCAGTCGACGATTTTGGGCTTTGAAATTTGCCATTTTTTCATTGAACGAAAACGTTCAAAATATTGAAAATAATGAAAAATCTCCAAAATATTACACTTTCGTTCAAGCTGAGTAAATCACCACTTAGAATGTGTGCAATTAAGTACTCTTCTGAATAAGTTATTTGTTGTGCACATTACAATGGATTTGAATTTTAAAACGATTTTTTTGTGACACATGGTCTCGGGCCTGGAAAACCCGGTCCGAGAGCCGCGAAAATAATAATCCCCCCGTACGTGGAAAATAATTATCGGATCGAAGTAAAAATTACATTTATGTTAATAGCTTACCTAGTGCTACTTTGTGCATTTTTTTGAGAATTTTCGATTTTTCACTTTTGTAGACCTCTGGTCGATATTTACTGACATCCGCTCTTAAATAATTAAACTGCACAAATATTTATCTACAAAGTGAAACCGAACCGTGACTAATTTTGTAGTGGTAAGAGAAACGATCATTTTTAACTCGTGGGTACGCGCGAGCGTACCACGAGTTATTGCAGGGACAGAGATATGCAAATGAGTCACTCGCTCACTCGTAGTAGACGCACTTCGTAATTAATCGGGTCCGAACTCGAGAGCGCGAAGATCTATCGTTTCCAAAGAAGCACGCGCTCGCCGAAGTTCGGTGGCATCAAATTCCTCGCTGAGAGCGTGCATCGTGCGCTACAGCACGGTTAGAGGATAGAGGTCTTACCAAATTTAAGACACGCAGGAATCTTTCAGATTAGTACGATTCAAGAGCCTTTGACTCGTCCAGGCGTTAAACTTGACGAGAAGATGAGCATTTGCTCTTCGACTCCTTCAACTTCGACGCTGGCTTGATCTCCTACCTTGTAGTAGGTTATGTGTATGAATGAATGCATGGTAAATAAAGGCACTTCTTCTTCTTCTTCTTCTTCTTAAGTACTCCCCAAGGTCACGGGGGGAAATGGATGTGATTTTGAGCTTTAGCTTTAAAATGACAACGGAAATCGAGATAAGAAAACATAAGCTTATGCTTTGCGTCCTACTTCGCGGAGGAGTTGTGTCGGCTTTGTATCGCATATGTTCTTTCATTGCCATGTTTCATTGCCATTACATTGTTTCTTACTGTCAGTAGCCTGGTTTCAATTAGCCTTAATTTCATCCGATTGCTTCGAGTCGTTTTTTCAATCGGTTAAGTATGGCTCGAACGTTTGCCGGCGGAAGTTCCATGGAAAACGCATTAAATTTGAAACTTTTCACCAAATCATGTGATCATCCTCAATGGGCGTAGTGGCTATGTGAGGTCTGGTCTACTCGGAGGCACCGGGTTCAAATTCTGCTAACAACCTTCTTTTTCCCTTCTTCCTTTTTTTTTTCTTTTTTGTTTTGTTTTGTTTGCTTATTTGTTTTGCTGTTTTTTTTGTTTTTAAATATATACCTAAATAACTGTTAATAAAGTGCAATAAACAGCAAGAAAAGTATTGTGTTTCCAGAACAAGGATAGTATATTTATAATCTGAATTTCTATCATTCCCTAAAATTTACTGTGGGAAAACCAGAGGTGATAACTAATTGATTATTTTCTAAACCACGAACCCACGAGTTGACGATAGTCTTTCTTTGATTTTATATTTCCCCCTAAATATTACCGATCGCTTCCTCTGCAAGCTGTTTTATAATTTCAAAAAAACATGCCTAATGACACTTTAAACTTTTAAATAGCAGGTTCGTAAAGCCAATGGAGTCTGAGAACTGACTCTTCTCCGAACCTTTCTACTTGCATAGTACCTTAGTTTGAAGAAAATAATCCTTTCAACAGGAAGGGACCAACAAACTGTCAAATGTTGGATAAAAGTAATCCATTCCTATGCAAAATACGCATGACTTGCTCGTTGGCACTCTATCGATAGGTATACCTAGTTTTACAATCAATATTTTAGGCAGGAGGCTAGTAACCAAAACTACGTTTAAGATAGCCTGTTCAAGGTTTGGAAACTTGTTTTCCTTATTTCTAAGATTGCAAACTGGGTTCCAGAAAGAAATGATACCACTAAGATAGGAAGGAGAAAGGCCATTTAGAGCCTTGAACATGGTTCACGGTTGAGCTTCGTTTCAGACCTAAAATTCCTTTGATTTGAAAACGTCTGACACGCGCTCAAGTTGTCCGTTTGGTTTTGAGGTAACAACCTTAAAACCAGCAAAATGTCACACTTTAACTGATCCACGACGATACTGAAGAAGAATAATAAGAAAAGAATGAATCAAAAACTAACTTACGGTCTGATTCCAATGTAGGAGACCTCAATGCTCTTCTCGTCATTAACAAGGGATAAGCCAACACTATGAAGATCCAAAGTGATACGCTGAGATGTTCGCTCTTTTTGTTCCTTGAAAGAAATAAATAAAGATAAAGATAACAAAGATATTTTGCAGCGCGTATCGTTGCTAAAAAGGGTAAGTACGATCATGTAACACCAATACTAAAATCATTAAATTGGTTACCCGTCAAAGACCAATTATACTTTAGAGATGCTGTATTAGCTTTTAAATGCATGTCGGGACTAGCCCCTGGGTACCTCAAGTAGTGATCAATTAATTACGTGTACTAGTATACGTAACCGGAAAACCAGAAATTCACAGATGCTAAATATCCCTTTATTTAGGTCTGCTACTGGGAAGAAAACATTCCACTATAGGATAGTCAACATTTGGAATAATTTAGACAACAATACTAAGTTAACCATTGATGTTAATAGTTTTAGGAATAAGCTTAGAGGGACACTTCTAGACAAATTTAAGAGAGAGAGTTAAAAACATGCCACGCAATAATTATTAATAATAATAATTTCAGAGTAACTGTTAAGGGGGTTGGGTCTAAGAGCGACGATTGTTATATATGGGAGGGAATGATATTTTAAATAATTTGTAATTTTTAAATAACATGTATTGTCAATCGTTTTACTTTATTATATGTTTGAATTCATTTTTGTAATTGACGTTGAAGAGCCCCTAAGGGGAAGTGTTCAATAAAGCATGTATGTATATATATCCAGAGGACACGGTAAGGTTTAAAGCTAGATATTGAGAACAATAATCACGCATAAAAACTCGGGTTTACTTTACCTACAGTGCATAGTGCGAGAAACCCAGAAAATAGAAAAACAATTATGTTTGTACATTTCCGTTTTCCTCCAACTATTTTCCAATGATCACCCTCGTTTTCAGAGTATTATCAGTCAATACTTTTAAATTTACCCAGTATTAACTTTCTCAAATTTTGATGAAACACCTTACTAATACATGTAGCAACACGAAGTAATTTTTTTGGGAAAATCGCGCGCGAGAGAGAAAACTGAATTACGCCACCACGTCACTACCACGGTCTCTAGTCTCATCGACCATATCTGTCGACCAATCAGCGCGCGAGAAATCGTTCTGTTATTGTAAAAAAAAATTATTTGAATGATAATAACATTTCGCCCCACTAATCGATGTAATAGGATAAAGCAATCTCTTACCACTTGAGCTCTGTATGCTAACGTGAAGTCGTCAATGATCAAAAGCACTCTCTGAAGCCCGTCCAGGAAAGCAGCCCAGTAGTACTTCTTGCCATCATGTTCAAATTCGTTATGACCAGACTAAAAATAGAAAAGAATGAACACATAGTAAGCTATACTATTTGGATTTGTCTATACAAATGTTTACGTCGCGGAGAAAACACATGAAACTGTTTGGGAAATTTAGGTAAAAAAGGTGAAACCACTTTATAGAGAAACAGTGGTTGTTTAACGACTCATGTTCTCTTTGGATAAACGAAGGGGAAAAGGGACACACAAACGATCACGTGAGGCAAAGAAACATCACCTAACCAAACAAGAAAACCAACAAACAACATGATTTGGTAGAACCGCCGACTAGTTAGCTCAATTGGTTAAGTTCCAGACTTCAGAGAGGGATGCCGGGATATGATTCCAGGCAGTACTCAGTCTCAGAGTCTTAAAATAGCTGGGGAGAAGGTGCAAATGATTAGACCTCATAGACTTCTTGGTTAAGGACGAAAAAGTGTAGGCCACGTCTCACAATTTTGTGAGACGTACAAGAAAAAAAACGCTCGGCAAACTAGGGGCATAAAAATCTTTGGTGGTGACCTCCCCTAGTGGCTATTACCAGAAGACGTCCCTTAAATTGGAGCTCTGTTATGTTGACCTTACCAAACCAAAGTAGTTTAATTGCTCTGAATCTAAACCTCACTTCATGGGCACCTCAGTAATGCAAATATTTCAGTCTTTGGTTCGTGTATTAAAGGCGTATGACTACTGTATAGCAATGATTTTGGCGAGAAAGGAGACATAAAATGCTAGACAAAAGTACTATCATGATAAGTACAACTATTTCCAAAGACGGACAACGTCTGGACCGGCTGCTAATGTTGTCTTAGAGAGAGTTTAATTACAGCGGAAAAGCTTCATCTGTAGGAACCATATTCAACACATGTTATGAATCAATTAGAATGGTAACCGTTTAAATCAGTTTCTGGTAGTACATACTGCAAAAATCTCCTCCCCCACTCAAAGAAATAACAGCTGATATTCCAAGTTGCCCACCTTTGACAAATCCGTCGTGATGAAATTTCCAGATCCTTTAACAAACCAGACGAATTCTTTGTTAGCTGAAGGCTCGTCCCATGTAAACAGAACACACTGGTTAGGATGAAGACAATGTTCCTTGCAACTAAATAAGAAGAGAGAAAAAAATTGGGAATAAAAAATAACCTGTTGTTATTATGTAGTTGGAAACGATTTTTTTGTTACATTCACAACAATCAAAGGCTCCTAAGAGTAAGCTCATGGATGAATTGAATCGTAAACGAGCATGGGTGCTAAGTGCCACTGCTCTTGATTTTCGTGATTGAGTTTCGTTAATATTGACAACCGAATGTTGAAGATTATCACCTCTTTATTTATAGTAACTAAAAGACTTGAGAAACATTTTATTTTGAAATTCATTTGTCTTAAACTGCTTGGGCACTGTAACATATTAACTTTCTCCTTAGTTTTTTTACCTTTTATGACTTTCTCTGTGTTGGTTACTTCATAGACCACGTTTGCATTTCTTTAGCATTTGATTTTTGGCATGTGGGTTTTGGCATACGGTATTTAGCATTTGTTTTTTTTGGCATCTACTTTTTGGCATACATTGTCCGTTTTAAAAAGCATTTCGTCAGCGTTTCTATGCAAACTTTTTGGCATCTCTATAGCACTCACGCTTTTAAGGGAGCTAGATCCTTACCCGAGGCTGTACTTGTTGTGACCTTAGGAATTCAAACCCGACATAGTGGAAGTATCCGATTGCATGTGCACCTGAATATTCTAGAAACTTGATATCAGCGCAGCATTTCTTTAACGCAAAGATCACTTTCACCGCTTATTAACGCTTTTTAGTTGTAAAATAATTTGCTTTCTCATGTGAACGACAACACCGCTTTACAGTTCGAGGACCGTTTTTTGTAGCTAAGGCTCTTTGGCTTATTCGCTTTTCGCTGAAGGAAATCCCATCGTCAGGCTTCGATAGGTCTTTCACACTCTGTCGATCGCATCTTCTCCGGATTCTGGATTCCAATCGCAGAAGGGATTCCGGATTCTTTGAGCTGTATTTTGGATTCCAATGCCCAGGATTCCGGATTCTACGTGCAAAATTTTCCCGGATTCCCTTACTTGTGGCGAATTAGTTGGCATCCTTCAGTCTCGAAAGACTATGGTGTTGCGTTCTGATTTGAGGTTCTCGAAAATCGCTTTGCGTGGCTGGAAAGACAAATTCGGGAATGACAGTCCCTTCTCACCGGGATTACCAAATTTAAATATGAAAGAAGAAACGAAATGAATAGGATAATGGCATGATGACGTCATTTTCCTACAACTACCAGAATCCTTCAGTTTGTTGTTTTCTTGCGCAAATTACGGCTATTGCTTTCTTAACCTCAGCTGGATTGGCAAATTTAAATAAGAAAGCAAAAACGAAATGGATTCTGGTAGTGAAACTTGCCTATTCTGGTCTTAGTATTAAAAATACGTAATCGTGCAAATGACCAATTAGATTAAATAACCTTTGTTGTTTGTAGCAGATTTTAAGCTCAGTGCAATTCTCCAGTCTGACTGGTGCTGCGCCTGTGTAGTATGGCGTTATTGTTATGACGGCAGCAGAATCTTTAGTCAGCATGTCAGCACACACCGCTCCAACCTACAACAAAAACAATCATTCACCTTTTCCGACGAATTTTTGATTTGCCGGGAGACCAAGCTTTACCCTACTGCTTAAAAGTTAGACGAAATTTCTCCAATTTTCTAATGAGGTATGGTACAACGTGCACGCTCTCTTACAAAAGGAAAAACTGAGGACAAAGGGTTTGAGATCCACGATCTGGTGAAAAAAAGGAACCTAATGCAATATAGAATTTATGGAAAATATCCAGTACAAAATAAACTTTAACGCAAAATAGCGTCTAAAATCTTCCAAGCCGAGTGTTGGCAGTCTCCCGTAGGTAACTTGCACTGAAGAATCAACTTGAAGAAACCCAAAGGAGTTGACTTGGATCTGTAACACTGGCCGAGAATAAGGGCTACCCGTCGGAAACATAAACCCTTGAATAAAAGCCATTCGCCACTTAAGAAACGAGTTCACTTTTGCAAAGACTTCCTGGACAGTTACAAGGGACATGGAAAAAATTGGCCAACAGCTGACCGGCGCGTCCCAGTAACCATCCCAGAAACAATTGCGGGACACACCAGCTCCTTTATCGTTTCTGGAGTGGCGAATGGAAACACTAAAAACGGTATGGTTTAGGCCTCTTTTCTTGCTTTGGATGTTGCCCTGTTTAACCATTTCTATCACTTACCTTGCCGTTCATTTTCAGTACTACACTAACATCAGGTTCAAAGTTAAAGCTGGGTGAGACTTCACCACCATCACTGACTTTCATGCGAAGGTTCTTTGATGGACAAGAATCCGGCCAAAATGGAACACACTAAAAAAGAATAAGAATGATTATTTATTTATCTCTGGCTGTGACCTCCCCTAGTTAGGGAACCAAGGGATGGCGCAGTGGTGAGAGCACTCGCTTTTAGCCTGTTCCAGGCTCCGAGATAGTCGGGTCTGCTGAATTGAGAAAGCGCAAACACGAAAATAAAACGGGAGGAAACTGGGGAGCCAACTTTTCGCGTGCCTTTTTCTTTCGCGTCTTTCCCACTATCAGAGAGCCTGAAACAGGCTAACTTGCTTCCCACCGATGTGGCCCGGGTTCGAGTATCGGCTGCGAAGTCATATGTGGGTTCCGTTTCTTGTTGGTTCTCTCTCTTGCTCCGAGAAATCTCTCCCCGAGTACTCCGGACTTACCCTCTACCTCAAAAACCAACATTTCCAAATTCCAACTCGACCAGGAATGGCACTGAAGAAAGGCACAAGGAACCACTATGTGGATGTGCTACCTCTAAATCGTTATTTATTTATTTATTTATTTATTTTTATTTAATGTTTCTCCAGGCAACATTTAAATTGGAGCCCTACTGTGTTATGCTGGCCTTACGACGTCAAAATCAACAGCGCCATCATTCTCACTACCTTTACATTTTATTAGTCAGTAATACTGCAAAAGAATGCTGCGCGCTGTTACGGATAGAAGGAAAAGTCTTACTGTACCTCTCCTGGTTTTACTTCTATCCAGGATGGTTTGAATTGATCTGATGTATCTGTCAGCAACACTGTGAACTATAACAACATCACAGAAAACTCGTCAACTGTTAAATACACAACTCTTACTAACAAAATTACCAAATTCAGTGGTAGCACCCGGTAAATAACATCGCACCCATTTTGAATTTTTGTCTAGACCACGTGACCTTTTTGAACGTCTTGTTTGGTCACGTGATGCTTCGGGAAGCAGTTTTCAGCGCTTGGTTCTCATCGCTCTTGGTTCCAAAGCCATGGTCTCTTGTTGTAATTAGACCGTATAAGCGACGCCTATACACATATTAAAGGGAAGCGATGCATAGAATTGACCTCATTCCCACAGCAATATAACCTACCTCTGTTGCGTTGTTAATAAGGTTAAATGGTATAAACTCCACTATCTTCGTTAAGCTGAAGTACGAAAGGGTGGTCTGCATACCAAGCTACAAAGAATTACAACCATACCAAATCGTTCAAAAAGACTCCAAAATCTCAGCGTAGCATCATAGAACTGCGACAATAATTTCTTAGGTATGTCTGCATCATAGTGTTATAACTAAAAACTCAAAAGATAGGTTTATGGGACTAAAAAAGGGGCTAAGCAGGGTTGTCAGTACGATTTCAAGTTGCCAGGTGAATACAACAAATAGGCGGGAGAACAAATAGCTAGGGGTTTCTTTTGGTTCTCTCTTTCTTCTATTTTCCTATGAAAGTAGCCGGGGGAAATCCCCGGCCCGCGCCTTTTAATGAGAGCCCTGCGGGCTATGTCTCGGTAAGTTCAGCATTTTTTGGTCAAAGCTGAGCTGAAATTATAACGAAGTATTCTTAGTCATGTTTTTGTCATCATACTTGGAACTCTAAAAATAGATATCAAATGATTCTGTCAAAGGGAAAACAGGGTACATGTATGATCGGTCTTCGGTACATTTTTCAACGGCAACGCAGGCGTTTAACTTTAAAAAGGAGGCCCAATTTGTCCAAGTTGCTATCCGTTTTCGTCCGCCCATAGTAGTGAAGCAATTTTAAGTAAAAATGAACCATTATTTCAGGGTTTTCTTTGATTCCAAGTACAGAAATGAACAGAAAGAAGCAGAAAGCGACAAGATAATTCCTTCAGAATGCGATTTCCTCTACCTGGTATTAACCGTGATA